ATGAGCTTCACGTACATTAATGTAGAAATTCTAAATTCACTAATTTTTCAGGACTTCATTTCTGACTAAGGCCAAAAATGGCAAAATAAATCAATATTGTGTTTCTTATTTCACCCCCCCAAAAAAATAGGTAAGGTAGGTATTAACATTTTATTTTATGAAAACATTTTTATTTTGATGACAGCAGTCATGCAGCAGAAAAAAGTTCCAAATCAAATCATTTGATGTACTAGCCAGTGCTTCTTTGAAATTTAGAATAGTAATTAAATCTACAGCTTTTTTTATTTTCTGTCTTTGCATGTTCTGTGTCAGAAATATGAAAATAAACTTTAATGAAAATTTTATGCATTTCAATGATCGTAATAGGAATATGTTCTTGCCGAATAATTATCTTAAACATAAAATGGCAGTGAAAAATCTGGCATGGTATGTTATAATGTTGGGCCTAGTTGAACCTAACAATGTAAATGACACACATGTGGGAGCAGATAAGTACCCCTTGAAAACACTGTGAACTGATTCTAAGCAGCTGTTAATTATGATTTTTCGAGTGATAATACTCGGCCCTTGCACCCTCTTTATTTAATATATAGATGTGTTTTGATGTTTGACAATGTGATCTTGAAGAGTGGGTGGTTCTGACAATATTAAAACTCCAGGTTTTGAGAAGAGGGAGAATTTGAAATTTTAATTTTGTCTTAATCTACTGGTCAAATAAATTGCAGATATAAATATGACATGATTTTTTTTTCAATTTCTTGTATAAATTGTTATGGGACCAACCAGAGAAAATATAAAAGAATAAAAGTAGACATGGTGCTGGGGCAGATTCATTTATAAATGCTGGATAATCAGGATTGATTTTAGCTGTAAATTGAACTCATTTTACTCTAAAATTGTTTGTTAATTAACAAACAGATACAGTCTGTCCAACCTGAAACGATTCTGACTTTTGGTCCTACAAGACAAGATTTTGTTAATATATGTATATAAACAATATGCTATTCATTATATATATACAAATATTTAAAAAATCTCACTTGTACCTGTTCAAAGAAGTTGAGCAAAATGCGTCAACTTCGTATTTTTTATGGCCCTGCAACAAAGTTGTCATATAGTTGTACCCTTGTCCTTCATTCCGTCATTCTGTCATTCTGTCATTCCATCATTCCGTCATTCCGCAACAAACCATGATACGAACTTTTTATGCCCCCACCGTAGCGGAGGGAGCATAAAGTTTTACCCTTGTCCGTCCATATGTCCGTACATCCGTACGTCCCAAAGTTGGTTTCTGTTCTCTAACTTTAGTTTGCCTCAACCAAATGTTATGAAACTTATACACAATACTTATTACCACAAAACACAGATCAAGTTTGAATTTTGGTGGCGTCACTTAAACAGTTGTAGAGTTATGCTCTTTACAAATGGAAAAATTGCTGAATTTTCCGTTTCCATTCTCTAACTTTATTGATTTTTGGTATGTGTGTTAACCATGATGTGTTACAGATCAAGTTTAATTTTGTTCAGCTCTGCTGATTTTTGCCGTAATTACGGGTTTTGGACTTTGAAAATTGTTGAAAATCACAGTTATATGGACTTTTTTATATACGCCTTCAGAATTTGCACTGATTTTTGATATGTGAGTCTACCATGATGAGTTACAGATCAAGTTTATGTTTCGTTCCGATATGCTGATTTTCATGTCGTTTCAACACATTTTCAGTATCCACTTCCTGTTTGCTGATAGTTTGAAATTTAACTACTCATTGATCAAGGAAATTTTTCATCAAACTAGTATTGCTCTTGAGACCTGGATATTATCCATGCATGTTTGTGTCCGCATGTGTTGTTGAAATTGCAGATTTTCAAACTTTTTAAGACGGGGCCATATGTGTCGTTCCGACACATCTAGTTTGTCCATAGGTCCATCATGATGTTCTTCAAAAAGATTCATCATATCGTAATTATCCGGAATCGATGTCATTATATTTTGCGTCCATGTGATCACATTTTGCAAATTAAAAAATATCAGCTGCTCGACACAATATGAAGCCTTTTTTAACTCGTTTGATGCACTCACTCGACAAAAAGCTTCACATTGTGACTTGCAGATGATATTTTACAATATCAATATGCAGACAACCTGATAATCAGTACATTTTGGATAGACATTTTTACAAACAATGTTCTCCTGAATGTTCGATTAGACAAATTTCTTTTCAAGACCTCTATGTGTCACTGTTAAGGATTTTAAGATGGGATAGAATTCAGGTGGGGGATCCAGGATTTAAAAAAAGTGGGCCCCTAGCAACATTTGAGTGATACTTGTAAATAGTCTATGCATTTATAATATATGGAGCTCCATATGTTTTTTCTTTTTAATGTATCCTTTGGTTTTCAATTCTGGAGTTAATATTTAATAGCTGAATTTTGACCTTGGACTGAGACCAAAAAAAAATATGTGTGTTTACCGTCTAGGATTGGTAGCCATAGGTGGCCCCAGATTCAGAAATTGCCTTTTCCCCTTCTGGTATCGAATCCTGTATTACCTTTACCGAAGTTGTTATTTACAGTCAGATATATTTTTACTCTGTTTTACACATTTCTTGTTGAGAATTATTCTGCATTAAATTAGAGGTTGAACATAAAGAACATTGCACACATACATGTAGGTGAAAGTATGATTTCTAATATAAAAAACATTCATAGAATGACATTCCTTCTGAAAATGAAGTACATGTAGCACTGCAGGAAGATGTTCCTAAAAATCTATTTGCCGTTTGGGAAATTAAGTGGCCAGTGGGTGACTGCTTATTAGGAATCCCGTAATAAAACCAATGGAGCAGAGTTCATGAAAGTTTTTTTTTTTTGTCAGCCCAAGGACTGACAAACAGCAAACTTTTGCTGGTCCTTCATTTTTAAGATTTCGGATTTACTATTTAGATGCCACTATTTAGAGATGTGTCAAGACTTGCAGAAACTATAAAACACCATTTTATTTATCTACAATCACAATCTTCACGATAAACTTTTGAATCCACAAGCCTGAAGCTCAATTTTACGAAAATTTTAGTTGGATTCTGTTGGCTTGTAGAGAAGAATTTTAAGCCCAAAAGCAATTTTACAAGCCTGGGCTGGTGGTCTTGTGGTTAAGCGTGATGACTGATTGAATCAACTTTTCACATGCAATTTTATCAGCATCTTTTTCTTGTGGCACTGTTATAATGGTACTTAATAATATTCTGAAAAAGATGTGTATTGTGAAATTTACCCCTTTTTCATGTCCCATTCTTGGGCAGTATGTTTTTCGGTCTGTGCGTCTGTCCGTCCATCTGTCCCGCTTCAGGTTAAAGTTTTTGGTCAAGGTAGTTTTTGATGAAGTTGAAGTCCAATCAACTTGAAACTTACTACACATGTTCCCTATGATATGATCTTTCTAATTTTAATGCCAAATTAGAGATTTGACCCTAATTTCACGGTCCACTGAACATAGATAATGATAGTGCGAGTGGGGCATCCATGTACTATGGACACATTCTTGTTTCAAATATATTCTAAGGGAGCCATTATAATCTTCGTTATCAAAACTTGTGACCTATCTACAGGGTTCGACATTAACTTTTATACCAACTTGTCCAGTTGGGCAAGTGCCCTATTACTTTTACTTGTCCGAAAGTGAAATCTACATGCCCAAACTTTTACATGCTATTTTTGTGGTTGTAATGTAGTACATGCAGATAAAATATAGTTATCATGTATATGGGGTGTAAATTGATTATGGAGTATGAAAATATACTATGAGGTATATATGAGCCGAGGAGGGAGGGAAAAGATCGATGAATATACGGGAATTGGATCATTTACATAGAGATACTTATTTCATAATAATTTATCTAAGAAATGCCATTTCAAATAACCCTTCTTGATAAACTGACAACAACTGACAAATTTGTTAAAGTTTAATTTCATTTTCTCTTTCAAGCTTTTACGTTTTTCCATCTTAGGGAAATACACATCCGATGTCAAATTATAAAGTTAGAAAAACGAAAATAGACCTCCGCTTTCCATTGGTCGGTGGGAATAACACGTGCGTCGGAAACGCCCGAGTGGTGTCCCGATGGATAACGATAATGACGAAGCAACGCCGCGGCCACCTGATTGGCCAATATTTTTAAACGTGATCTATTTTTGGTAAAATGGGGAATTAGTGTGAACAATTGACGAAATATACGCATTGAAGGGGGGTTAAGACCACTTTACTCGACCGTGCGGTGTTATCACTGAGTAATCTATGGACAAAACAACAGACACTATTGATTTTGTGAAATTTTAATCATATAACACTTTTTTTTCACTTGCCCGATCGGACAACCAAGATGATGTTTTTACATATCCGAATACGGCATTAGCTTGCCCCGGGCAATCGAACAACCGTAAGTGTCGGAACCTGATCTAACATTTACAAGTTTATCTAAGGCCACCCTTAAAAAAATATTTGTTTGATGTTGCCTACCTATGTCTCATAGGGATGGGTAGGAAGGTAGGGATTTTTTTTCTCTTTTGCCAACAACATAAGTTACATGTTTCAGACAAGATGTTAGAGGCAATAGAGCAGGAAAAAATAAAAAAAAAAAAAAATTGAAATGATTTGTGTCACAAAATTTTCAAATTAAAAGACTTTTTAAACAAATTGCATAAATGTTCATCTCCCTTTTAATACTTCAAATGAGATTTGAACAAATGCTTTTGATATGCTGCTATTATTTTCTTTTTTTTAACCCTGATATCATTCTTATAAAAAGCAAACTTCATACTGTGACTGAGATGTCAATGTGCAGAATACTTGAATTATACTTGTGACTAAAACTAAAAAGGTGTGGGTATATCTCAAGAGACCGCAACTGGACTGGACAACAAGAAAATCTAAAGTTTATCATTGTTTATTCATTAGTTTTAATATATACATGTGTATTTATATAAAACTTTTTCAAGTTTCTAGAAAATGGCTTTCTTGGGTGCTGATCCAGCACATGGGATACAAGAAAGGAGACAGAGTGTTGCTATACATGCTGGTTTACCAGGAAGACGGAGGAGCACAGTAGGATCTCTGTTAATGAATACAGAAAGCTTAAAAGAAAGACAGGTGAACATTAAGTTTTGTTTGTAATTTAGATTGACGCTTGATTGAATCTAACTTTTGTTCTATTTACATCTGACAATATGTTAAATTGTTTAAGTGCTCATATATGTACATAGGAATTATATTGATATACAGATATGATTAGTAGGTTACTGTATGAAAATAAATTTTCTTTGGAGATGTCATATGGAAAAGCAAAAATCTTAAAACAGTAACCAGTTTGTCATCTTTATTCAGTCATTTATTGTGAAAGAAATGAAACTTTTCCACAGAATCATTTGTAGTTTACTTATGCATTTAAATTTTTGTTAGTTCACTTGTCCCATTGAATAAATACTGATATTGTTCTCTGTGGACTTTTATCACTTGGACCTTTAAATTTCTTCTAAGAGAAATCCATCGTTCAATGATTAATTTACCTGAAAAAAAAAATATTCTAAGTAGTGTATCAACTCACAAAACTGCATGTGATGTTGTATGTATTCAATATCATTAATAATATATTTTCAATCTGTTCAATTTAAACACTGATTTAGACATTAGAAGTTGATTACTGACAAAATTTTCAGCATTGTTCATATTAAATTTTTTTTGTTTTATGTTCAATGTGTAAACAAACACAAAAACAAAAAACACACAAATTTCAGTAGGCAGAAGGCTTAAAATATTTTGTCTGTAATCAACTCTTTACGATTAAATCAGTGTTTATATTGAACAGATTTGAAAAAATTTGGTGGCATAATGGGGAGATAACTTTGACGAAGTAGAATTCTGACTGCTATTGTATTCTTTCAATGGGACAGTACAGAGTAAAATTTAGAAGGATATGGTCTGAAGGTTTAACTTAGAGTAGGAAATTGCTGCAGTGTGACATTAAAAAATTGTATAAAGTCAAACTAAAACAAATTTCAATATTGATTTTGTTTGATGATTTTAGCAAAAAGCAAAAGAAGTAAGAGATGTGAGAAAATCACTGCTCCAGCCTCATCACAAATTTTTGATACAGATGGTAGCACAACATTTAGCATTAGACTATTCTGTATTGGAAGAATTTGTCTTGGATGCTGAAAGGGTGTGTATATTATTGTTTATCAATTTTTTCTGTAATTCTTGTCTCTCTAGTTGATAAGATATTGAACTTCAAATTTGATGATTTGAATACTTACTTGCCCTCACATATAATGCTGATTTCAATTGAATTTTATGAGGCTTCATGAAACCTGTTTGAGAGTTGTATCTGATTTTTTTTTTTAGCAGCAGTATTCATTTAAAAGCTGTGCCTACCTAAGCTAGCTTCCTGTAGTACCATAAGCGAGCACATTTTGACCCTGCTTTCCAAATTATTTATCCTCTAAATAATACATATTCATATTATTCAATGTAAAATCAATTATACCATCATGCTTTCAACAACCACTATTATCCTTACTTTAGATTCTCTTGCAAATTTAAGCTTATGGAGAGAATGAATGCAAACAAAGTAAAATTACAACTGGTATTTAGCTTGTTTTTCAGAATTTCTTGTATTTAATTCATATTAACCATACTGCATATTCATTTTGTTTTGTAGCAAGTTACACTGATAACAGATTTCTGTGTAAAAGATGGCAGTAGAAGTGTCAAGTTTTACTATCAGGAAGCAATGATACCTCTTCTTGAAGGTAATAAGAACTACAATCAAATATATGTATGTTATAATATTAATATCACTGAAACTGTCAATTGAATCCTTAAATAGGAATTTTCATTTTCGCTTATTATCTTATAAGTTGAAAACTAAAATAGATAAGCAGAAACTGTTAACAGCAAAAATTATCAGCATTACAAGCTCTACAAAAATGCAAATATAATCATGTCTGCTATAAAATTCACTTCTTTTGAGTGAAAACCTTTCTTATCAGGTTGCTCTACTCTTGTCCTGCTGTAGTAATAGCTTTGAATTTTGAACATCAATTCAATGGTCACCTTTATGCAAAGGTCAGTGTTATGTGTTTGCAAGAATGACCTTTATATTCAGTTTACTCAATTTACTCTTTTTAGGAGTTACTGCCAGATGAAATTAGATTTGACTATTTGAATAATCTTCTCAATAATTTAGGAATAAAAAAACTGAAACTTCAAATTCAGTACATTATTGCACATTTACACATTGTAAGTAAAAATATACTATTGCAAATTCAGAAATTATTGTGATGTTTTTATTAATGCAAAAAATGCTACTGTGTCAGGTTAGCAATAATAACAACTCGCATTTATAATTTCTGTAGGGATTTTCCTTCATAAAATTTTTGCAATCGCAATATTAGATTAAGCATTTTTTCTAGAGATCAAGGATTTACAATGATAATGAACACATTAACTTCTGAGTTTACAGTATAGAGATATAAGAGATTTGCAGGAAGGTAGGGATTTTTTTCTTTTTTGGCCAACAACATGAGTTACATGTTTTAGACAGGAAAACAATATTAACACTTACCATGCTGAATTGTTTTCAGAAAAAGTCTAATTTTCGTTTATTTGCAAAAATATGCAAATTATATGCAAATGAGGCTTACCCTGCTGCTGAAGCAATTGATTTCTTTAAATCTAAGGTAGGGGATCACGGGGCGGGGTGGTTGGGGTGAGGAGGTTCGGGGTGGGTGGGCGGGAATTTGCCCCAAAGTTGGTCATCAGGTGCAAAAAGCGTCATTTTTGACGATTTTTCGTCCTATTACTTGACCCCAAAGACCGAGGGATGCTGATATAGGTATCCATCTGTAGTCTGCATGTACAGTGGACCCCAGTAAACACATTAACCCCAACAGTTCTTAGGTTGGAGTGAAACTGATCTGGGAACACCAGTCTAAAGAAGGTCATTTGGACAAAAAGTACGGAATTTCACGATTTCTTCCGATTTTGGACTTCAACTGGACCTGAAACCGGAAGTAGTCGTTTCCTCTGCGTATTTCAAAAATAATTATGATCAGTAGATATATGCCTGCGGGTTTACACTATTTTTGAAAGTTTTAGGCCTCTGAACTTCCTGTGTAAGACACAGAAGGGAAGCCCACCCCTCCAGAAAAACCAGTTTTATCCAATTTCAATTTTCCAAGTTCGTATTTGAGCTCAAAATGCTACTTAAACATGAGAAACATGACAATAGATAGCCTCAGGTTGAGGGAACATGCATCCATTTCGAAATAAGTATCATAAAGTTGACCTCTAAAAGTATGGAGAGCCATTAGAGCCAAATAACGGTGGTCTGGGTCATCCCGTCATATGACGGGCTCAGCATGGTAAGGGTTAAAGCAGGAAAAGATCTTAAAAAAAGATTGAAACTATTTTTGTCATAAAATTTATCTGGTAGGCTGCTTTTTAGGTGGGTAGGTAGGCAATATGAAACAATTTAAATTTTATTTATGGTCTGACCTTAACACTAAATTCAATAATTTAAATGATATTGCACTTTTTAGGTTGAATTTGCCTGCAATATAATTTTCCAAAGAAAGTTAAGCAAACTACAATCATTTAACCTTATAACAATAAAAATCTTCAACATAAAATAAATGTCTAGAGACAAGATACACTTTTAAAATTTTACATTCTACCAATTTTTGTGTCTGTCAATTGGACATCTTAAAGCAAATTTTAAAAATTAAAAAATCTTATTGTACATATACACCTGACAGAATAAAGCAAATTTTGAAAATTCAAAAATCTTATGGTACATATACACCTGACAGAATAAAGCAAATTTTGAAAATTTAAAAATCTTATTGTACATATACATCTGACAGAATAAAGAATATTTCACATAATGCAAATTTATTACAGAATGTGGAAGAACAATACATGGAGCAGGAAAAGGAGCAGTAGCACCAAGAGTACTGGTAACAAGTGGAACAGGCGAGAAACTGAGAGGAATATGCATTTATTTTCTACGTACCAAAACTGATATTGCTTTAACCATAAAAAATATTTATGATGTAAGTTAACTGTTTTATTTGTTGTCTGCCCAGACAGAGGGATCACTATTCATCATATCTCATAATGCTGCAAAATCCTTTATCCATGTGCTATGCAGGGATAATACTTCAGCCCTGTTTTTATAACCTTTTGAGAAAAAAAAAATGTTGTTATGAGTGTCAAATTTACAATCTAAATGACTGTTCTTAATTAGGGCTGTTCCATTAAAACATGCATGGTACCCAGAGAAGGCACTTTGAAAACAGAGTGACCACCCATAGAAGCAATTTTAGAGTCCTGCATACAACAATATTTCACACCCACCCATAGTGGCAAATTTAAGTTGTCTTCCCTGGGTCCCATGTATGTTTTTATGGAACAACCCTTACAGGGATTGAAGTTAACAGTAGCACAGTTGCCCAGAACCCCTAAAATTTGATCTGAGCTGATAAAAAGTTTTGATTAGTAGCCTTGACTTTTTCTTGATCTTCATATTGTTTTGCTCTGGTATATTACATTGGGCTCTGAATATTAAAGACTGCAGCTTGATGAAATGTGTATGTGGCAATTATAGGAACATGATAAACTTTTCTCCTTTTGTTAAATGCTTCATAATACAAATGGTGGCAATCGTGTGCAATTTTAAAGTTTTACATAATCTCTGTTATGTGGAAACTGCACCACTTAAGGTTATACTTTTTGGGGTGTTAAATTAGGTATTATATCAAACCGTTATAAAGATTTGCCAGTGTTCTTCTGGCTTTGTTTGAAAAGATACCAAGTAATAAATGATAATGGTATTTTCAGGCATAAATTTTGACTTCTTTGGTCACAGTTAAAGTACTGAAGTATCAGTAAATGTCATATAAAGAAATCATTACAGGAATTAATCATAAATATAAGTAACATTTGCAAATGAAAAGATCTTAGACACAAAATTACCCCTCACATTTATTTACTTTTTGAAGTTTTCATCAGTTTTTTTTATGATAAAACCAGTTGTATGAGCTGAAACTTTTATGACTTGCGGTGGTATATTCAAACACAGTGTGTGAAACCTCTGCTTGCCAACTCGCCAAAGGTGAGTATTTAAAGAAACGAATATGATGAGCACTGATACTTGGTTATATATAACTCTCCAATGTGGCAAGTGATATAAAATTCTTCAACTAGCCAGAATAAAAAATTCTCTGACCAGTTGAAGTATTTTGACAGTTGTCAGGTCTTATATTGTCAAAGGTTCATGCATTTTAATATAAAAAAGAAGATGTGGTATGATTGCCAATGAGACAACTCTCCACAAGAGACCAAATGACACAGAAATTAACAACTATAGGTCACCGTACGGCCTTCAACAATGAGCAAAGCCCATACAGCACAGTCAGCTATAAAAGGCCCCAAAATGACAATGTAAAACAATTCAAACGAGAAAACTAACGGCCTAATTTTTGTACAAAAAAAGAACGAAAAACAAATATGTAACACATAAACAAACGACAACCACTGAATTACAGGCTCCTGACTTGGGACAGGCACATCTGTTGAACTAATTTCAATGTGGAGTGTTACTAAAAATGATATTCCTAGCTCTTAAACAGTTTATTTGTCGCAATTGGCAAACTAAAACATTATTATGATAACCTTGACACTTTTGAATCAGCATGCTAAAACCTACTATACGATCCCCACCTCGCGGATTTTAATTTCTTGACATGACTGAAATAAACATATTATGCATACAGTTGGGTATCAGTGAGTTACAAATAATACATTTAATATTTATTTTACCTTCCTATGGTCCATGTAGGTTTATTTTAAGCAAAGTACAGGATGAACAATGTATTTGTTGACTAGATTTGAAAGCTATTTTTTATACTTTTCTGAATGTTCAACAAGATACAAGATACAAGATGTTTTATTAACCAATCATGGTGTCCAAAATTTTAGCTATACAATCAAATGAATTACAAAATGAAGCACAGTAAACGATTAGAATGATTAGAATGATTCAAGTACCTTTAAACAAAAACATGTATACACAAGTTCAATCTGGAGGCATTGATTATGAAATATATAGTATAAAATTTCAAAATGGAATAGTTTTTAAGGCTAAATAATTTAAACAAACAAAAAGTAGGGATGTCAGCTCGGTTAGAGATAAATACTCGAGTACTCAGTGGTTTTACCGAGTGATACTCGAGTACTAGCTCGGTAAAATACAGATTTGTAAAATTACATAAGTTACAGATTTTACGATTTGTCAGTCGTTGTCTAATTGACTTTTAATCCCCCTAATTATGTGATACTAGAATTAATAGATCATTTATTAAATGAAATAATTAAGTAAACAATTATCCAATAAACAATTTAATAAATACGAATTGAACATCAATTATTACAAAGTCACACATGATCACACAACAGTTACATTCCTGGATTGTAAAGAAAACATATTTACAAAGGTGAGACGATTAAAGGCGCTGATGCGTTTAACAATCATTGATGGTCACTACGGGGTATGCATTTGTTCTTAGTCATAAATATTATTTTGTCCACTATTTCTGGTGAGAGTCAGTTTCGTAATTTTGTTACTAACAATCCTGCTGATGAAAAAATTCTTTTGGACAATACCGATGTTGCGGGAATGGCTAATATACGCTTTGCAAGAATTGTAAGCCTAGGGTAACTGTTCTCATTTGAAGCTCACCACTGTAAAGGATTTGTCTCAGGGCTAAGTTTTTCAGCGAGAAAAGAATTAAGTTCATCGTTATCCATTTCTGATTTTTCCGTAGATTCGTGAATTAGGAAATCAATCTTCGTTGTCGTTTCGGTTTTGGTTCGTTATCATTGCAATCCTGAGAAATGTTTGAAGATACTGATATTTTGTTTAACGGAATGTCATCTAGCTTTGACTCCAATACATCCTCTGCTGTTTTACGTTGCTTTTTGTCCAGAAAGGTTAAACGTTTATAACGAGGATCCAAGATAGATGCCCAAATTGGTGTTTGGTTTCCAATATCATCGTCGGTGGGTTTAAATCGCCGTTTAATTTCGTCAGCAAGTGTACTTTTAACTTTACGAACAACTGAGTTGTCGGTATCATTGGAATTCAAACTTTTCTTCAGTAATCCACACACGATAAGGTAGATTTGCGAAGTAGAAATGTGCTGTTCAGTAGACATGTACGTTGTTACATTAGAAAAATCATTCAAAACGGTTGAAACATCCGACATTATATCCCATAATGCATTCATGATCTTTTAATAACATTACCATATCTTGTTTCTTTGTACAGGAGGGATCTAGCATGATATCGTTAAGAACTTGTCCCTGCTCGACTAGGCGTTCCATCTTAAGTTGAGTTGAGTTCCATCTTGTTGTCACGTCCTGTATTAATTCGTGTTATGGTGCATTGAACAGTTTCTGTCGTTTTCTCATCTCAGCAGTTAATGTTGTAGAATGTTTGAAGTGACCGACAAGCTTAAGTCCTCTTGCTACGATCTTGGACACAGAACCTAGGTCAATTGCAGGCTTAATGCTTAATTGTAGAGTATGTCCAAAACAGCCTAAATTACCCCATTCAGGGCATCTGCTACCTGCATTTTCCATATTATGCCCATTATCGTGTACAACAGTGTCTATTTTAGTCATAATGTCAAATTCACTTGCAATGGACTGTAACTTTTCTGCAATATTTAATCCAGTGTGCCTTTCCGGCAATTCACGGGTACACAATATGTTAGCCTTCATTTCCCAATTTTCTGCTATATGGTGTTACGTAACTGTTAAATTACTGTCATTCGACGTAGAAGGCCATGTATCAGTGGTCAATGAAAAACTTTGAACATTCAGTTCTTTAATCAGATTGTCCTTTTGTTCATCGTACAACTTATCTATCCTAGATCTGATTGTGTTCCGCGATGGTACTTTATATTCTGGGATCACAATTTTCATCAGATTCAGAAATCCTTCTCCCTGTACGATACTTAGTGGTAGTTAGTCCTTCACAATCACATTAGTTATAGAAATGGTTATGTTTTCATGAAGTACAGTATTTACCTTCCTCGGAGAATTTACAAAACTGGTTATTGCCGTCTGATTGTCCGTTTTACTTTTAGCATTAAGTTTTTCTTCTGCAGGTTGTTTAGCTCTTATATGATGTAATATGTTTGTAGTTCACCCACAATATGTCAGTGAAACTTCACAAAGTTGACATTTTACGATTTTATCGTCAATACTGCGTTTAAAATATTTCCAAACAGACGACTTCGGTGGCATTTTAAATGATCAACAACATACAAATGTATATTATTTACACTTTAATACTAATCCATGATAACTATTTAATTTTCCCAGGGATATTCTCAAGAAAATCAATTGTATGAAAAGACGGGGACAATATCCCAAAGGACACTGATTAGTCGAGTATTATTTTGGTATTCGATACTCGGTACTACCGAGCAATACTTGAGTACTCGAGTACTCGTTGACATCCCTAATAAAAAGGCCTTTGGTGTAGAACAGTGTAATTATTCATGTTTTTTTAAATAAAAAATATGATAATCATAGTAGAAGAGGCTGCTCAATAACTCCAGCATTTGTACTAAGATTCATCCATAATCATTGGAATAAGGAAGTATGGTTAGGACAAAAAAACTTTTAACTTGTCAGTTGTGGTAAAAATGTAGTTGAAACCCCTCTCCTAAGGTAATCACAAGATTAGTTGACTGCTCCCCTATATAACTTAGACTACTATATGTTAATAGTAATTTGAATTTTCAAGTTACATGTATCAGTTATATATAGATTAAAATGATGAACATAAGTACATGCATTTAGTAAGTGGAATGGAATAATATGTTTTAATAATTATGTATGTAAAAGACAACAAGTTCCAAAAGTAAATCACTCACCAAGCTGGCATGTGGAATTTCAATTTGGCGAGTTGAAATGAAAAGTTGCTCGCCAATTTGGCGAGTAAGGAAAAAAAAGGTTTCACACACGGCAAACAAACCATATAATAGCAGAATATATTTTATCAATTCTTCCAATTAATGAAAGGGATGATTCTATTCAACTAATCTAATTATTTGAAATGCAGGGAGGAAAAAACACCTTTACAGTCTATTTTAACTTTTTAAAGTTTATTCATGTTGTATCCTTAGTATACATTTCTAATGGTAGAAAATATATTTTAATAGGAAGTGACTTTTGGAGTATTAGATGCTTCAGATCCAACAGGAATATTGACTGCATTTGAATGTGTAATGTCCAGTCTGTATCAACCATGCCTTACGGCACTAGAGACTTGGGGAGAGTTAGATAATGATCCTCATGGTAGAAAGTCCAGGTCAACTTTTATGGATAGCTATGAAAATTTTGTGAGCTTCCTTGGTCGTAAGTATTATTTTTCTGAAAGATTGGGCTAAAAAAAGTTATTAATGTTTTTGATTAATTAACAGAACCTCATACATTGTCATATTATAATTTATTAATTAAAGTAATTGCATATTTTTAAACTCTCTATTAGGTGTACATGTCCAGGGGAAAAGCAGGAATGAATATATTCCCATCAACTCACATTTAATATAATGCTGTCCAAGCAAGGTTTGAGAAAACTTGAGCATGCTTGAATGGATCATTGCAAAAGTTTTATCACAATATTTGGTTCTGTGTAGACAAGCTTTCTTTTGATTTTGAAGATTTTCAGATGTGTCTCTCCTGTGAGTTTTTTTATTATGGCCCCGCAACAAAGTTTTCAGGCCATATAATTTTACCCTTGTCCATCATTCCGTCATTCCATCATTCCGTCATTCCATCATTCTGTCATTCTGTCATTCCGTCATTCTGTCATTCCGTCATTCTGCAACAAACCATTATACAGACTTTTTTTCTAAACGCCTTCAGATATTGGGCTGAATTTTGGTATGTGAGTTAACCATGATGAGTTACAGATCAAGTTTAAGTTTTGTTCCACTCTGCTAATTTTTGCCAAAATTACGGGCTTTGGACTTCGATAAATTGTTGAAAATCACAGTTATGCGGACTTTTTTTCTAAACGCCTTCAGATATTGGACTGAATTTTGGTATGTGAGTTAACCATGATGAGTTACAGATCAAGTTTAAGTTTTGTTCCGCTCTGCTAATTTTTGCTGAAATTACGGGCTTTGGATTTGGATAAATTGTTGAAAATCACAGTTATACAGACTTTTTTTTTCTAAACACCTTCAGATATTTGGCTGATATTTGGTATGTGAGTTAACTATGAAGAGTTACAGATCAAGTTAAAGTTTCGTTCCGCTCTGCTAATTTTTGCCGAAATTACGGGCTTTGGACTTTGATAAATTGTTGAAAATCACAGTTATATGGACTTTTTTTCTAAACGCCTTCAGATATTGGGCTGATTTTTGTCATGTGAGTTAACCATGTTGAGTTACAGATCAAGCTTGAGTTTCGTTCAGCTCTACTAATTTTTGCCGAAATTACGGGCTTTGGACTTTGATAAATTGTTGAAAATCACAGTTATACAGACTTTTTTTTTCTAAACAACTTCAGATTTTGGGTTGATTTTTGGTATTTGAGTTTACCATGATGTATTACAGATCAAGTTTAAGTTTCCTTCTGCTCTGCTGATTTTTGCCAAAATTACGGGCTTTGGACTTTGATAAATTGTTGAAAATCACAGTTATACGAATTTGTTTTCTATACGTCTTCAGATTTTGGGTTGATTTTTGGTATTTGAGTTTACCATGATGTATTACAGATCAAGTTTAAGTTTCCTTCTGCTCTGCTGATTTTTGCCAAAATTTTGCTCTGAGTCTACCATGATGAGTTACAGATCAAGTTTATGTTTCGTTCCGATATGCTGATTTTCATGTTGTTTCAACACATCTTCAGTACGTCCCCTTCCTGTTTGCTGATAGGTAATTTTTCTACTCATTGATCAAGGAAATTTTTCATCAAACTAGTATTGGTCTTGAGAGCTGGATACTGTCCATGCATGTTTGTGTCCACATGTGTTGTTGAAATTGCAGATTTTTCAACTTTTTGAGAAGGGGCCATTTGTGACGTTCCGACACATCTAGTTTTGATTAGTTTTGATTAGCTTTTAAAGTTTAAAATTTTTAGTGTTTTGTTCCATACAGAGAAGCTCCCTGTCTGTTTTGCCTATTTTTTAAATTTGTTGTTCCAGGGTTATAGGACTGATTTGTCAAAAAATTTTACATCTCCGAAAACATTTAAAATTATAAAATTTGTACACAATGTTTGGTCCCCTCTTATCTTGGTTTATTTTCAAACTGCAATTCCAAAGCTATGGAACTTTTCTTGTTAATATATAATAAATTTTAAGAATGTGATAGCTTTTTGTATATGTCTTCCACAAAGTCCATTATTTTCATGTGATCTTATAGAATTTTAAAACTATTTCAAGACTTGTTAACATTTTTCTGTTGTGAGACTTTAATGGTCACTTTAAGGCATATCATGTGCTCAATTGCAACATTTATTTTAATGCCAATTAATGATAACTTTAGCTTTTTATAAAAAAACATTATTATTTTGTTTATCTAATTAAGAATTATTTAAGCTGAGATTTATGTGCAATGCTTACAGATGCACAAGCCAATTCTGGTGAATGTGTAAGATTAGCTAGTAATACCAGTGAAAAGATCAATTTGCAAGAGATAAAGACTGCACAAGACTGTATACAGGCTGCAGCCAATCCTGATATAGTCTGTGATGTAGAAGAATTAGCTACAGTTTGGTGTAAACAAATTGAACAAGTAAGAAAATAATCTTAGCCTAGGACAAAATTTTTTTTAGTAAAATTTCATTTTATGTAATCAGTAGTGACAGTAATCTATGTGTTGTAAATTTTACTTATCAATGGCAATTTGCATCATTTGCTGCTTAATTTTGATTGTAATTCTAAAAAGGATAATATTGAAAGATTTGCCTCATTGGAAGTAATTTATATATTGAATATTTATTTGTTGGCTAGAGCTTTATTTCTCAAATTGTTTCATTTAAAGATTTTAGCAGAAAGTGACCAGATGAGGAAAGAAGCAGATGATACAGGTCCTATGGCAGAGTTGGACCACTGGAGACAGCTAATGGCCAGATTCAATGCCTTGTTGGAACAAATAAAAAGTCACAATTGTCGCATGGTCATCAATATTATCAATATTTCTAAATCAAAAGTTCTTAAGGTACTTTATTATGTTATATATAGCTCAATTCACAAAAAGCTATACAAAAGAACTAGGAACCATTTGTGGCCTTACTGGCTCTTAATTCAATTATATTTAAAACTAACTTGGATTTTCAAAATTAAATGTTGAATGAGTGTACTTTAATTTAAAAATGCCGGTTTTAAAAGAATGTTCTCTTTTTCTGAGGTATGTAGCTGTGAAACGACAGTAAATTCAGTAAAGTGGCGAAGTTATGCAAAATCTTGATTATTTGATTTGTACATACTATTACTTAGAAACAATATAGAGAACAACTGTCACCCAAAAAAGATATTTATTTTTGGTGAATTTACTGGTCTAAATAAGCCCAAAATCTACCTTGTCCTCTCCACAATTAAGTAATGTTTGTGAAACACATGCTTTGTCAAGAGGGAAGCACAATCCCTTAGCCTTTGAATGGTGTTTAGTGTAAGTATACCCCACGCAACGAGTTGCAGGGTATAATGTTTTTGACCCGTCCGTCAGTCTGTTTCTTGTCATCGCAACTCCTCTCAAACCACACAACAGAATTTCACGAAACCTTTTTAGATAATAAGGACATACTATGTAGTTGTGCATATCGACAGGAAATTACGATTCAATTCTTTTTCTAGGAGTTATGCCCCTTTGAACTTATTTACTTTAATGTACTACTGCAACAGTTTGTCATCGCAACTCCTCTCAAACCACACAACAGAATTTCATGAAACCTTTTCAGATAATAAGGACATACTACGTAGATGTGCATATCGACAGGAAATTACGATTCAATTTTTTTTCCAGGAGTTACGCCCCTTTGAACTTATTTGCCCAATATACTACTTCAACCTTTTGTCATCGCAACTCCTCTCAAACCACACAACAGAATTTCATGAAACCTTTTCAGATAATAAGGACATACTACGTAGATGTGCATATCGACAGGAAATTACGATTTAATTTTTTTTCCAGGAGTTACGCCCCTTTGAACTTATTTGCCCAATATACTACTGCAACCTTTTGTCATTGCAACTCCTCTCAAACCACACAACAGAATTTCATGAAACTGTGTAGATAATAAGGACATACTATGTAGATGTGCATATTGACAGGAAATTATGATTAAATTTTTTTTCCTGATACAATTTTTTTTTCTTACACTTTACACTTATTTTATTTCTCCAATGACAATGTGGGGACGTGGGGTATATGAGCGCGCTCACTAAGGTTCTTTCATTTGTGTTATGTTAGTTAAAATGTATTTTGACATTTCATTACTTGAATTGATTTATTTGTTTATGAATTATACCAGGTTGTATTATGATGAAATGGAGATCAATAAAACAAGATGTTGTATACAATTTATGCTATGATGGTTCAAAAACAGAATAAGTGACAAAAAAAAAATCCCTCAGGTTAAAAAACAGAAAATGCATAGAATAATACATATTTGAAAAATTCATAAATGAAACAGTCCAAACCAAATATGAGGATGCAGATCGAAATAGCATTAATATTGTAGCAAACATATTACTTTACAGCATGTATATACACAAACAAGAACTGTTCTATTTAGTCTCTACACTTCTCCCTGCTAGATGCAGACAAAGAAGTTAATTCTAATGATTTTATAATCTTGCCACAGCTACATTTTAATTCTTAAGTTCATGTAAAGAATTATGTCTTAGTCTTAGTTCTTTTTTTGGCAAATTCCAGCTATATTAAGGTCCATGCTTTTTTTCAGAAATGGAAGGAATTAGACAAGAAAATAACAGACAGTGCAAATGAAACCAAAGACAATGTGAAATACTTGTATACACTAGAGAAATATTGTGAACCTTTATACCGCTGTGATCCGGTAATGCTGTTTTTAGATTGAATACTAATGTACTATGTGATACACATATTTCAAACTTACTCATACTGAATCATGATGTCAACATTCCAGTTTCCAAATATAATTTGGTATCACCTAACATCAGTTCTTTACCAAGTTTAGTTGTACAATTACATTGATACCAGTTCTGAATATAATTACTTAACAAGTTCTCACTTTTTTCAAAGAGATTTCATGGTAGAAATTTATGTAAACTTGAAGATATGGTAAAAACATCAGTTACTCAAAATGTATTTATAAGTCCCATTTTAATAGGGTTGGTATCTTCACAATTGCCAGTTGGGAGGAGGGTAATCTTTTATTGATTTCTAGGTCAATATTTTTAAGTGGTTAAGGATGTTTCCTTCGTTACTTTTCAGTTTAATCTAAATAATAAGTAAACTCTCAGACTTTTAATAGGCAACATGAATGCATTAAAACTTTTGCTCTGCAACCCTATGTTTCCCAATGTTTTTAAAGAAACTATTTCTTAAATACACTTTTGGTAAATCATTTTGAAATTCTTGTTATTTCTAATATATTTTTCATACAATTAAAACATTCATTTCTTCTCCGACATTCATTTTATATAAAATTTCTAGAGATATCTTTTTCTTGCCAAAATTTTTGTATAGGTTTTCAAATGTTTGTATCTCGAAAACATACACACTGACTGGCATTTATGTTTCAATAATTTTGGTGCATAATGCATTATCTGTCATAAAAGAGATCAATTGAGAAAATTTTGTTATTTTGAAATTCAATAGCAAACATCCTTAGAATAAAGTCAAGACAAGAAATACACTGAAATTTTGGGGGAAAGTTTGGTTTTTAGATAGTAAAACAGACATCAAATTTATGAACCTTTCTAGAGTATTTATTATATGAAATAGACTTGATTTACAAACATAGAATTTTATCATGAATTTTTCAGGTTTCTATGACAAATTGTTTGCCAGGATTAATCAATTCTATTCGAATGATCCATAGCATTTCTAGATACTACAACACCTCAGAGAGGATGACATCATTATTTATAAAGGTAAACATTGATATTTTTTTAAGCTTTTTTTGCATATGAAGGATATATTTTTTGGCCCTTTAAATTTTTTTCTGGAATTTATTATAAATCATCATCATCATGAAAACAAGATTTCAAGATACTGAACTAAACTTTACTGATTCTATACATTTTTGTCAATGAAAGAACTTTGGAGAAAAATTTGACAGTATTATTTCAAAGAATTGCTGTGTTTTCTGATTTAAAATAGATAGAATGAGGAGACATGTTTTTGTGTGTGTGCATTTTAAATAAAGATTTTACTTTGATTTATAAAGGTGACTAACCAGATGGTAACTGCCTGTAAGAATTACATAACAGACCATGGAGTAAACAGGATATGGGATCAACAACGACAGCCTCTTATAGAGAAACTGCAGAACTGTGTAAATCTTTACAAGAATTATCAGACTGTATTCCAGAAAACTAAACAGAAAATTGAACAAACTCCAGGAGAGAAGCCATTTGAATTTTCAGAAATGTACATTTTTGGAAAGTTTGAAACATTTTGCAGAAGATTAGATAAAGTAAGTTTCTTGGTGATTATTAAATTCAAATAATTTGCAGTTTTTAGTTTAGCAATGTCTAGCTGTGACTGCATTGGTAAAACATTTGATAATTACCCAAATAAACGACAAGTATTCAACAGGCTGATATGACTCTTATATTATCATTTTATTGAGATTACCATGCAATTCTTCCTCATTATGAAACCTATAAAATGTTATGACGAGAAAACTTACTTGTAATACAATAAGGTGATCTAATTTTCTGTAAGGTATTTTTCGTATATGAATGCCAACAGTATTCTTTCTTGCATTTACCAAAGGTTTCATTCTATTAAACTATTTTTAGGCAGTAAAGCTGCCTTATGCTAGCACTCTACTTGCACTTTCCCCATGAATACTGAAATAGGTGCCATTGTCCTTATCTAGCAGGCTGGTAGTTCATGTATAACTAATTGGACACTTTTTTCATGCATTTAGTTCTGGAATACAAAAAATAATTTAACCTTAAATGATCGTTGAACAACCCAAAATCAATGATGTTGCACATTGGAAATAGTGCTAAATGGAAAGTCTTACATTGAGTTTTATCTTCTGTGCTTTTGATAACGATGTTAAAGAACAATTGTATGAAATTTCTATATACAAGTCGTTTACATTTACCAAATTACAAATTGCGCATGGATATCGTTTGGCGGTAATTTTAAACTAGTAGACAAAAAGTAGATTTCAGGGATTTATTATAAAGATGTGGTTGATACTATATTGCAACTTTGTTTACATGAATCGTACCTATTACAGTGTCGTTTAAACGTAGCAGTCATATGGCAGTCTTTAGGCAGTCATGCATTGATCACTTTATTAACACTTTCGTTCCTTTCTATTATATTATTCCATTTTATTACATAACTGGCCTTGTCAAATGAAGTTGTTATAGTTTGACGACAAATGATTCAGTGGCTTCTAAGTTCAAGATTTTGGTCACGTGACAAAAGGTCAGAGTTTATCGTGTATGCATTGTTTTCGGTTGGTTTTTATAGATCGATAACATTCTATTTTTATAATTTCTTTTGTCATGGAGACAAAAGGAAGCGCTAGTAAACAACACATAAAAACAGACTGACCATTGTTAATGATCTTTATTGAAAGAATTAAAACATATTATATGTGACAAAAATATTTTATTGAATTTAACAAGAGACATATATTTCCTTGATTTAACACTGTGACGCTGACATATCCAGCATAGCTCTCAATCATTTTTTGGGTTTCCTGTTCTTTTGATCGTGTTTGACCCCGTAATTTCAAATTTCAGATAACAACTGTATACCTTTTTCTCAATCTAAAAATTGGAATGTAAGTAACCGAAATCCACTCTACTGCTGCCAAGAAAAAATGGTTACTACTCAAAACTTTATAAATAGGGAAGTGAAGTTTTTTTTCTTCAAAATCCAGTTTGGTCAAAGCAATGAAGTATATTACTAGTTATACATCCTTGGTCAAAGTTGAAATAAAATTATCCGTATTTGACTATAGTTCCTCAACTTCAGAAAACAGTGTCAGTGGACTTGTTATTTTTTTTTTTTTTTTTCATAGAACGGAGGAAACGCATAAATTTTGCACTGTAGAACTTACGTCGACCAAACTCAGTGTTCTCCCCAGGCCAATATAATATTGGCGAGTGGTCCTTAGACCTATTAGTTTTAGGGCTGTCCTTTATTTCTGGCCCATGGTGCTATAATTTTCAGTAAAAAAATTGAAGTTGTAAACTAGCACATTAAAACATTTATTCAGCGTGTTGGTCCTGAACAAAGCAAGGTTCATAATCATGAACATAATATTAGCCTTCTATATAATATTTTGTCTCTCTGTGTGTCCGTCTCTCTGTCCGGTCTTGTTAGCGCTCTCACAGGTACAATTCTTGCCAGATTTTTGTAAAACTTATACTATAGGTTAATATCAGCAATATCTCGGACAAGTTTTATAATGGTGGCTGATCGACTTTTTTAAAAGAGTTATGCCCCTTGGAAATATTAAGTTTATGGAAAATGGCCTAGTTAGCGCTCTCACAGGTACAATTCATGCCTGATTTTTAAAGAACTTATACTATAGGTTACTATCAGCAATATCTCTGACAAGTTCTATAATGGTGGCCGATCGACTTTTTTTAAAAGAGTTATGCCCCTTGGAAATATTAAATTTATGGAAAATGGCCTAGTTAGCGCTACAAAAAAAAAGTGTTTTATTTAGTTATCGCCCTTGTACCTTGGATAGATAAAATATGTGCAATGCAGGGGACATTGGAACTCTGTTCTTTTGTCATTATTACTTTTGCCTTGGTTTTCTTTTAATTGCCCACAGCACACGCAGTGCTTTGATTTTAAGGTTTATTGAACAAATTTGTGTGTCTTCTATTTTGACATACAATTCGATCTGTGATTGTCACTTGTTTAATTCTTTGCAGACATTTTGGTGGAATTTTTTACTTAATATTGTCAATATTGTTTTTGCCTGTTATAATATCAATATCAGCCTCAAACTTTTATCATTTTGCTGTTTACATGTTCACCTGTAAATCCAAACTTTTGTTATATTTGTAAGAAGAAATTTGGGATATATATTAATGAAATTGCAACCCAACAACACAAACTTACACAAAAGACATTTAGAAATCAACAGACATTCTTCGACATTAGATAAGTGTCTGTACTATAAGGAAAAGGATAAGTCAAGGTTTAATTTTCCCTAGGTCTAGAATAGTTGTCATTAAATTAAACTAATACTTTCAAAGTTCTACGATAAGTTACAGAAAACTCTTAACACCAATTTTGTAAGTGTTTTGCAATTATTTTTATAGGAAGAGTTTTATGCTTTGGTTTTTTTTTTTTCAGATCATCACTCTTCTGAACTACATTCAGATATTTTCCACATTATCAGAATCTAAGGTAGAAGGAATAGAAACATATGGGGGCAGATTTCAGCAGATCTTGGGTAGCATAAAGAAAAAGCCATATGATTTCTTAGATCAAAGAAAAGTTGACTTTGATATTGACTTTGAAGACTTTAAAAGACAGCTGGGAGACTTGGAGGCAAGTAAATACTTCTTTACCTATTAGATTCCAGGTGAAATTTGTATTAAAGTAAGCCTCAATGTTACCAGGTGTTAGTATAGTGTTTGTGAATACTTATTGAACAAACTTTTATAAATGCAAAGGAAATTTATTCCATACTGATAAAAAAAAGCAACAAATACCAGATATTAGAATTTATTAATTTCATCTTTGGTTACATGTTGATCTCACAAAACAGAAAGAAATCATTTTCTAACGAAATACATAACTAACCAACCATTCATCCAGTATTTAGCATGTATTTCACCTATTTCTGGTAAATGATGAATAGATATATGAATGGTCTGCTATAGAATTAGTTAGGATTCAATTCAATAGGGCAAGACCAGTGTGAACTATTGCCATCACTTGGTGTACATAGTTAATTGTCTGTTAATTTTTCACATTTTTATCTTCACTGATTACCGTAGATAGGCTTGTATAGTTCGCACTGGTACATAGTCCGCACCCCCTTCTCCCCACGAAATTTTAGGTAAAGAACTTTTTGTAACTGTTAGAAAAGGTCTAATGAAACTCCGGTAATTTCAAATCCTGTGCGGTCGTTTGCGGTATTTTCTTGGGAAAACCTGTTTTCCATCATCAAACAGAAGCTGAAACTGCTTGTAAATGATTCTAGAATGCTTCATGATTGTTAAAATAAGTTTAATTCACTTAAAAAACAATTTAGAAACTTGTGTATGTTTAAACAGGAAGTTTAAAAAGCACGTGTAAAAGAAGAAACTAACCGGTGAGAGTCGAAATCCGTACATAACAGATATCACTAAAATACGACTTTGAAAGTAAAACAGTTCCATCCTTTTGTAAAACAGTCTTTAATATATCTATCACATTAATGTTTGAAGGGTCTTAAGCTAATACAAAACATATCAGTCAGTATAAAACACCAAAACGAAACGAACAATAACCGATTACGTTTTGTAGTTTACAAATTCTAAGCTGGTTTACGGTTGTCTTTTTCACTATGTTTGTATCGTTTCAATCAAGCAGATACCAGTTTATTTCAACCAATGCATTGAAAAGAAACAAGAAATTTGTAATGAAAGGTTTAGTTTTTTTATTTATCAGTATTAATTTGATATTGAATAGAAATAACTTATTAATATGGATGAGTTAAAATTATTAGTTTGAAAAATGATAAGAGCGCCCTCTACAATATAAATAACAAAGATGGCGGAACGTAAACAAACCACCTCGCCCGCGAAATTGAAATTTTTCTCTTATTTCTTGCTTATTGTACTCTATAGTCCGCACCCCGTCTTGAAGGTCCAATTTTGGAGAATAAAACCGCGGACTATACAAGCCTTTCTACGGTACTGAGCAAATTTTGACAAACTTTCACAAGAATAATGTTAGTAAGGCCCTTAATATAGTTACCGTAGAAAGGCTTGTATAGTCCGCGGTTTTATTCTCCAAAATTGGACCTTCCAGACGGGGTGCGGACTATAGAGTACAATAAGCAAGAAATAGGAGAAAAATTTCAATTTCGCGGGCGAGGTGGTTTGTTTACGTTCCGCCATCTTTGTTATTTATATTGTAGAGGGCGCTCTTATCATTTTTCAAACTAATAATTTTAACACATCCATATTAATAAGTTATTTCTATTCAATATCAAATTAATACTGATAAATATAAAAACTAAACCTTTCATTACAAATTTCTCGTTTCTTTTCAATGCATTGGTTGAAATAAACTGGTATCTGCTTGATTGAAACGATACAAACATAGTGAAAAAGACAACCGTAAACCAGCTTAGAATTTGTAAACTACAAAACGTAATCGGTCATTGTTCGTTCCGTTTTGGTGTTTCATACTGACTAATATGGTTTGTATTAGCTTAAGACCCTTCAAACATTAATGTGATAGATATATTAAAGACTGTTTTACAAAAGGATGGAACTGTTTTACTTTCAAAGTCGTATTATAGTGATATCTGTTATGTACGGATTTCGACTCTCACCGGTTAATTTCTTCTTTTACACGTGCTTTTTAAACTTCCTGTTTAAACATACACAAGTTTCGAAATTGTTTTTTAAGTGAATTAAACTTATTTTAACAATCATGAAGCGTTCTAGAATCATTTACAAGCAGTTTCAGCTTCTGTTTGATGATGGAAAACAGGGTTTTCCAAGAAAATACCGCAAACGACCGCACAGGATTTGAAATTACCGGAGTTTCATTAGACCTTTTCTAACAGTTACAAAAAGTTTTTTTACCTAAAATTTCGTGGGGAGAAGGGGGTGCGGACTATGTACCACTGCGAACTATACAAGCCTTTCTACGGTATTGTCTGATTAGTTGAAGAGCATGACTACCTTCTGAACTTTTTGTTCTGAATAGTCAAAATAAAAAAATTCTATTCTTAAGTAGGCTACAGGGTAAAATTTTACAGGAGTTCATAGAAATGATGATCATGAGACCCTCTATAATAAATCCTAATTAGATAGGGCAACCTTAATTCTTAACTGTAAGAGCTATTCCATTAAAATGTATGTGGGAGGGTAGGAAGAGACTTTCAAAATACCCCTACAACCAAGAACCATTTTTTAGATAATTTTGCATAAGGCCAAAAAAAAATATATGTCTGTTTACGGTTACCTGACCGACCCTACTTTTGAGCGCCGACCCTAAGTCATTTTATTTCCGTCCTAAAGTGAAAAATAAACTGAACTCGTGTCAAAAGCGAAGTTAGTGTTGCAAATAATATAAATCAATTGCCTGATACATCTCAATGTTCACAATCGTGAATATGACAGCTGTTTAAGGAAATTCGCAACTCGTGTGATGAAATAAACACTTTGCCGCCATTTTTACCAAGGGAAATAATCCAATCATTAAAAATACGGGTAAACTCGGCCCATAATCAACTCGGACCACAACATGACGAAACGGCATGACTCAAAATCATGTCACAAAAAATAAAATGAAAAAATAAAATAAAATGGAAATACCGACCTATCTACCCTATTTTTTTAAAGAATGTAACCTTAAACAGACATAAATTTTTTTTTGGCCTAATGGTAATAGACGCATACTGAAAAAAGACCCATGACCCACATTCAATAATTAAACTTCCCTCCCTACCCTCCCACATACATTTTAATGGAATAGCCCTAAGGGCAAAAAGCAAAAACTACAATAAAGAATTTTAGTAATAAAATTGACATCTTCATTCTTCTAAGTAAAAGGAACAAATCAATCTGAAATATTTTTCTATCCATCATTGTGTGAGAAGCCCTCAACTGATTAAAAACTAGCCATCATAGGCAGTTTTTGAAAATAATTTTCCTATTATATAAAAGTCTGATCTTTTTAAATTTTTATATCAGTGACAATTTGGCTATCTACTGAGCCTGATTTTGTGGATGAATGCTGGTTAATAGGATCATGAACATAAGAGCAGTGTCACGTTTTTACCATACTATTAGACTTTAACACAGAATATCACTGTACATGTTGAGTCTTTAATTTATGTGAAATTATCTTCTTTTCCAGACTGGCCTTGAAAACTTTATGGACAGTTGTTTCTCAAAAACTGCATCTACAATAATGGCATTAGAACTGCTAACTAGGTAAGACATCTAAATTGTATTAGACTGAAACTGAGTTCATGTCAAGTACTGTTAACAGTTTTTCTTTTGCCAGCTTTGCTTCTGAAATCTGTCTGTTAGAACTTGAATGCAATTGCAGCACTGAAAGGTTTGATTTGAAAATTTTTAATGTCATTTTATACTTATCTCCCATTAAAAATTGATGATGAATTTTGCAAATATTTTTTTCAGAAAAATTGTTTGATTGGAAGTTTTTGCACAACAATATTCAATCTTTTGACAAAACACATATGCTAATGTTACTATTGAAATTTAAGTTGCATAGATGGTAAGAAGTTATCAAAATTTTTACCAGGTTTGACAAACTGAAAATACCATCACTGAAGATTGATGGCAAATATGCTGTTATACTAAAACAGTATGGAGAAGAAGTGGAAGAAATCAGGAAAGTATGTTATATTATTCCCTTAGTAAAATGATTGCAGAAGGGGTCCAGGGTTAAGTAAATATGCTGCATTTTCCATCCTATCATTCATTTGTCTTAACTGTCTGTATCAGTGTGGATATTTGTTAATTGTAAACATTAATCAACCCATCTGTCCATAACTGTTGAGCTCTAATCTTGTTGTCGTTCTTCATCTAGCACAATCAAATGCTTGTCTATTGATTACTTTTAAGATCAAGGTCACAATAAACTATTAAGCCATAAGAGCTTTTAGGCAGAGGGAAGATACAGTCATCATACAATGTCTAGTGCTCAGCCATTGGTAAGCTGGAATACTTTTTAATATCAAGGTCATGTCTTGTGTCAAGATCAGCAGATAGCATTATAGAGAACCAGTCATTCAATTTATTGTAAGGAGTATCTCGGGTTTTTAATGCTATTGTTTTATTGCTGTTATCTGTTGATTTGTTTTTATTAGTCACTCAGTGATTTTACAAATATACTTTGATGTAAGAAAATCTTTTCTGAAAAATTTGGGAAATTAATTTGAAATTGAGAAAGAACTACCGTTATTCTAATATACTCTATGTCCATGTGCATTTCCATATCTAGAGTCAAACCTGATTAAGTGCTTGGCCTGCAAGTATTAAACTTTGTATGTAGGTATATTTAAGTTCTTCCTATTATTTGCAATAAATATTTGTCATGTTACCTACTGATAATCTGATTATGTTTGGAATACAGTACTCAGCATTTATGCATCTGTATGAATGGGTAATTATACACCAATGCTATAAAGGACATGCACAAGATTCACCTTATTTGCTTATAAACCTATTATAATCGAAAATCACTCAAGAGCATGCATTTAGATTATTCTGGTTTATCTATTTTCTAGCCTATTCTCAACAGTAATGTGACCCATAGTTCATGATTGATTGACTTTTGTTAAGGTTAACACCCAAACAAACCTTGGTTAAGTTTTATGTTGGACTTCATATCTCAATCACTATACATAATAGCATCATGTTAACTAGTTTAAGGCTGTTCCAAAATTTATGAGGTTGGTGAATGAGAGGCACTCAAATTAATTTAATACAGGTGATTGCATTTTCCTTAGAGTTTTGTAAGCATTATATGTAAAATGAAAACTTTAAAAAAAAAAGTGTCTCATGCACCCCATGGGTTTATGCTGGAACAGTCTGTATGCACTTTGACATGCATTTTTGATTCATTAACTTATAAATTTTTTTCTGGGTAGGGTGACAGGTTTTAGTTACTGCAGACTTATACCATGTAAACACACACGATAAAAATCCTGCTCAAAATGTTGGTCTAATACAGAGCAGAGTTCACATTAATATTACATTTACATATCCTTTTCCCGATATTCATATAATATTTACCACTGGGCATGAAACACCAATTTATCATCTTAAATCATAACTTTCTTAATGAACTTTTTGTTGTTCCTCTGGAAAGGAATTATTCAATTTCAAGAGAGCTGGTACCAAGCTTAATTCATGTCATCTCATACTTACTTCCCTTTCATGGAACACAAGAAATTTTTTCAATGTTCAGTTATGCTGTTTGATGTAATTTTTGATAATATGTTGCTCTTTCTAGGTAAGCTATGATGATATGATGTAATATCAGTTTATTTCTGATTGTCTAATAATGTGTTCCCATAACAAAATAAATAACGCTCAGAGAGGGTTGACTAGTTTTGAAAGCTGGAATTACCATCTATAATCAGTGTAGTTAAAAATATCATATTTTCAGTCATTAACTAGATTTTTACTTGAGATTGATTGATTCAGCTGGAAAACTGGCATTATGATAGAATTCCTTACACCTTGAAGCCAGCAGGTTCAAATACAAAAGCTTTAATGTTGACAGGTTAAAATAGTTATGATATAATGTATTATTTTAATTGTGATTATGATATATTGCAGCTTTATATGAAGTACAAAGAAGAGCCACCAATACCCAGGAACATGCCACCTGTAGCAGGGAAGGTCACATGGGTTAGACAGTTATCACACAGGATAGAATACCCTATGTTGATATTTATGGTATAAATAGTATTATTAACATTTTAATCTCTGCTTATTATCTCATTTTTTGGGGGTCACCTGTCCCATTGGGGCCAAATGAAATATTGCCATCAGTTATATGCGTCTATATATTTCAAAAGTGGCTGTACTTAGAGTTGTTAAAAATGACACTTTTTGAAAGGAGTGATTTTCAGTTTAGTTGAAGTATAAAGTAAATGATGTTTGTCTGTCCCATTCAACAAATGACAAAAATAGAAATATAGGGATAACGTGCAAGTAATTATTTAATTATAACTATAATTACATTTGTGGAATGCCATGTTTTGTAGACCTGAACCTAAGAAATAATTAGATGATTTACAATTTGCAAAGCTTAGTGTAACATATCTTAATTCAACATCTTTTGTAGTAAAAAAACAGGATTCATTAAAAAAACGATAGCAAAATGAACCTTTTGCTGCTATAAATGTTCTCCATACCTTTTAATTTTTGGTAGGAACAATCAGCCTGCTTGAAGACAGATGAAGCAAAGAAGATAATAAGAGCATATAACAGGATAGCAAAAGTGCTAGTAGAATATGAAGTACTGTACCACAATGCATGGATCAAGTCTGTGGAAGTTGCTACCACATGTAAGATTTGTTTAAAGCAGCACTTTAAAAAATAATTCCTCTAGGAGTGGGGGCTATATTTCATTCACCTTGTCTGATTGTTCGTACGGTTTGTCAACAGTTATTTTCATCACACATTTCTTGGGCACTAGTAAATAGAATGACTTCATATAAAGTGTGAGGACTTTTCTGGTCTTTCACACACCTACTTTCTGTCAGGCGATACTTTAGATTTTCAATATTTTGAATGAATTTTTAATTTTTTGTTACACTTTTCTCCACTACTGAACATGATGGCTTCATATTTCATCAGCAGCTTGGCAGTAATGAGTTGTTATATGACAGTGCTTTTTAAAACTTCTTAATTTCTTATTCTTTGAATTACTAATGGAGGTATGCTTAGAATGATAAACGCATGCAACTTAACAAGTCTGATGAAGATGTATTAATTTCTGCTACTGCTCTATACTATCCAAACTGGCTATCTATAATTGTTATGTAGGTGGATATTAAAAAGAAATTTATAAATCATGTTTATTTATTTGGTCTTACCAGCACATGTTCAAGGTCATTGTCCATATTTTATTGGAATTTTACTAGATTTGCTATTGACAACAAAATAAGGAATTAGAAGTAGACATAAAAAACAAAGAACAAGGAAAGAGTTGCACCACAGAAGAATAAAGTGATGGTGTAATTATTGTAACTCTGCTCTAAAAAAAAAGAAAGGGTATATACTGGTTTATCTCGATCTGTCCTTTTCATTATATATAATTCTTCTGTTCATATTATATTTCTATGGATTTTTTCTCAGCAACTAAGAATCAGAGCAGTTTTATATTTGGTTCCAAGCTTTAGATTTGTAAACTTTACCCTGTGACACATTTCTGCTCTGCCATTCATCTTGTTGTTTGCTGCTCTGTTCTTCACATTGATCCATGTAAAAGAAAGTTTTGTAGCATTTTTCTCAATAACTACAAAATCGAGTATCTTGATAATTGGTACAAAGTGTTATATAGGTAAGCTTTACTATTTAAGATATTTTCAGATCCACAAATAATATTTTTATGCCCTTTTGACAAAATGTCGAGGGGCATATTAATTTACCCTATCCGTCCGACTGTCCGAATATAGATGTCTGACTATCTCCTACAGTTTTTGAGCTACAGCTTTAATATTTATAGGATGTTTCTACACATAATAGAAGTGTGCATGTTCACAGAATTTTGATTTTTATGCCCCTACCACTAGGCGAAGGGGGCTTTAAGTGTTACCCATGTACATCAGTCTGTACGTCCGTCCCAAAATTGGTTTCCGTTCTCTAACTTTAGTTTGCCTCAACCAAATGCTATGAATCTTATACACAATGCTTATTACCACAAAACACGGATCAAGTTCGAATTTGGGTGGCGTCACTTTTACCGTTTTCATGATATGCCCTATGTTAGTCTTGTATGTTTTTTAAAATTTTGGTTCATTTATATGTTTCACAGTATAGTGTGACGTCCATTATCAGAACTAGTATACATTATTGTTTAGGGGCCAGCTTAAGCCCGCCTCCAGGTGCAGGATTTTCTCGCTGTGTTGAAGACCCATTGGTGGCCTTTCTTTGGTCGGGTTGTTGTCTCTTTGATACATTTCCCTTTCCCATTGCCAATTTTACCCTTTATAACGTTATATGCAAGTGGGGTGATCGTCTGTGTCCCATGGACACATTCTCCATTTATTTTAGAACTAGAACACACCCGCGAAATTGCGGGCATTTAGAGCTTGGTTGAAAGTATGTAAACTGTTGTAGGATGAATTTTTGTAAAAGATTACATGCAGAGGCGGATTTAGAGGGTTTTTCAGGGGGCTCGGACCCCCCCCCCCTTTGTGGGAAAAATTTGTTGATTATATAGGGAATCAATGATGCATGACTGGAGTGGGACCCCTCTTAGGAAGTCAGTGCCTCCCCCACCCTTATGAAAATTTCTGGATCCGCCACTGTTATGTCTGGACAATTTCAGAAAAGGTATCAAAAATCATAGGTACTTGGAGACAGGACAATATTTTTAAGCCCTCTCTCGAGCTCTTTTTTGAAAGTCCGTTATTTTTTTTGTTTTCTGTTGAATTCCATTATTTTCGCGTTTTTGTATACTATGAACATACGTATATTATAAATAAAGTGTATGTGCTATTAACTATCAATTTCAAGTTTCTTCTCCACGGCGATCACTGCTATAATCTATAGAGAGTCTCTATATATTAAAGTAGTATAATCATAGTATACATGATGATAAACGCGAAAATGATTGTCCTGTCCCCAAGGACTTATGAAAATTATTTGTAAGTTTAAAACCGGAAGTCTTGTCTATGACTTAAAAGTCGGTCTGATGACGGAAACAATCTCCGGACGTCTATATTTTCGTTTTTCTCCCCAAATAACCCAAACTGAATAATCATAAGAAGCATGATGATTTATTTATTGTGGAAGGAAGAGAAGCAATACACAAAATGAGGTCTTCTCGTTTAATAGTATAGATAGCACATATTTTTTTACAGATTTGCAAGTGCCAGTTTTAGTTAGACATCCTCAGAACCAGAACATGCTGTTAGTGAACTTTGATCCCTACATATTTGAAGTAATTAAGGAAGCAGAATATATGATGAAACTGGATTTAGACATTCCAGAACCAGCAAAACTATTGGTACATGCAAAAGACAAACTGAAAGACCACAGAAATCAGATGCAGGTAGGTCAATTGAACACACTGATACAAACTTGTTATATAAGTTAAGGCATCCAGAATCATTGGTATTCATCATATAGTGGTCAGTCCATCAGTTTGTGTGTCCAATACATCTTGTCTGCCCTATATTTTGTACCTTTTTCAGTTAATTGTTGATACTCGGTTAGCATGTTCACCAATACCACAAGTTGTGTCGCTAAAAAGATTTGTAACTATTATTCAATGTTCAAGTTCACAAATTTGGTTGAACATGTTGAAAGCTGCCTACCCTAGATTCTGAGTCATACGCTGTGCCTAATTCACTTCTTGAATAAACTTTAATTGATGATACTTGATGTGTTATGTATTGGAAAGATAAAATAAAACTTGCTTTAATGTCAAAAACTAAGTTTAAATATCCTAACCCTAAGTCCATATTCAAAAATGATGTCTGCTCTATAGTTTGAAAATACTTAGAGTTAATTGAAGATATCTGCTTGGTATGAGGTTCACTCATATAGGAGGTGTGTGGCAACAAACATTTGAATTTCAAGCCTAATAGTCAAGATTAAAATTTCTTTTGGATCCTTTCCTTTTCTTTTTTTCCAGAATAAATTTGATTTCAAACAATAACCTGGTCTTCGTTTCAAAGGTATCTAATTTTACACATTCTGCATACTTTTTATTTAAGTGACGGGCACATTCAATTCTAAAACAATGATTTGATGAAAATGTTATGAATAAAGTGTATGGTGAGCATCAATGTCATGAGATGTATGAAAACATACCATAGCAACTGTTAAGATGGTGAATAGCAATAACCGAGCTATTTCGCTAACAAACTGTTACTTTTCACCTCTCCATTAGATTGTTGCTTTTTTATTTATATCCGTTCCATATCAATTTTTTTACAATTTTTATACTATTTTTATACTTATTTTCTTCAAAAAATCAAGGAGAGGGAGATTTGAAATTTAGTAAGTATTTTTTGTATTTTTTAAACCTATTTATGAATGAAGTAAAAGTTTCTAAATGTATTCAAATGTATTTTTTTCAGTAATATAGATATTTTTGAATCTAAAAGAATAATTTCCTGTTGATAAATTTATTGATCTTTTATATGTTTTAACATTCTTCCAGATGCTTCTTGATGAAAACAATTCTATTAGAGATGACATTCCTACAGTGTTTCAGATTTTACTTGGACCAACCCTTAAAAAGGTAATTTATATCTTGTAATAAATGATTTTACAGATTTAAATAACAAACAAATTTTACTTATCTTCATGGTATATTTAAAAATTTAATGTCAATATATACTGTCAGACTATTTATTTTTTGAAAATATCCTCTAACAATCCTCATGGGATCAATTGGTGATTGACTGTCTTAAATGAAATTGTTTGGTTGAACCAGGCTTAACTGTGCATCAAACCTCCCATTTGTATGACAGTTATTTCAGTTCCAAGTTATCTTGGAGTTAAAACCAAATTTGGCTGTGTATTCATAATGCAACAAGGCTGCAAGATGGATGACCCTGAGAAAGTATAGCTGAAAGGACGGGGTGGGGGTGTTTATACATCCAGAACAACCAAAATGGGAAATATTCATACTTCTTTCTTAACCCTTTCGCCGACGAGTCCCAGTTTACGGGGATTGCAGCTTCAGCCAGCTGATGATGAGTCCCGATGCGAGTAGGAGGTTTAAATTTCCAGCTGGTTTTAGATTGCGTTAAGTCCGAGTTATTGTTCTTTGTTCATTTCCGCCTTCTATTGTAATGGAGAGTAAAAAAAAAAAAAAAAAACAGGTTGAAAAAGACGAAATAATAAAGATTTTATCATGGTTCGAAAGTTGGAAATCAAAATAGACTAAATGTTATAAAAAATGTCGGACTTGAGTCTGAAAGACAATCAGAAAGTGACGATTCTGATGAGGAAAACAGATATTTGTCTTTATTGTTGGTTGACAATGCCCTTGATAGAATTTTAGAACTTTTAAATGAAGACGAAAACGAAGACGCCGAGGAATTTGAAGGGTTTTTGCCGGAATATAACCGGGAACCTCCACTGAACTTTAAAATGTCAAATTCAACGTCTAAATCTTTGATTATAGTGGGTCTCATTGGGGTCTAAGCGTGACACGGGATTGGCTGATTTTTTTTAAGCGTGACACGTGAAAGTCAAATAATTTAGCGTGAAAACGGGAATTGAAGTCAAGCGGGATGCAGGAAATTATATGCGCTATTATGGCAACGAAAAGCGGGATACAGGATTCTGACAAAACAATAAGCGGGATTGGGGATCAGACCACCCCAATGAGACCCCTATTATACTGGAATTTCAGGGCCACATCGAGTACTGGATGGAAGTAACACAGCCCTGGACTATATTCAGTTATTATTTACTGATGAACTGATAAATAAAATTTGTGAATGGACCCAGAAAAACGTGGCTAGCAAAGTTGAAAATGATCCTGATCATAACAAAGGAAAATGGACATCCATAACATTACTTGAAATGAATGCATATTTTGGAATTAAATTGGCAACTCTTATGTGTGTAATTTGTCCTAGACTTGAAAGATACTTCTGTCAAAAGCCAGACAAGTAGATTTTTGCAACCCCTGGATTTTCTAAAACATTTGAGTATTGTAGATTTGTCCAAATAAATAGATATTTACATTTTCATGATGATGACTTGGCTGATAGATCAGACTTGTTGTATAAAATTAGCCTTATCTTGGTTATTAACAAGAAAAGTTTGAATTCGAATATTATCCTGCTCAAAATGTGTCGATTGATGAGTGTATGTTTCCTTTAAAAGAAGATAAGGCATCAAACAATACATAAAAGACAAACTGAACAAATGGGGCATCAACACGTTCTTACTTTGTGATTCTCTGACGGCATATTGTTTTTGTTTTGAAATTTACATTACACGTAACAGTGAGTTTGAAGGTGAAAATATTGGACTAACGGCTGCTGCTGTACTAAATTTAACAAAGGGTATGGAATTTAAAGGTCATATTGTGAACACAGACAACTTTTACAGAAGTGCTGTGCTGGCTTTCAACTTGAGGGCTTGTGGTATAGGTATGGTCGGCCCAATAAGGAGTAACCGTAAAGGATATGCCAAAATTTTGGCTACAATTAAGGATAAACATTTACAAAGAGGCCAGTTTATATGGCAAATGTCTGATAACATTTTATCTTTAGTTTAGAAAGATAAGCGTCTTGTTCACTTTCTATCTAAAGTTCACAAACCAGTCACACTTCAAATTGGACGCAGTAATAAACAAGGTGTTGTTGAATATATAAATTGTCCCACTCTTGTACAGAACTACAATAATCAAATGGGTGGTGTGGACAGAAATGACCAAATGTGCCAAGCAGTACAAATGGTACATGCGTTAAGCCTTGAAAGCTGTATTATGGGCCGCATACAATACATACATCTTAGAAGGTCATGTTGTCAATCATAAGCCGCCGTGTAAAAGACCCCGTGACTTTCAACAATTCATTGATGAACTAATTCATAGTTGGTGATCATAGAGTTGAAAGGAAGCTTAAAAGAAGAGCAAATGTAGAAAACGGAATACCAGAATGTCTGGTAAATGTTGGGGTACATTTTCCAAATTCGGAAGAAAATGAGAGTACAAATCGTACATGTGTCGTGTGTACAAAAAATCATCCTGTATACTCCAATGCTAACGAACAGTTGCTAGAAAAGACAATCCTTATAAGCTTGTGAAAACTGTGTTTAAATGTTCTGAATGCAATGTTTACCGTTTTGTTAAAAAGGGTTCATCTTGTTTCAAAGACCATCACACCAAAGTGCAGTATTGGAGATGACTTGTATTTTTTTTTTTTTTTGTTAATTGTATTTACCTTTTCTAGTCAAATATTAACATGTTCCAATCTAATGTTTACCTGTTCTAGTCAATGAACTACAAAAAAACACTAAATACACAAGAAGGTTGTAGAATTTTATTCATTTTACACCAATTTACTAATATACAAAAGTATTATCAAAGTCTGTATTTTGCTGTCTCATTTACAATTTATTTACATGTACCTGTGCTCACCTGTAATTAGAAATATATCAAATTATACATAGAAGTTACCTCAAATTATGAGATTTAAGGAACAATTTTAATACTTGATTGTGAATTTTAATCATATAATTTTAATAGTTGGTTTTACCTGTTAATTACATTTTATATTACCTATGTTTTGTGATGTCACCCAATTTTAAAAATGAGGACATATTTTGGTCTTGAGTAATATCTCTCAAAGGAAAAAAAATTATGATGATATCAAAAAAAGTGAAGGTTTGATTATGTATAGAAATTAAGTGGTCAGATTTTAGGATATTTGTCTGGGAAGCCATCCTCACTGGTATTCCATCGTCTGGGCAGTAATTAGTGAAAGGATTAAGGAAGTTATTGTACAATCTATCAATTGAAAACCTCACATTAATTCAAGAATAACTATATGCAATTATTATAACCACATGCAAGATACATCCCACAATAAAAATGTCAATATTGAATAATTAAAATAATAAATAAAACTTCGACATGACAGTTAAGGTCAATATAAACCATTATTAACAACAGGGGAAAACTTATAAGATTATAGATCCTCGTAAAGCAATCCAAGAAGTCAAACATTACATTCCTAAATCTCAGGAAACAATGACTATAATCTACAGGCAATATAAATGGTACAGAAATTGATCTAGAAATTTAAACATGAAACTCAGGATACAATAACTTTAACCCTTTCCTCCATGGAAATTTTTTTTTTACATACTTGATTTGCATAGGATTTTTCATTAAAATGCTGAAAATATGCTTACTTTAATGAAATATTGACTGTACCTCTAATAGACCAGTTAGACATTTGAAATTTTTTGTCAGTTATACATTTAAGTCAGATCTTCAAAATTTACTAAAAAAAAAAATTTTAATATTGTTGCCATGGTAACAGATTTATCCAAATATAAAATTAAAATGGTTAAATTTTGGGTTAAATCTTGTAATATCAATTTGTTTCTAAGAAAACAATGAGAGAATTGAATGTACATAAATAATCTGAATGGAAACTTTATTTTCTTTAAAAGTTGTCTATTTTTTTCCTCATAGCAACAGAAGTATTTCCGTAGCAACCAAAGAAAATTGTGATTAAAATTTGAATTTAAAAAAAAAATTGGTGAAAATATTTAAAAATAAGGTTTTTACAGGTTAATCAAGATGACTCATATATTGGAATATATTATGGAAAATAATATTGTACATTATTTTTCCCTAGCAACAGTTTCTGTTCATAGCAACCAACTGAAATCCTGTATAATAAGTAAAAAATGATCAGTTGACAGTTAGATATTTTGGATGATAACAAATGGAAACTTTTTATCACAACATTGCTCTTGAAAAAGATTTAACATATGTGTGCTCCTAGCATCCAAATAAGGCCCAAGAATCAGACTAAAAAGTAGATGCTTAGGCCAACAAATTAGAAAATGCATTATTAGTTATCAGATATCTTGTTTCTAAAAGAAAATCTATGATGTTTGCGAAGTTGTTTAACAAAGACCTTTTTGTATACTAGTAGTGATAAATATCACAGTTTGAAAAGGCAATATGAAAATAATAGCATGTGGTATAGTTTCTTTTTATTACATTTTTGTACACCATTTTGCATCTGGTTTTAGTTGTGTTCAATGGAACACTGACACTGTCATTGTTAACAACATGCTGATTATGCATATGCCTGTTTCTCTTTGTAAAGTCCCCTTGAAAATGTAACATCAATCCTGAAATCTAGAAGGGTATTAAACTTTTTCCTATGTTGATATCCTGCTGTGCGTTTCATCACAACTTGAATTTATAAAAAATAAAAACATTATTTCAATTTAGGTTTTTTCCTATAAAGACAAACCCCTTCCCCTCCAGAAATAACAATACATTAACTTGAAAGAATTCAGCTAACCTCTTCCCCAGGGTTAGGTTTTTTCTTTGCATCATTCCTTCTTCTAGATACACAGAAGATTTGAAAGAAAAAAGATGAAGGAAAGGTTCCATTCATTTGTAAAACACGAATCATACATATATGCATATCTTTCAAAATCTACAATAGATAGCCATTACATTGATTGGTTGTTTGTTTCACGTGCAGTGGCAATTATTTCATGCATATTCAGAAGGAGGTCCTTATAAATCGTGAAGAGAAAAATGCACGTATGTCTGTTCTTTTAGTCTGACATATTTTATAAATGGGAAGTGAACCGCAAAGTTAAGGCTCTGTAATTTGTTAGTCAAATTGTTACTACTAAAACAAAGTGGTTCACGGAACCATATGCCTTCATAATTGTTGAAATAAACATCGCGGAAAAAATATTCATCATCTTTTGTTTGTGTAAACATCACTGTAAAAACGGTAAATTCTATTGGTGGGCGGGGCTTAGAATCACAACTTACGGATGCTGAATATTGTTGCATAATTCGCTATTCTCGTTAATTTAATTGAAGAACTTAAAATAATTATGATTGAAACTTAAATGTCACTTTCTATAAGCAAAAACATTGAAAGATTGTACGTTGAAAGATTTTTTTGTAGCCTGGGGTCCTGGCTAATCTGTCAGTATAGCCAGGCGTGTATCAATGTCCTGCCTGTCAATGATTGGTTAATACTAATTTTGTCGCGCAATATTTGTTTTACATCTGTATCCAATCAATTTTTGTTTAACATCAATTAGTAAAAATTATACTGTATTTATTTTTCTTTATGAATTGATGTACAGTGTTATCATATCTAATTATTAGTATGATGATAATTAGTAAGCAGAAAAGGGTTAATTCTTATCAGTAATCAACTGGTGAGAAAGTTAAAAGTTTAAGATTTCACATGACCAAGGTGTGAATTGGATTTTACTTTTACGACCTAATTTACATGTACACATGTATCTCAAAGGGCAAAATATATATGGAAAAAACCGTAAAAAGTAAAGGCCAACAAAAATTGCAGTTATTTTTTTTTTGGGAGAGGGGTTACATTTCAAATGATGTGTACATGTGCGAAGATACACCATCGTACATCTATTTTAAATTACAATTACATTAGACAATTACAATATTTATTAAATTTGATTTTTATAAATAAAGAGTTGTTTCGTTGACTCTTACCCCATATAATCCTTCCTGATAAAATATATATTAAATGTACAACATTTTTACAAAGTTTCTTTTGATTACACATACTAGTATTTATTTATACTGTTTAATATATAATAATTACATGTTTCGCCTGCAAGGCAGGCTTCATCAGGACAATTTTTATACAGAATTTAATCCCTGAAGTACTCAAAGTGGTGCATGAAATTTGACGTCGTCATGGTGAGAGAAACAATGAAAAGTGAAAGTAGCAATACAGAGTTATAAATAGATAAGATAAATATAGAAAATTAAAGTTTGTTTACAATGTAACTTGAGTTTGTTTTACTATTATATGATACATGAAATTGTTCTAATGGCTTGGTATCTAATTGGACGAACTTCCCATGGTTCCTACCACTTCGCAAGGAACCATGGGAAGTTCGTCCAATTAGATACATGTAGACATAGATAATAAAATTGCAGATCTTTTGAAGTGTTGTTGTCAATTTTAATTATTATTTAAGGATTGCATTCATTTGCATGATTTGACAACCCGGCATACCAAGGTATCCACTTCAGGGACTCTACCAAAACGATTTCACAGGCGTTGGTTCACCACACGGAATTTAATTTTGTTTAATATATATTTATTTTATTATATTACTGACAATGGGGACTCGTCAATCTGAGAGCAAAATGTATTGAATCAGAAGCAATGTTTCTTAATCATTGGTTTGAAATCTCTGGTTTACATCAAACATCAAAATTTATGCAAATATTTATTCAGCCTCACTTTAGATTCAGAGTCAACTGGCACTGAATCGATCACGTGGTATTTGTTCCCCACCTGGCCCTTGCGACGCGCAGCAAGATCGGGCCGGGATGCCAGGCTAATTTTTTTGTGGTCATTAAAATTTGTATGTTCCCGCCCACTTAATGACTCGCCGGAAGTCGTATAATGGGATTCCCCAAACACATGTTTACATTTTACAAGTTATATTTGTTCACTCAATGGGTCAGAAAAGAATTGTATGGACTCGACTGCATATCTCCGCGTTGTTCATTTAATTTCTGATATTTCAAAGTAAGTTTAAAAAAAAATGCTTTTGTTGCAATAATGTACGACTCCAAAGCGAGAAAAGCGGCAGTGAACACTCGGAGTTTCAAAATAAAGTTTTTCTTACGGAAAATAATTTTTTACGCAAACTGTATCGTAAACATTGATTATTAGGTATTTTATAACCAGTTGGTATTAATAACCAACAATAAATGTAGTTAACGTGACAATGTCAGTGTTCTGAAACTTGGTTGTCAACAAGAACTTCAAAAAAATGGCGACGGCTATTTATAAAATAAATCGGCACGTTTAAAGTATTAATGCATTGCGAAAACAAATATTTCATCAATGAAATTTAAGTCAGATGTTTTTATGAATATCCTTTTTATATTGGATACAAATTTTATTAAGTCTGATACAGACATTTCGTAGTCAAAGTGTTTCAACTGAGGTACTATACAGAGGCGTCAAAAGGCGTCATTATGGAGTAAAGGGGGTGGCGTCAAAAGGCGTCATTATGGAGGAAAGGGTTAACCCAGCTATGACATTACTATTGGTAGAAAGCAATGGTACAAACAACATTGGGCAAAAATTGCATAAACAGATTTATTTCAACAGTTTAAGCTTTCAACATTACATTCCTGAAACTCAGGAAACAATGACTTTAACATTGACTTGAGCTATGATATTGATATAAAGTAGAAAGCAATGGTACAAACAACATCATAAAAAATGGCTGAAAAATTAGACTTTTTAGTTTCAGGATGTTAACTTCAGTACAACTTGACAGAATGATTTTAAGTTCATACATATTTTCATGGACCACAAACTAAAGAAACGTTTTATTTTGAGGGATTTGACATTTACTGATCAAAGAGTAATATGTCCTGAAAATTTAATTTTTGTTTTGTTTTTGTTTCTGGATGATAGTAAATGTTCCACATGAAAAAATCTTTATAAATTTAAACACAATACCATTGAGCATAATGAATAAGTTTGACAGAATAGGCATTTTCTGTTCAGAGTATGCTGAATCACTAAATTACTTCATTCTGGTATTATTTAGAGATGGCATGCAAGCGACACATATATTTTCTTGAATAGGTTCAAGGTGTTAAAGGCCTAACGGTATATTTTTTATGTAGGTTGACATAGCAATGAGACCAGGAGTTATTTCTCATACATGGACATCACTGAGTCTTCCAGCCTACTTTGAGGAGGTGAAAATAGCTTTGAAAGAACTGAAGATAGTGGTGAAACAAGTAAGATATAAACATTGAATTTCAGAGGAGTGATTATATTATATAAATTGATAAGTTATTAAACTTACCTATATGATTTTGGTATGCTTTGAGTTTGATCATATTTTAGTTCGGTCAATCAAATCTATGATAAAGAATATTTATTGCAAACCAAATAAAACTTTTCCACAGAATCATTTCGTCTTGATCTTTCCAAATTCACCTGTTCCATTGTATAAATACAATAGCTATTGTTCCCTGTGGCAAATCATTCATTGATTAATTTAGCTAAACAAAATATTTAACTCCCAATGATGAAAATTCCTGTACCAATACTAAATAAGGACACACAACACTGCATTTGATATTGTATTTATTCAGTATCAACTGATTTATACTGTAATTGTTGTAATTTGTTGTTCTGTGGGTTACTAGATTGTACGAAGGAAATGTTGACTACATTGGCAATGTGCTATATTAGCCTTGAGTTTTATCAAAATAAAACCATAATGGATATATTTGATTTGCTGTTATGCGCCAATTATTACTTTATTGTCTACAGCTTCTCATAATTTTTTTAACAAATGCTTTATTTTTCAATTTGTTCAATAACAATTACTGATAACGCCGATTATAAAAAAAAAAAAATTTGACAAAAAGTTTGCTATTACATGTATAAGTTATATGGTTCGCTACTGACCTCTTACGGATCCATAGAGGGTTATTAAAATCCATAGGGGATGAGGCCAAAGGCCGAATCTCTTATGGATTTTATTCACCCTCTATGGTCCGTAGGTGGTCAGTAGTTAACCGTATAACGTATTTATCGCCCGCGAGACTTTTTTCCGCTGTGTTTTGTAGAGAAATAAACAATAAAACACAACAACATTAATAGATGACGTCACTATTAACAGTAGACGTAACGTCATGAACCCCCTATGAAATTTACTAACCCCCTACGGATCCATAGGGGGTCACCACGTGACGTTATTAAACCAATCACAACGTGATAATTTACTGGCGGTGCGATAAGTTCCTATGGAAATTTGTGATTTCCTTTTATTTTTTTAAATATTTGTTCAACCAATAAAAACTTGAAAATGACAATGTTTATATTTATTCCATGAAACATCAATCAACCAAAATTCCACAATAGACATTAGACATATACGTATCTATTAATACTTATATATGGGAATTAACTGTATTAGCAACTAAATTGCTATAATAGTACAGAAGCTAATCTTTAATACCATGTTTAATAAATCTTAATTTTTTTTTCTGTAATGTTATCAATTTATTGAAACTCCCTGATATTAATTGTAAAGATTTACATCAGGGGAATTACCTGGAATGAAGGTATGGTGCTAATGTCTGACTCAGTAAAGAACATGCACAAAATATAATAACCTACATGTACTGACCAAATAAAATGAACATTTGTTCTCAGTAATGTATTGACATAAATTATTAAATATTTCCTCTTGCTCTGACAATACATGTCATTATTCAGTATTGGTACATGCATTTTCATCACTACAAGTTTGCTTTTTTTTCTGTCAAGCTAAATTAATCAATGAATGATTGACTTTTTCAAGAAGAAATTTCAAGGCCCAATTGAATAAACTCCACAGAGAACAATAGCTATTGTATGTATACAATGGAACAGGTGAACGTACAAACATTTAAATACCTTGACCGAGAAGAAATTTTTCTGTTGGAAGGTTTCATTTGGTCCGCAATAAAGGTTTAGGCTATAATGTATTAGCCCAGCATGACAAGGGTCACACATTGTTGCCTGTCGTAGCTACCACATATGTTATTGGTGTCAAAAAATTAACTTCAATTTTAAATAAATACCCTATTTCTTAATGTAATTTCTAGTATAAGTGTTTTAGTTCAAGCTTAAATTTGAGTCCCAAAATTTCTTAAAATAAAATGTAACCCTTTTTCTCCTGACAGAAGACATTTGATCAAGTTCTACGAAATGTCATGTTACATATCAGTTAACAACTTCAAAATGTTATGTCAGAAAGATTGCCTTATAATGAAATGTTTTAGCAGAACTTTTAAAGTGTCAGTAGCGAATTAAGCTATATAGGAATCTAGAAAACTTAAAAATTAAATTTACCTTTTTATTCACAAATGATAATTTGTTAAATTTTAAACCAATAACATCAAATTTGTATGGAAATATATACCAGTAATAGAAATACGACTATGTGATTTTATAGAGAAGTCAGTAACAAGTCTACGTCAATAGCTTAGAGTTCTCAAAATCTTTTTTCCTGGTGGTCATTCAGAGAAAATTTGTTGGTTCTGTAATTGTACTTGAATTTAACTCTATTACTATAAAGTAGGTTTAATTGGTTGATAAGTATACAAAACTTTTAAGCCCATCACTTCTATCAGTTTCATCTGGGTTAATTTTTAAATGGTAAATTTATATGATTAAAAGTAGGTTGATTTTGGGAATTGAACCCTTAACCATGTTAACCAGATACAATTCAAAGAAGTTATATTTTCAAAAGTTTAATACCAGCAGTAAAATGAGTTATTAAGTCTCCCAAACGAAGTTTGGGAAGACTTATTGTTTTTGCTCAGTTCTTATTATTATTATTATTCTTCCTCTTCCTCTTCCGCCACTTTTAAATTTGAACTTGTCCGCACCCGTTCTCCAAAACCGCTTGTCAGATTAACTTAGGGTTTCACAATATGTTAGACTAACATGTCTAGTGGTGCAATCAGGGTTTTGTTTGTGCAATAGGGTTTATAAAGGGGTACTTTGAGGGGCAAAGAGAAAGGAGGGTTTTACTATAGAACCCTATGGGAAATTATTTTTTTAAATTTTCAAATGATTATAAATTGAAAACCATTTGTGATAGACACAATCTTTTTAATTGAAAATGTTCTAAATGATAAAGCACATTAAATGAAATACAGGGTTAGTCCCCAGGGGTCACCCCCACCCCCTGCCATTTAAGAAAGTTCTAATACCTTGTAAGTGGTCAAGATCCCCACCCCTAAACCATATATATTCTGGTTTGTCATGCTAAGAAGGTTTGAATGATATACAGGGTTAGTCCCCAGGGGTCATCCCGACCCCCTGCCATTTGAGAAAGTTCTAATATCTTGTAAATGGTTGAGATCCCCACCCCTAAACCATATATATTCTTGTTTGTCATTATAAAGCAAATCAAATAAAATACTGGGTTAGTCCCCAGGGGTCACCCCTACCCCCTGCCATTTAAGAAAGTTCTAATATCTTGTAAGTGGTCAAGATCCCCACCCCTAAACCATATATATTCTGGTTTGTCATGCTAAGATGGTTTGAATGATAAACAGGGTTAGTCCCCAGGGGTCATCCCCCACCCCCTGCCATTTGAGAAAGTTCTAATATCTTGTAAATGGTCGAGATCCCCACCACTAGACCATATATATTCCTGTTCGTCATGTCTCGAACATTTGAATGACGTATAGGATCAGTCCCCAATGTTCTAATATCTTGTAAGTGGTCAAGATCCCCACCCCTAAACCATATATATTCTGGTTTGTCATGCAAAGATGGTTTGAATGATAAACAGGGTTAGTCCCCAGAGGTCATCCCCCACCCCCTGCCATTTGAGAAAGTTCTAGTATCTTGTAAATGGTCGAGATCCCCACCCCTAAACCATATATATTCCTGTTCGTCATGTCTTGAACATTTGAATGACGTATAGGATCGGTCCCCAGGGGTTCCCCCCACCCCCTTTGTTCTAATATCTTGTAAATGGTCGAGATCCCCACCCCTAAACCATATATATTCCTGTTCGTCATGTCTTGAACATTTGAATGACTTATAGGGTCAGTCCCCAAGGGTTCTTGTAAGTGGCAAGATGATTTGAATGATATACAGGGTTAGTCCCCAGGCATCACTAATGCATATAACTTTACCAAACCAATTTTCACTGGACTTTGCCCAATGTCAGACGACCCTGGGAATTACGAATTATGGGAGCTTCGTTTGGGAGACTTCGTAACAGCATCCTGTTACAATCATTTCTTGTTTATAGTAGAATTACAATTTTGAAATTGGGTACCTAAAAATTAGGACAGTTTTATATGTTCTACTTTTCTGTTGATCTGTTTTTGGAGAAAGATCTTTATCACAAATTTTCATAATTTTGTTTAAAAAATATTGAATGTCCAGGACATCCTGTCAGTTGTAACTTGAGATTGTAATGAATGATTGTAGGCCAATAAATGTCTTTCACATATTAATTAATAAAGTAAGGGCTAACTTTTATTTTTATGCCCCCGCTGCAGTGCAGAGGACATTAAGTGTTACCCTTGTCTGTCTGTACTGTATGTACGTAGGTCCCAAAATTAGTTTCCGTTCTCTAACTTTAGCTTGCCTCAATTAAATGTTATGAAACTTATACACAATGCTTATTACCACAAAACTCAAATCATGTTCAAATTTAGGTGGCAACACTTTTACCATTCTTGAGTTTATATGTCCCTTTATAATGTTATATACAATTGGGGGCATCATCTGTGTCCCATGGACACATTCTCCATTTATTTTCATTAAAGATGTCAGATTTAAAGAATAAGTTGATGAAACAAAACAAGCTGCTGATCCCCAGCTTTCCACGTTTTGTACATGTACTTGCAATCAAATTATTCGTAGACTGTTTTGAAATTTTCACATTTCAATTTTAATAAAATAATAGAAAGAAATTGGCCCATTAATATCTACCCCTAAACCTACTGAAAAGTATAACTGGTCGGCTCGTAATAAAATAAGAAATCATTCTAGTGATTACGTAACATTCTCATTACACAAATCAATCATTGTAAAATGGTAACTCAAACAATCGCTGGGTTCTGCATTAAAATTGTTTTGAATGTAAAATCCAAGGGGGTGCAAAGTTTATGTTGCGTAAAAATTTCGTCATAGTATGCAAGACATAGGGATTACTCAGGGTTTTCATTAAGAGCCGGCAACCGGCGGAATGTCGCCGTTTCAAAAGACGGAAATCGCCGGTTCAAATGCTTAAACAAAAAATATTTTTGAAGAGAGTAAAATAAAAACAAAGTTTTATTAACCTTTTGTCTCATGCAGTTTTTAGTTTCATAGATTTTTCAAAAACGATGCCTTTTAAAACCGACAGGACCATTTTGTCTGACTGAAAGTAAACTTAAAATCGGCGTCAGTAAGACGTTTGCCTGCATTCAAATACGATGTTCAATCAATCGCTTGTCAATGGTAAAATCAAGAGGGATATCGAAATAAAAACGTATGTTATCAATCGATAACTCATGAGAAACCAAAAATTAAAAAGTTTTAGAAGGCAATTTTTTAAATTGAATGTCAATAAATAAAATGAAACTATATGAAATGAAAAACCAAAAGTAAATGATTTCTTTACCAGCCAAAAGACAAAATCATTGGAACCATTTACAGGTAAAACTTTTTATTTGAAGTTATTAAATTTCAAAGAAGCCTTAGAAGGTCTGTACAGTCTCATGTTTATATAAATGAGGCCTGCCAAGCCTTCTATGCCCTTTTTATAATGTAACAAGTATTCCATTAATTATTACCACCCTTTAACTCTTGGGGAGGGAAGGGGGGTTGAAAATAGTGCCTAGGCTAGGAGGGGTGCTGCCCATTTTTTTTTTTTACCTTTTCTTTCAGTTTGTAGTATATAGTTCCAGGTTTATTACTGCCCATTTGTTGTGGATAGGGCCATCAAAGAAGCCTATGATAGGAGGAAGGCTTCCCATTTTTTATTTATAGTTGTACCTTTCACCTCAAGTTTTACTGAAAAAGCAGGTAGGAGGGTAATTGCCAAGGCTAGGGAAAAGGCTCTCTTTATTTTTTTCAGTTATAATTTTCCCCTTGCTGATCATAAGCCCACTCGTTGAAAAAAGTACCAATGTTAGGATGGGTCCTGCCTCAGTTTGAATTTTTTTTACATTAACCTATCTCGAATGGAAGCCTTTGTTAAAAGTGCTGGCTAAGAAGGGGTGGACATTTTCCCACTTTGGCATGTATGTCCTTTCCCAGGTTTGCATGTTTTTATTGAAATATAGAACACATGTAAATAATATTTCTTTTCTGGATCAAAACTGAAATTGTCAGATTTTTCAGATGACATATATACACGTAGATCTTCACATAAATATGAGAAGATGTGGTATGAGTGCCAATGAGACAACTCTCCATTCCAAGTCACAATTTGTAAAAGTAAACCATTATAGGTCAAAGTAAGGCCTTCAACACGGATCTTGGTATTAATAGTTTATGCTGACCCTCCGTTGCTTTCTTACTTTTTGCGAAATCTGGCAATACAATAACAATTAAGATTATTTTTGATATATTTTTATTTGTCTTATTTTAATACGCAATATCACAAGACTGACCTTACAAGCTAAAAAAAGATAACATTCCTATGAAACCCCATTTTTTATGCACTTGTAAATAGTTTAAAAATGCCTCAGAGTGCACCATTTTCAATGTGAGGTCAAAAAAAATTTCGGGGGGGGGCAAGCCCCCCCTTACCCCCCCCCCCCCCCTTTTTGGTCAGCCACTTCAAATTAGTAAACAGCCTGTTCAATGTAAAGTTATTGAAAGCCCTGGATCATTACTATGTGGCAGCAGCGGCGTAAACTATTTGTATGAGGCTTTATATTTAGAAGGTAAAAGACCTGGATGCTTCATACCTTGTATGCAGATACCTTATGTTACAAAGTTTCTGTCTGTCATATGCTATTGTCCTCAACCTTATTTTCATGGTTCAGCGACTGCTAGAAAAAAAATTACAGTTTTTTTGTCATGTGAATTTCTCACTTATTATTAGCAATAGGTATATGGGTTCTTTGCAACGTCTACATGTCCATCAGACAGGGTTCACCTGACCTCAACCTCAATTCATGAATCAGAGATCAAGGTTAAAAACATGTGATTAGGTCCTTTTCTCAGATACTATAAGCAGTAGGTCAACTATGAAGTGTATGGAATGATTGTAAGGGGTACATGTTAGACTAGCAGGTTTCATCTGACCTTGACCTCATTTTCATGGTTCATTGGTCATTGTTAATTTTTTGTGTTTTGGTCTGTTTTTTCAAGTAATATAACAATAGGTCATCTATATTTGGTGTATGGAATGATTATAAGGTGTACATGTCTGTCAAGCCAGTGTCATCTGACCTTGACCTCATTTTCATGGTGCATTGGTCAATGTTAAGTTTTTGTGTTTTGGTCTGTTTTTCAAGTACTGTAAGTAATAGGTCAACTATATTTGGTTTATGGAATGATTGTAAGGTGTACATGTCTGTCTAGCTGGTGTCTCTGTCCTTGACCTCATTTTCATGGTTCATTGGTCAATGTTAAGTTTTTGTGTTTTGGTCTGTTTTTCATATACTCGTAGCAATAGGTCAACTATATTTGGTGTATAGAATGATTGAAAGGTGTACATCTCTGTCTTGCCAGTATCATCTGACCTTGACCTCATTTTCATGGTTCATTGGTCAACGTTAAGTTTTTGTGTTTTGGTCTGTTTTGCATGTTCACTCTTGTGTATACATGTACAAATTTTACCTATTTTGATTGCAACACAACTTACTTTGAAGTCAGTAGACTGGCATGTTTTACCGAGTTTGAAATTTTTTAGCAACTTAAATTGTTATTTCGTCGGCAAGATTATGCTCTTAAAAGAATCGGGCCATGCACCAGGTGCAGATGCTGCCATCACAACTAAGCTAATTGGTTCCTTATTTAAAATAATATCGTTATTTTGAGCTATGCTACAAAAGCTTGTTCACAGGAGTTACCACTTTAAAAGCTATCTGAATACCAAAAAGCCTAAAAAAATATACTGAACAACCATCAAAGTTTAGTCGATAATCAGGACTGCCCCTACACATGCAACTGTCAGTCCTAACAGATCTGTGGTGGTCAGGACCGACAGGACTGAAGTGTTCTGAGAATCTGTTAGATTTATTTATTTCCACATTCAGATTTGACATAGATTTTGAATTTCAGTTATTTGTCTATTCATTCTTAAATGAGATTTTCTTATATAACAGGTAAATGATATTAAAGTTATAAGAATTGACAACATGTTGAAAGAGATCAGTGAAACTTTACTGTGTGAGCTGCCAGAAAAGACACCATGGACTGTTGATGAATTTATGCAAAAAATGGAGGTATTTTTATTTATATTATATAAACAGGAATGAAAAGAGCATTTGGTTAATGTCAATGTAGCTTCAACCTAATGACTCACAAATCACATAAAGACATCTAGAGGTAAACATTCAGTCTAGATGTGCAGTTATTATCATACCTGAAAAATTGGATACCTTATTGAACATTTTTCGTCCTTGCATAATCCATGTCCCATTTATTATTCATCGAGCTCCACATCAATACAGTAAAAAATGGCAAAAAAATCAAATCAAGAAAAATGTAATCAACTTCAGGTCACTGTATAGCAAAATCAATAAGGCTATAATAAACAGCCACAGAATAACAAAAAAGGAAACTTTTAAAAGAGAAAACCAACTGATTTATGCAATTTACCCACACAAAAAATATTGCATACAGCTACCAACAACAACCACTATACTACAGGCTTAAGACTGACCCATTAAAGAATGTGGTGGGTTAAATTATTTTGTGAGCATTCAACCCTCCCTGTAACATGGTGCAAGTGCCACATAAGAACAAACTGTAATAAAAATAGTGGTAAAGTCCTTTGCATTGCCATATTATAGTGATATTTTCATTAAATTAAGTATTAATACAGAGGGAACTTGGATATAGCATTTTGCTTACCTTTTTAATTACCGTCTCCAGGAAGTTCCCTTTATCCAATCATGATTGAAATCATAATTTCTGCAGCCCTAATCTTTTACTAATTGGTATGATTGGTATCTAGGATGCTAGCCAATCATTGTTCTTGATTCTTTAAAATTGTCCAATCAGATTGTTAATTGCAGTCTTTGTTTTACCACAAGCGCGCTCTTGATCACTTTTGAATTTGCAAAGCGTATGCAGGCTGCTTTTCATATTCCAGTTACAATTCAATTTTATTTATCACTGGAATTATTTAAACTTTAAAAGCTAAACGTTTTTTAAACATGTTTGTTTAAAATATGACGTCTGAACGTGCATATGTTCGTGCAGAACAACAAATTAGAAACATTCTAAATATTCCGGAATGGTATATTTTCTCAAATGCTGAAATTCGCTATGTGGCCAGAGAACTTAAGAATTGTAGAGGAAATTTAACTAGCTTTTATTGGACATTACGAATGGATTGTGCAGCGCAATGCAACGGGTGCCTATTTTGCGGAGAAATTTTCAAATTGTGTGAAATTCACAACAAATATTCCAGACAGGCGTGAGCGTAAAGGATTTTATATTGCCTTTAAATTTACACTTTGAACACTTTCATCGTTAATAAACTGTAACAATGTTTGAATCAGAAACCGAGGAGATCGGAAACCCGATGATAGAGCTATCGGACATTGACCGGGTCAAAAAGTGGGCGGCCAGCAAAAAAGTAAATGAACATTCGGCGGCGGAGTTAATCAGGCTAGGATATGATTCGATAGAGGCCCTTTCTTGTCTCCTGCCTGAAGATTTGACAAAGTCTAAGATCCCCATCGGGCAACAACGGCTACTGCTGCGTGCAGTAAGATCTACGTTTCCAGCGGAGTGCGGGAGCGAATCTAACATGGCGGCGGAGGAACAACTTCCGGCATCTTCACCTGCAGCTCAACTTAACGCATGCGCAACATTGACGACAGATGGCGGTGCAGTTCAAACCGGAAGTGGAGATTTATATGTGCAAGCTATAACGAAACAGCTTCAACAACAACAAGCGTTACCATTAGGAGATAATCTGAACACCAGCAAGACAAACCAAGGACAATCAACAGTGCATCCTGAAGGTATTCAAGAATTTGACTGTGTTTCTAACATTATTTCGTGGAAGGACCCACAAATATTTTTAAAATCTTCCTTTAATGATGTAACTATAAATTTTTATGACATAACTGATTTCGTAAATGTACATATGTCAGGTACTGGTTTTTCAGAGGAAAAACTTATTTCAGATGCTTCCGGGGGTCAGCTTATTTTCAAATCTGGTCCAGTTAAGCCAAAACTTGAGTCCCTGAGTTTGTGTCAATGGTCTAGTGCGAATTTATCTATTATGTACAAACTGTTGTCCTCTGGCGATTTGTCACAGGCTCAATTACTTGATTACCTATCATATACTGCAAGAATTTACAATCTTGTTGCAACTTGTGACATGGTCTCTGTCTTCTTTTTTGACAGAGAATATAGGCAGCTGCAGAAACAGCACAAGTTTCGTTGGGGTACAGATGTTCCACATTTACATTCCATATATATACGTCCAAAGGGTTTTGTAAAGCCTCAGACAGGAGGCTCCAAATTTCAGACCACTGGCTCAAGACCTGGGGTTAAACATGAGATTACATATGCTTCCCATACATCAGGTGGGAGGGAAATATGCAAAAGGTTTAACAGCAGGAAGGGATGTTTTATGTCAAATTGTAGGTTTGAGCATGTTTGCGCGGTACCAGGCTGTGCTAATAAGCATCCTGCTCATTCTCACTCTAACTCTATGCATGGCAATCCAAAAAACGGGGTATAATGGTAAAGCCTACACGTGACCTAATCCTGTCTGCCTGGTCCAACGAATTACAAAATGATTTTGATAAAAAATTTCTTCTTCAAGGAATTGAGTTTGGCTTTGACATTATTGATGCTACTGATATCCCTTTAAATATTCAAGCAAAAAATCATCCCTCTGCTAGTCCGTCTGGCCCTCTTTATAGTAAAGCGCATACACAAGTTTTGATTGAAATTGAGAATGGTAACTATATTTTTGCAGATGAAACACCCAAAATTATTAGTCCCATGGGTGTTATACCTAAGCCGGGGGGCGGTATACGGCTCATACATGATTGTAGTAGACCTGAAGGTTCTGCCGTCAATGACTTTGCGGGTGACCCATCTAAACAAATTTTTCAAACTTTAGATGATGCAACAAAACTTGTAACAGCCAACTGCTATATGGCAAAAGTGGATTTGAAATCGGCTTATAGGTCCGTTCAAATAAGTAAAACAAGCCAGCAGGTGACAGGTTTTAGATGGACTTTCCCTGATGGTAGAGAATTTATCCTTTTTGATCGTAAACTCCCTTTTGGTTCAAAATTGGCACCTGGTATTTTTCATCGTTTGTCCCAGGCTGTAAGAAGGATGATGTCACGTAAGGGCTTTACCATTGTAGCTTACTTAGATGATTTTTTCATATGCGAGCAGACTAAATCTAAATGCAAAGAAGCTTTGAATGTGCTTATCACTTTGCTGCGTTATTTAGGTTTTGCGATAAACTGGTCTAAAGTGGTTGATCCCTGTCAGCAAATCACTTTTCTTGGCGTAGAAATTGATTCTACTACTATGGAAGTCAGACTTCCAAGCGATAAATTGGCGGTTTTAAAAGCAGAGCTGCATGCATTCACAAAGCGTTCCCATGCTTCTAAAAAGCAACTGCAATCCCTAGCGGGGAAATTAAACTGGGCGTCAGCGGTAATTCGTGGCGGAAGAGTTTTTCTTCGACGAATTATTAACTGCATTATGCGTATTAAGCGGGATTGGCATAAAGCGCGTCTTAAGGGCGATATTGCGCAAGATATTCTCTGGTGGGATAACTTTATTTCATCTTTTAATGGGAAATCACTGATTTTAGATCTATATCCAGTCACATCAGTAGCTACAGATGCATGTCGTTCTGGGGCTGGTGGTTTTTTTGATAATGATTGGTTTTATGTAAATTGGCAATGTGATTTCCCTTTTGCAAAAAATTTGCACATTAATGAGCTGGAAGCGCTTTCTGTTGTGTTTGCTGCTAGACGTTGGGCGAAAGCATGGCAGAATAAGCGTGTTTTAATTTTTTGTGACAATGCGACAACGGTTAGTTGTTTAAACAAGTGCTCTTCAAGGAATGCTACCTTAATGTCTTATTTAAGAGAGCTGTTTTGGTTGTCAGCTACTTGCAACTTTCACATAAAAGCTGTGCACATTGCAGGCAAATCAAATGTCATGGCTGACATGATTTCGCGTTTGCATGATACTTCTATGAGTATAAGGTTCATGCGCTTTTATTTACCCAATCCTCTGTTTGTGCACCACATTGAATCCCACATGTCTAGTCACTCCCTCCTTTTTCTTTTAAATAGGCTCACAGGGCTCCAAAGAGATGACGGCATTGGATGATATTGTTCTGGACTTCAGATGCCATGCCTATGCAGAGTCAACCAAAAAGACTTACATGACTTATTTAAAGTCCTTTGTGGCATTTTGTAATTTAGTTGGTATTCCAGTGGTTCCCCTAAGTCAAGAGAATTTAGCAAGATATATTGCCCACCTGTCTCGTCGACTGAAGTATAATTCCTTGTGCAATTATTTATCCATAATCAGAATTTTGCATCTTGAGGCAGGGTATAGCTCCCCAATTGACACTCATTTAGTTTTGAATGTGTTGAAAGGTGCACGTAGAGTGTTGGGGGATGTCAACACAGCTAAGTTGCCAATTACCCCCAAGATTTTGTTTAAAATTTTTGCCGTTATATCCTTTAACGATACTAAAGATGTGGCGTTTTGGGCAGCTTGCCTTGTGGCTTTCTTTTCCTTTTTCAGGAAGTCTAATTTGCTGACACCATCTGTGAATGATTTTGACCCTGATCGCCATTTAAGCAGACATAATGTTTTTTTTCAGAAAGATGGTGTCCTATTGCGCATTTCCAAATCTAAGACCATCCAGTTTGCAGAACGTTGTTTAGATATTCCACTTCCTGCTATAAAAAATTCTCCTTTATGCCCCTCACAGGCTTTATTATTAAATTTTAAAATGGTACCAGCTGTCAAAACCCCTACTCCGGCCTTTTTATATCGACATGGGGAAGATACTATCCCCTTAACCTATGCAGTGTTTTTGGCTAGGCTAAAAACTGTCCTATCAGTTATTGGTTTTGACGCCTCGCTTTATTCTGGACATAGTTTTCGTAGAGGAGGTGCCACGTTTGCTTTTCAGTGTGGTGTTCCAGGGGAACTAATTCAGTCTCAGGGAGACTGGAAAAGTGATGCATATAAGGGTTATTTGGACCCCTCTCCTTCCTACAGATTGCATGTTATGAAAACTTTTGCTAATGCACTTAAACTTTCTATTTAACATATCACTACTTTATTCCTACATTGTACCTGGTTTGGGCAAGTGTTTGGAGTACCACAGACTTATCAGTGAATTGATATTTGCGAAACAATTAACTTTTTATGATTCTTTCATTGTTCATTGGCATTGTTTATTATATAATGAAAGAAATTAATAAAACTGTGGTTAGTTTGCCCAAACCAGTATTTTGTCTCATTTCAACTTATATTTGTTTATCTGGTCCAGCCTGTGCATAACGGTTAAGGTACGAGATTCTGTTTGGCTTCAGTAAACATGAGCTCTTCAGGGTCTGGTCTTACATCCAATTGTGTTATGGGCATGGACCAGAGTATAGCCTTTGCCTGCTGGATGCATATCACATACACACATTCATTACATGTAATTCTCTCAGAAACCCATGAGGAGGTGGGTGGGACCAGTACAAGTGTATCTGGATTAATGTGATATTTTCATTAAATTAAGTATTAATACAGAGGGAACTTGGATATAGCATTTTGCTTACTTATTTAATTACCGTCTCCAGGAAGTTCCCTTTATCCAATCATGATTGAAATCATAATTTCTGCAGCCCTAATCTTTTACTAATTGGTATGATTGGTATCTAGGATGCTAGCCAATCATTGTTCTTGAGTCTTTAAAATTGTCCAATCAGATTGTTAATTGCAGTCTTTGTTTTACCACAAGCGCGCTCTTGATCACTTTTGAATTTGCAAAGCGTATGCAGGCTGCTTTTCATATTCCAGTTACAATTCAATTTTACTCCCACCCGCCACATCCCTCGCAATACTTGTATGTATGTTGATTTCGTTTTTCATGACTATATGTTTTCATTATATGTGGCACCTATTTGTAGATTTTGTTTTTGTTTTTGTTTTTTTTTTTTTATTTGTGTATTGATAGTTTAGTTTCCATTGTCATATTGATAACCACAGTTGTTTGCCTTTAGCTTCTTGTATGGAGTACCACAGACTTATCAGTGAATTGATATTTGCGAAACAATTAACTTTTTATGATTCTTTCATTGTTCATTGGCATTGTTTATTATATAATGAAAGAAATTAATAAAACTGTGGTTAGTTTGCCCAAACCAGTATTTTGTCTCATTTCAACTTATATTTGTTTATCTGGTCCAGCCTGTGCATAACGGTTAAGGTACGAGATTCTGTTTGGCTTCAGTAAACATGAGCTCTTCAGGGTCTGGTCTTACATCCAATTGTGTTATGGGCATGGACCAGAGTATAGCCTTTGCCTGCTGGATGCATATCACATACACACATTCATTACATGTAATTCTCTCAGAAACCCATGAGGAGGTGGGTGGGACCAGTACAAGTGTATCTGGATTAATCATGTATTCACTAGCTGTCTAAAGACAGATTTAAGATTTTGCAGTTGAAATAGCTACTGGTATTGTTTTTCCATGAACATGCAGCCTTTTATAACACTTCAGTAGATAATGAATTCTTCTGAAGGTGTCCTTTTATATATACATAGTAAAATTACAATGAAGCTGTGCCAAATCATGAAAGACCATTTCTGGACAAAAAGCAAAAAAATATTTTACCGACCATATGACTGTGTTGACAATTGCACATTTCCTCAAGTTAGACCAAAAACAGTTTGCCACTTTTGGACGACCATGGATAGTAACAACCCACATAAACAGACCTGCCAACCATTACCATATTAGCAGATTAATTATGATTTTTCACCCTAAATTTTGCTGTTGGGTGTCGAATGCTCAGTTTACGACTTTAAATGAAATCCTTATTTGTTTTCCTTTCCTGGCCCAAAGATGTCCAACCTTTAGTTTATTTTAACATCAGGTTATTTAAAGTTTTTATTTATCAACGATTTATGAAATCATTTGAAAGATTAAGATTGCTGTTTGGTCTCCAAAATGGTACAATTGTTACAGAAGTTATCTCAAGCGATGAAGACTCTATGATGATACTCAAGATAGTAGTACCACTGATAAATTTGTGAGACATATAGTTATGGTGTCTTGTAACTTTATTAAATGAATCAACCTGAAATTGGCCAGAGTTCATACCCGTTGATTTTGGGTCTTCTCTGTGGCTTGTGGACTTGGACCCCCCCCCCCCCTTTCTGCTTATTACACTTTTCTATTTTTTTTCTGAAACAGCCCCAATTTGTTGAACAGGAATTATCGAAGGGGAATTGACAGTACTGCACTGATAGAATCAGTGCACAGTGAAATAAATTTTGTTAACCATCCACTGTTACTTTTATCCCTATGATACCAACAAAATGTGATTGAAACTGTTATAAACTATTGTATTGTTTCATCTGTTTGTTATTAAGGTGTATTGTGGAGCTATGACATCTGAAATCAACAAAATGAGCCAGGTAATAGAAGATGCAGTGAAAGAACTAATTCGTATATTTCTTCAAAGAGCTCAAATGGATCAAAATTCTATACAGTCAGGACAAACATCAGAAGGTAGAAATTAAACTTTACATAAAAACAAATATAACTGTCAAAGTAACAATTTTTGGAGTATATTGATTTTAACAGTCCCTAGTGCTTATCATATTTTTATGTCAACATATTTATTATAATATTGCCTGTGTACAATTGAAATGTGAATATGGACTATTTACCCCAAATGTCACACAATTTACTTCATATAGAGACAATACCTGAAATGGATGGGAGGCACTCAAGTTAATAAAATACTGGTGGTTACATTTGCATTAGAAGAATAAAGAATTAGAAGTAAAATAAAAAAAATTATTTCATGGGTGGTCAGTGTCCCCCTATCCCCCCATGCATTTGGATTATGGAAGATAGCATCTTTTTATATTTTAAACTTACTACATGAACTAAGATATATATTTTAACTTTGTTATACTGACATTTCTAAGAAAGTGACATTTTCAATCAAAAAAGAGCATTCTTAATGATAGCTCCATTTATTTTATTTTAGTTTAACATCTCAGATAGTATCATAGCAGCAATGTAAACTTTGTAGTCAAAGCTGAGTATTTGCTTCAAATTTTAGGATTTGATAATGAATCAACTTCAGAGCATGAGAATTCAGAGGACCATGACACTACAGAAGAACAGTCAATACTGGAAGCTTGTGATGAACTGAAAGATTTCTTTAACAATAGACTAGTAGAATCTCTTCTAAAAGCTACCAGACATTCCTTAGATACAATGAGGAGACGCTTCTTTTCCAGGTAGAAACTAGTCATTAATTTAAACATGTGTCAGGCACATAAAATTTTGCATGCTGCACATGACACAATTTTGAAATTTAAAACATTTAGTATTAGTGTTCATATTTTGGTACTTTTGATACTTAACAGCTTTTCAGTATTGACATTGATTTTATTAAAGGGATAGTAGCTACTATGTTGACAAAATTATGACCAAGTTTTAAAGCTGCTAAAATCAAAGATATGTACTTTGAATTAACAATAAGATCGGTGGAATGTTTATATAAAGTACAGAAGTGTTAATAATTGATAATTAATATCGTGTAGCGTGCCTTTTCATCTCATTAATTATGCATTTGGGTTTACTTCCCGAACTTTGCCGACACAGCGAGTGAGATGACCAAGATATAAATAAATATGAACATGTGCTTTTGTTTCCTTACGTATTCGACAATTTCTTTAGATTAAACGTACATATTTGAAAACCATTTATCAAATTATGTAAACAACAAAATATACCAAATGCCTGCATATTATTTGAACCCAAGGTTCTCCAACAATGGCGATATTATACACTTGTTTTATATTTGTATGACAAAACTATGCCGATAACGTATACACGTGTTTGTGAATTGAATTGGGGCCTTCATGCAGGGTACACCGGAAGAATAATATTAAATTGTAAGAAGTTGATTTTTAATGTCTTTTAAGTTGTGAGATCACTGCTCTTAAATTTATAAAGATATTTTGGACAATAATGATTTGAACACGTCGCGATTTATTTTCATGTGATCTGGATTCGAAAAGTTCAGAAATATTTTTTACATTTCGCAAACCGTCGTAATGTCGACTGCTTATATAATGACTTTATCTGTGTGTCGGGTGTTTGTAAATGATTCTAATGACCGATCTCATCGCCGTAATTTATTTTCAATTTACAATAACTTGTCTGCACCTCTTTACTGTTTCTTTTTCTCGCAGAAACTGTAAACACACATTCCATTTCCGCGATAATATTCCTCTGTTCGACATTTTCCCTTCGAGGGACAACTTGCGATTGTGCATTGTGAACTGCAGAGTTAAGGCCAACATAGGTCATATGAATAAGGGTTGGCTTAACATCGAATTTTTGTCTACAGACAAAAATTAAAATTCAGGTGTAAAACGTTAAAAAGCTTCTAAATGCTAATTGGAAAGTAAACAGTGATGGTTTTATTCATTCTAAATAAACCTTTTGTACAAAATCCGGCATATAGATTAGAAAAATAATTTTAATGAAAATCGTAGCTACTATCCGTTTAAATATGACATTTTAGTTATGAGGAGTAAAAATTCATTAGACATATGTTTGAATGTGGGTTAGTTGGAAAGTATATGTCTGTCTGACATATGTTAGTAATTCTTGTCTCCTACAGTCCTAATCCTAAGCATATACAAACTATTTGTATTTTTAGAATAAAACCATTTTGGTATAATACTGCAATTATTATTTCTTCATTTTATATATGTGTTCATAACATTTTTTTGTTTTAGTGGAAGAAGGGGTGGTGGTTTACATTTTGATGAGAGTGTCGGAGGATGGAATGGCAGTAGAGTCCCATTCTTTGTTGCTGACATAACACTTTGTATTCCAAATGTGGTAGGTACTAGGTTATATGATATAAGGTTATAATTGTCTGAATGCCCAGATATTTTTGAAAAGAAGGATTGAATAAACCATATAATTTGAAGAACCATTTCCAAGACGTCAACAATCAATCAATCTAAGTCAAGTTTACTGAAATCAGTTTCATATTTTTATGAATCATTGTATATTTGTATGTAAATTAACTGAATGTTAATTCTTTATATATTGACATATTCTTACTATTTAAGCAGCAGCACATTAAAGATTAAAACTTAAATCTTTTAAGCCTTGTTCTATTCAGAGGGAAATGAGTTCTAAAATTTTCTGTTTACTTGATAACAATTCAAAATATTCCATATTAAGTATAGGAAAGAACATCATATAATTCATCTCCAAATAACATAACAGTAATGTTAAAGATTATTGTTCCATTTTGATACACCCTGAACATGATACCCTGGGATGGCACTATGAAAAATTGGTGTCAATCAATAGAAACAACTTAAACATTCCTACTGCATGTTTGTATTGAATAGTAGTTTATTACACTCATACATACTGACAGATGTTGGTACTGTTTGCAATTTCTTGGTGCTGTATATAATAAAACTGGAATTACACAGAGTGCAAATATAAGATCATAGATGATTTTGTTCAGTTATTTTGTTTCTGTTTCTTTTTTATTAGTTGTAGGAAGAACTGTTTGAAAATAGGGTATGATGTTCCAGACCCATATATTCTAATGAATTTGTTAATTTATATGTAGTCAAAATAATCCCTGCAAGTTATTACTATATTAGAAAATTTGTAAGGGGTTCCATGGAACCCTGAGTCTCACCTACGATTGCTGCTGTCAGTGTAAAGGTGTGATGTTGACCTACAAAAGTGAGTCCATTTATCAGTAAAATACAGAATTTAAAAAAAAATAAAACTTTTTCTCTAGATGCTATTTCTTGGTCTTGAAGATTAGCTTCTGTCCAAGTTTCATAACAATCCATGAAGGTTTACAAATTTATCATGTCAACAAAATTTAATCCCAAACTTCTGTAAATGTTAACTGTAAAAAACTAAGTCCATCTATCAGGAAAATATTGAAAAAAAAAATATTATTTTCAAAAGTTTGCTTCAGACATTATCTCTTAATCATAAAAAAGCTTCTGCCAAATTTTCATAAAATTTCCTGACGGTTTGACAAAGTAATTGATGTGTAACAAACTTTAACCGCAGACTGTATCTACTTCTGAACTGAACTGTGTAAAAAAACTAAGTCCATTTATCATTAAAATACAGAAAAATGAAAATAAATATTTTCAAAATTTTGCTCTGGATGCTGTATTTTGATAATAAACAAGCTTCTGTCCAAATTTCATAAAATGCCATGAAGGGTTGACAGTTATTGATGTCTAAAATAAACTTTAACCACAGACTGAACCTAAATGTTGACAATGCCAACGACGGAATCTAGAATCGCTATGTCTCGCTTTCACGACATAAATGTCGCAGGATCGACAAAAAAGGAACTGTTCATATATGTAAACCCTTACACAATACTGTAGTATTAATAAGTCAAAAGAAATTCATTGTAGGAAATATTTGACTATGTTTTTGAAACCCATGCTTAATAAACTTAATAGGTTTGCATGCGAAATTATTGGAATTCATGTTTTTTTAAAAGATTATAATTGTAATAGGTAATGCAACCAGGATTGGATGATATTCAGCAATCATTAAATAAAGCCACACAGCGGGCCCTTGATATCAGTAAAGGAGTTTATCAGTGGGGACAGGACAGAGAAGACCAAAACTCTGACACAGGCACTAGTAGATCATTAAATGTCACAGAAATAGGTATACTGTAGTATCAAGATAATATCCTTTCACAAATGATGTATTTTGAAAATATCTGTGTGGGCTTTTTTTATCCTGAATAGGCATGACTTATTTGCCACTGGAAGTTAAGCAAACAATAATCAATTTGTGTTGAAAAGAACCAAATAGATTATGTGGATGTTTATTTCAGAATTTAGATAGTTTTATATGAATAAGATGTAACAGACACTTAATTTCATTAGGGAATTCATCATTATACAATAAGTTTTGTAGATAATATTTTAATTACATATTGTGTAAAAGGTGTCAAGAATCTCAAGAATAAACTGTCTATTATCCATATTACAAATCAGATTTACATATAACAAAAGTGCTTTCTTCAATTATATTTAATTTTAATTACAATGTATTTTCTGTTTATTAACATATGTTAACTATATTTCAGATGTTGGTGCTTTATTGAAAGCACCTCCTCTTGGCAAGAAAAATTTCTACAAAATCATTGCTGAGAATAAAGATGTATCAAAATATGTAATGATGATGTCTTCTGCCATCAGTACATTAAAATCAGATGTTTTGGAATCCTTGCAGAGATATTCTGACTATTCCTTTTTATGGGAAAAGGACAGACAAGAAGCTGTCACAGTAAGTAGTTCACTGTCAATAAAGTTATAATGCCCATACAAACTATAATTTGTACCCCAAAACATTTTCTTCAAAAATCAATTTTGTTTTACAACCTTTCCTGGACAGAAAAGAAAAAAATCTTAAGTTACACATACCTGTATAACCTCATTTACCAGTTCACTTTGTGTCTAACTTGCCTTTGAAATTTGTTATGAATTAATTATACATGTTTATGATGCAGCTGAAGTTAAATACAGAAATTGTGTTTATCATTTAATTGATCCTTATTCCTTTCAATTAAAATAAAAAAATACCCACATAAGGGTTGTTCACCATAGGAAAATCTAAGCTAAATATAACAGCTGTGTGAAATGTCTTCATTGATTGCTCCAAAAATTGGACATATTTTTCTAAATTGTCTCTGTTTCAACCAAATAGTTATAAACCATTATTGGTGAAAAGAGGACAATCTTAACTTTTAGCATTTTGCACCTACTTGTCAACCTGTTAACCAGTCAGTGTTGATACAGGGAGAATATTATATTATATCCTTTAATAATTATAGCTGCTTCGAAGTTCATTAAATGTGTCTGCTTTTTATCTTAAGAATTGCTTGGAGATAATTCAGACTTTTTGACTGTTCATTACTCCTCAAATATGTATAAAGAATAAAGTTAAAATCTCTAAATGAAAAAAAATGTTTAAGTTTTAATTCCTTGGTTGATGCTAACTACTCGTGATTAATAAAGGAACCACACCTTGGGGTAAAATGAGGATTCTTTGCATGATTGGTCATTACATCAAGAGGATTATTAAGGTAAGCTAAAACAAGATGAGGAACACAAGATGGTTTCCTTCAATCTCAATGTTATTTTTCTGATGTTTACAGTTATAGACATAGTATAATTAAATTATTATTTTTTAGGAGTTTATTTCAACGGATCCAATTTTATCAGAATATAAAGCTAAAGTAGCCATGTTCACTAAATTAGAAGACAACATAGATGACATACAAGCATCAGAAGTTGTTGGTCCTATTGAACTAATTACAGGTAACTTGATGACATATTACCCGTAGCAGAAAGTAAAATGTCCTTTTAAGGTACTTTTTGATACAAACAAGTTTTCTCATTTTTGCATCTGTCCCAAGTCAGGAACCTCTGGCCATTGTTAGCTTTTATGTTATTTTTAATTTCAGTTCATTTATATGTTTAGGAGTTTAGTGTGACGTCCATTGTCTATGAACTAGTACACATTTTTGTTTAGGGGCCAGCTGAAGCCCGCCTCCTGGTGCGGGATTTTCTCGCTGTTTTGAAGACCCATTGGTGGCCTTGGGCTGTTTTCTGCTCTTTGGTCAGGTTGTTTTGGTTGAGTTGTTGTTTCTTTGACACATTCCCCGTTTCCATTCTCATTTTTATTTCTCAATTGAATTGTTTTACATTTGTCATTACTGGACCCTTTATAGCTTACTATGCAGTATTTATTTTGCGCCTTGTTAAAGGTCATACTGTGACCTCTACCTCATTTGGTCTCTGGTTGAGAGTTGTTTCATTGGCAATCATACCACATCTTCTTGTATTTGTCTCACTTTGATTGATTAAAAAAGCGAGACATAGGTATACTGTTACCAAAAGCAGCGTTGTCAGTATAGTTAACAATGTATTAGTTTGTAATTAGGCTCGTTTCTGGGAAACTACTAGTGGTAGGTCAAAGAAATTTAGTAGGCAGTTGTATTAGCATTGGCACATTTTATTGCCATGGAGATTGTTTGAGACCCTGTTCTTTCAGTCATGGTTCATTGACTTTGAATATTTTTGCATAACTTACATATGTTAAGGTAATGCTATTTTAATTTCAACATTTGCATTTTACTATTAAAATAACAAAAGGCGAGGTTTTTTTGGATTGTAAAGGATGTTTAGGACTTTTTGTAGGCAATAATTGCTAGCACATCATGGACAAACAAGTGAGTAATCTGCTTACAATTTTATAACGAAAATCTCTGTCATAAAGTCTGTGGGTTTTTGCAAAAATTTTGGCTTTATTTGCCACCAAATCCCCATTTTATATTAAATGCAATGAAATATTTAACAGTATTGCTATGAACAACGTTTCCCTTTAGTATATGTACAAAATGTCAGGTCACTTTTCTTCTGTATTTTTACTGGTTTGATATTATAGCACTTTGAATATTTCGTAATGCACTGGCCTACAGAATGGGTCATTAACCTTAAAGTGATTTAGTGTTTGCAGTGTTATTCAGTCTTATACAAGAGTTATATTGAATTTTTTTTATAAATTCTGTTGTGTACCTCTCTCTTATTAATGTTGATTGTAAGGATTTGTCATATTGTCCTTTACAAAGAGTGGTCATCTCTGTCTTTGACCTGTATGTTCAAATGGATATAAGGTGTAAAAAAGGGGGCACATTGAGGGTTAAAGTAATTCTTATTCAGTAACATTATTTTTTTAAAATATCAAAAAAAAAAAAAAAAAAACTTCATCCTGTCTTTCTAAAATAGAATAATATGGTTCATTATGAGTGAAAAAAGCACTTGGTGAAATGTTAAATAATTTGCTTTCAGAAAAATTGAAACTGGCTTTGAGAGTTGAAATCAAGGCATGGAAGCTGTTATTTGGGAAAGAATTGAACAACAAATTTAGAAATAAAATGGACGAGGTGTTGTCCTTTGTTGATGATTACAGTAAACGATTAGCTCGTCCAATCAGAGACCTTCAGGATGTCAGAGAGTCAATGGGAGCTTTAGCAGACATTAGAAATAATCAAATACATTTGGACATGTCACTTGGTCCTATAGAGGTAAATTATATGTTGGTATTGATGCAATTTTGGAAACCATGCTCAATTGTAAATTGAGATCAAGTCTAATTTATAGCTACTAAGCTAAAATATGCAACAATATAGGGATCAAACCTTGTGAAAGGGTTTATGTCAACCTTTGCTAAAACGTAATGAAGTATTATTTCTATCAATATCATTATTTCTGTGTACATATATGATGTCAGATCATTATATGTCAAGGAGGCAAGTAACCTTAAAAAATAGAATTTTGTGATGTTATTTACGTCCATAGCTAGGGTGACATTAGTGAACAAAAACTCACAGTACATATTGTTCAGAAATTACACTAAAGTTGTGAACAGACAAGGGAAACAATAGCTCTTTTTCTCTTATTAATATTTGTTCCATTTTGATTCTCCAAGAGAAGTAGGTCATTGATTGAAAAAAATGTATCTCTTACCAGTAGGGTAATTTCAGTCAGCTAAGCTTTAAACTCTTTAAATTAGTAACTTCTGACGAGTTTTTTACCATTGATATAGCTGAAGAGAAAGTGACTTATTTAGATTGATTTCATTGTAAATATATCTTAAAATCAGTAGTGTCACTTGTTTCTTCTTTCATTTCTTTTAGGAGTCCTATGCTATTTTGAATGATTTTGAAGTTACTGTACCCAAGGAAGAAAATGATCGAGTGGATTCCTTGAGATATTCATTCCAGAAGTTAATGAGGAGTGCTGTAAGTCTACTTGCTAATGACATTAATTTTCTTATTTTTGAGATATCAAATCAACCATAAAACCTTCATTTTACTTCATGTTAACAAAACAATCATCGACAAAAGGCACAAAGAAGGAAAAACATATCAAAGTCAGCACATATAAAAATCTCAAATGGACAGTCCACAAAAAAGAAATATTATACCCCCACTCTAAGAGTGGGTCTATATTGCATAAACCTTGTTCTCATGTACTAATGAACAAAAAGACTTCATAATTGATAGCTTGATATAAAATAAAAAATTTAATAACTTGATTTTTACTTTTGTGGATTATTGAAATTTATAATAGTATAAAACCAAATTTTCAATAATCAATAAATTTTTATTATAATCTATAATGGAACATCACTACTAGGTGATATGTCTTCCTGTCCACTGTTACCTAAGGACCCACTATAAATTTCGGCTAAGGTTGTCGGTTCATATTAAGATATTATTGTCCTGGTATGCATGTAATATTTGCCACTGGACACAAAACACTAATCCATCATCCTCAACAACAAGTCATGAACAAATTAGAATAACACAATTAATTTGATTGTAAGAATTTTTGGGAAAAGATCTATTGGATATTTCTTAAACACCTCAAAAGTTTTCATGGGCTTTGAGTCTTTTTCTGGAATACATTTTCAAATTAAATTATGGTTAGTTTGAGTTAACTAATTGTGATTTGAACACAGTTTGATTTCTTCACTTGAATAAAAATGTCAGAAATTTACTTTACCGTTGCAGACCTGAGGTCAGTGCTTGCAAATGTCACAGTTAAGTCAGTTATTCTTATTGATGAATAATAAAGAATATTTTTGTTTGGTACATTTGTTTTGCTTTAGCCAAAATGACAATTATTTATAGACTACATACTAATGATCACACATTAATAGCTTACACTAATATGGGACTTGTAAACAAGGTTATAGAGATGGGGCTTAATCTCAAAGCTATCTTGTAATCAATCTAGGTTATGAGTAAAAGTTATGTCAAATAAAGATATGGGGTCACGTGCCTTAATTTCTTAAAAATTCCAAAAAAACACATATTGTCCTATCAAATTCAGTATAATTATCTGCCCTTGATTTTAAAAGGATTTCTTCTGAAAAATTCATATATACTATACGACACTTAATTTTTTGATTGATTAATCTTTAAATTTCAAGTTTTAGACAATTTGTTGTATATTGAATGATACTTTGTAAAATATTTTTAAAAAAAGACACCCGATCTACCTTAATTTAAATTTGACGTATCAAAGTGATGATTATTGATGATTTATTAGAACCATGTCCAAGATGAATTGGTAAGAGTACAACCTGGATTCAAGGGTGAACTTTTGACATCAGTAGAAACCTTTCACAAAGATGCAGAAGATTTTGCTTTAAATTATGATACAGTAAGTAGACTATTCATAAGATATCTCGTGAATATTTACAGTGTTAAAAATGATTTTTATTATCCAGTTATGCTCAAAGGGTTTAGAGGGTAAAGATACTGGTAGAACAAGAAAAGTATAAGATGACATTTTGTTTACTAATGTTTCTGTATCAAAATTTAGAATTGTTTATAATTACTTTTATTTATGTGATTATACAAGGTTTTTTTTTAAGAGATTCAATATTGTAAGCAGCTTTCATCCAACTGTTAGAACCCAAAGCACAAACACACAATTCACTATGTAAATTTAAAGTCATATGAAACTTCAAATTAGTTGAATATGTTTTATATACTTGAATGGCTAAGTTTTTACTCTAAAAAGAAGTGAATGTGAACTTTTTTTAAAAAGAAAATCCTTTATATTGTCAAAATCTTCAGAAATGTACCGATATTGAATTATTGACTTCCCAGACACTAATTCGCTAATCTTTTCACGTATGCAGTGACCTTAACTTTGAAACCTCTCGTTATAACTTCAGCCAGCGCAAGTGCGAGGGGAAAACCGTGATGAAAGAATGTAAACAAACGTGCTCTGGAAGTTAAATAGTAATAACAGATTCTTAAATGAACAAATTTAATACAACAAATCATTTAACAATTGTTAAGGAAAAAGTTTATTCAACTAATGGGAACGCATGGAAAATATAAAAAATAATGTCATGGCTCTTTCAATTCACTCATTTGTCACGTTTACCACATGCTCTGTTTTTATTGTTTATCAATGTCACGATCCGGTAAACTTCGGCAACAAACTAGAAAGTTAATTAGCTTGAGATCAACAATCACTGAATGAAATATTATTTTCGATAATACATTATAGATTCGTAATAATATAAAAGAAACGTATATACAAGACTTAGTTTAATATATATTCAAATTTCAAGAAACTTGTTTCATATGACTGATAAGAAAACATATTTCTTTTCATTGTCATAATTTGTAGCAGTTAGAGATTCTAATTTTATCATTTTTTAGGATGGACCAATGTGTGAAGGCATATCACCAAATGAAGCAAATGATAGACTCCAAGTTTTTCAGGTGAATAATACATTATATCATGGTTCAGTGATCTATTGACACTCATTGTTTATCAGTACAAGAAAAGATTCAACCAGAGCTATGTTGGTCACATTATATAAATCCATGTTAATGTCCCGCTAGTAAGTAACTGGGGGCATACTATCTTTCCTTTGTTCAACCTTATAAAATGCAAATTTTGTTTGTTGCTTGCTGATATTGACCTATTTTTTGCCCTTATGAAACACAAATTTTGTTTGTTGCTTAATAATATTGACCCATTTTTTGGTTGGTAGTTGTATATTAACAAGTTAAACATTAATTTGAATAAAGAAATATGTTGGGTTGATGTCAATGAGAAAGCAACTTAACTGTCTTTTGACATGTTTGGTGCTTTTTTTTTTTTTACCTCCCATGGTGTTCTATTTTAGTCCATTATCATTTCACAAAATATACTCAAGCATAAAGTCTAAGCTAAAAAAGATGTATGCTATTCCGTAATTTCATGATGTAAAGGAGAAAAATCAGACTTAGAAATATGAATCTGGCACAATATGACATTTTTTTGTGGGTTTTAGTGTTTTATGAAAATGAGGGCCATGAAATAACTACCTCTGGTTTGAGGGCCAAGTTCAGTCAAAAATTGTAAAAAATGATTTTGGGCTTTTTTTGACAGAAATGGTTTTCTTCCAATCGTAGCACTAGAGGGATAAAAGTTGGACCACACTCTGTCTGCACTGGATACAAAAACTGTACCTTTAAACATCCATTTGCTTGAGTCAATGAATAAGTCAAGAAATCTACCAAAACAACGATTTTCCATAGGTATTCACTATTGGGAAATGATATATACATATGCTAGTCTTGGAGGAGCTGTTTTTTTCTAATTTTTATTCGACCGCAATCGTATATTGGTATCACGTTGTCGTCGTCGTCCGAAGACATTTGGTTTCCAGACAATAACTTTAGTATAAGTAAATAGAAATCTATGAAATTTAAACACAAGGTTTATAACCACAAAAGGAAGGTTGGGATTGGTCTTAACAGTTAAGGAATTAGGAATTAGGGGCCAAAAAATGGCCCAAATAAGCATTTTTCTAGTTTCCAGACAATAACATGTGGAACAGTGTATGAATCTCTCTGAAATTATACCACAAAGTTCCATACCACAAAGGGATCGTTAGGATTGACTTTGGGGGGTTATGGCTCAAACTGTTTAGGAATTAGGGGCAAAAAAGGGGGAAAAACAAAGGTTTCCTGGTTAATGGACAATTTAAAAGCAGTGTAAGGGAGGTAATCCAAACACATTTAAAGTACAATGTTGTGTATGTTTGGATTACCTCCCTTACACTGCTTTTAAATTATGTATAAAGAAATTTTGTATTGCCTTGAGGTGATTAGCTGTCAATTTATTCTCAGAAGTTACTATTAAAGGAATATTAATTTTAGCAATGATAATGTATGTCATTTTTTATTTTAAGACTTTTATGATGTATTTAAATTGGTAATTATGGTTGCAAACTCCATTGGAAATTTGAATTGAGATTATGACCATATCTTGAGGGAAAGAATTTTTTTTTTTTGGAAAGGGGGGGGGGGGGGGGGGAGGTGAAATTCAAATCATATAACCAATTCTAAGTTCTTTGACTACAGTTATTCGGTGTCAGAAACCTATTATGTGTCAAATATTTAATTACAATCCAAATTCAGGCCTGTATCAAGTGCGAATATTGTGTCCATTTTTGCCCCAACTGTTCAGGGTTGGACCTCTGCGGTCGTATCCAGCTGCGCTCAGCGAAGCATTTTATTCATACTTTTTCTTGAAATTTTTTTAGAGGAGTTTAAAGAAATATCAAAGAAAATAAGAATAGCAATGGTCTTCAATTTATATTTTCAGAGTCAGTTTGACGAGTTGTATAACAAGTATGGTATTTATTCTGCTGGAGAACAGCTGTTTGGTTTACCTGTGACAGATTATCCTACATTAATGAAGATAAAGAAAGAGCTTGGATTGTTACAGAAGTTGTATGGTCTGTACAGTACTGTCATGACTGTTATTAATGGATATTTTGATATTCTTTGGACAGAAGTAGACATAGAGAAAATTAATACAGAACTAAATGATCTGCAAAACAGGTATGATATTTACCATTTGGTAAAACATGTGTTTTGTTACATTTGTGTACCTTAAAAATGCAGTATGACCTGAAGATAAAAATCAAAATGAACACTGAAAAAAAAAGAGCCATGACATTCCATGTTACCTACTGAAGTATCATACAGCAAACTAGGTCTTCAGATGGTCAAGTACAAAAATAATATTTTGGAAGTTGGATATGATCAGGCCAAAATAAAAATATTGTATGTTTGCCCAAACGCGACCGACTCAAATTCTTTTTTTGCCGTTTTTTTGAAGAATTTTTTTCGTGTCCGCTCCGTTATCATATAAACTTAATTTTCGTCTTTGCGAATGAAAGTGAATAAGATTAAAAGAAAGCATGTAAGAGACGCAGTTAATCGATATTCGATGTACTCGGTTTTTATCTTCTGATTTAACGAACGTAAAGAAGTAAATCATGTGAAATTCCTTTACCTGGGATACAAAATTAGAACAAATTGTTCTAAAAATAGATTTGTTTCTATGACCCGTATGAACAATGTACATCATTACGCTTTGATTAAAATAAATTGTTCAACTATACTACACAGTTTATTATCATTTTTAACAATAAATGTGTAATGAACTGCCTTTGATATGCAGTATTTACCGCTTGCACAGTGATGTAACACTGTTTCTTTAACCTCGTTAGTTTCGTATATGCAAAGCAGTAAAGGGGCCCTGTATGGGTTATTTGCTGGACACGATTGTTGAACGTGTGAAAATATAATAATTAGAAGTGAATGCTCTTTTCCAAAAATAATAAAAATAAAAGATTGACAAATCAAATTCTTCAACCATATATAAATGCCCTGTAATGTTTAATATAAATGCAAATCACCCCAAGCCGAATTGCGAGAGTACACATTGGATGGTCTTTCAAAGTAAATTAGCAGGCGTTATTGTTTATAAAATTCACCCCAAATGTTATCTATGGACAATGCTTAAAATTCAATCAATAATTAACACCTTTTGGGATAGAATGGTCATGTTTTTACAACAATTACCTGTTTGACATTTTATGACCTCGAGGCTTAAAATAGAACATGGGAAACTTCACCTGTGTACACATCGAGGGTTATTTAAAGTAAAACTCCATCATCAGTTTGATCATATAAACACGAAAGAAACTGTTTTAAAACTTTATTTTAATAACACAAAAGTGAATATGAAATAATGATGCATTCAAGAAAAATATACTTACCAAATTGCCGTTTCCGGTAAAAAATCTCGTCAGTTTGAACTAAGCACATCTAGCCGGCAATTATTTTCTATGCAATTAACCGAAAGGCCACTTTTAAGGCTATGCATATAACCGGATAATTTAACATTAGATGAATGGGAAATGGTTTTGTGCAGGAGAAAATTATGCAATTAACCAAATTATGCTATTAAGCGGTATGCGATTAAGTGGAGTCGATTGTATACTGTTTTAATATTTTCATGCAAATTCTGATAAAAAAAAAAAAGAATTTGCCTACCTACCTACCCACACACAGTCATCATGGGTGGGGTTTGGGCAAACTGAAATATTTTTAATTGTGGCCTCATATATGCAGTAAACTGTTACTAATATATTACAACTTTTTTTTCTGTTTTACCCACAAGCTTTTTTGTGTTTATAAAAGGTTGATGTTGATTCTTTGATTTTAATCATTTATTCATTCCAAAAGACATTATAGTACTATTTTATAGCACTTGGTTCTTTTAAGTTTGAATATCCCTCAGGTATGTAGCAAAAATAAGACAAATGTGAATAATTCAGGTAATGCAGTTAAGAATAAAAACATTAAAAACATATTATTTGCAAAAATCTAAAGCTTTTTTGATTATATGACAAGCATTAACTATGGGCTGTTCCATTTAAAACATACATGGTATCAAGGGAAGGTTCTTTGAATATAGAGTTTCTACCCATAGAAGCAATATTAGAGACTTTCACACATTTATGTTTTTATACCCCACGCAACGAGTTGCGGAGGGTATAATGTTTTTGACCCGTCTGTCCGTCCGTCTGTCTGTCAGTCCTGTTTCTTGTCATCGCAACTCCTTCAAACCACACAACAGAATTTCACGAAACCTTTTTAGATAATAAGGACATACTATGTAGATGTGCATATCGACAGGAAATTACGATTCAATTTTTTTTTCCAGGAGTTACGCCCCTTTGAACTTATTTGCCCAATATACTACTGCAACCTTTTGTCATCGCAACTCCTCTCAAACCACACAACAGAATTTCACGAAACCTTTTTAGATAATAAGGACATACTATGTAGATGTGCATATCGACAGGAAATTACGATTCAATTTTTTTTTCCAGGAGTTACGCCCCTTTGAACTTATTTGCCCAATATACTACTGCAACCTTTTGTCATCGCAACTCCTCTCAAACCACACAACAGAATTTCACGAAACCTTTTTAGATAATAAGGACATACTATGTAGATGTGCATATCGACAGGAAATTACGATTCAATTTTTTTTTCCAGGAGTTACGCCCCTTTGAACTTATTTGCCCAATATACTACTGCAACCTTTTGTCATCGCAACTCCTCTCAAACCACACAACAGAATTTCACGAAACCTTTTTAGATAATAAGGACATACTATGTAGTTGTGCATATCAACAAGAAATTACGCTTCAATTCTTTTTCTATGAGTTACGCCCCTTTGAACTTATTTACTTTAATGTACTACTGCAACAGTTTGTCATCGCAACTCCTCTCAAACCACACAACAGAATTTCATGAAACCTTTTCAGATAATAAGGACATACTACGTAGATGTGCATATTGACAGGAAATTATGATTCAATTTTTTTTTTTGATACAATTTTTTTTTCTTACACTTATTTTATTTCTCCAATGACAATGTGGGGACGTGGGGTATGTGAGCGCGCTCACTAAGGTTCTTTCATTTTTTATGGAACACCCCCAACATAGAAGTGCTTTCAGAGGAAATTATTTTATTCCAGTTGTTAAATTTGAATAGAAATTAACTTATAAGCACATAATTTGTACTAATACTTCAATATATTAAAACATTTCTATAGATGTCGAAGGCTTCCTAAAGCTTTGAAGGATTGGCCAGCTTTCATTGAATTAAAGAAGAAGATAGATGACTTTAGTGAATCCTGTCCTTTATTAGAACTGATGGCTAATAAAGCCATGAAGGATAGACATTGGGAAAGGATAGCTAAACTTACTGGTCATACTTTTGATCTAGACTCGGAGAATTTCATGTTAAGAGATATCATGAAAGCTCCTCTTCTCAAGTATAAGGAAGACATTGAGGTATTGACTGGATTTGTTTTTCTATTTCTAACAAGGGAAAACTGACAGCGTATTATTATTTTGTCAAAATTGCAATGATAATATAGGTAAACCTATATAACATTTAACAGTTTTATTATTACCATTTTTTAAATAAAATATATTAAATTGCTGAGGTTTTTTTCAGAATTTTGACAATGATGTACTATAATGATAAAAATGATTGAACGAAAGTTGATGTAATTGTATCCATGATAGAAAAATCTCTTTTTTTTAACTGGCACATATTTTGTTGTCTTTTAGAAAGATTAAACTTACAGTGTAGTAAGCATGTAATTAAATTTAAATATGTCTTACAGGATGTTTGCATCTCAGCTGTGAAAGAAAAAGACATAGAGGCCAAGTTATCACAGGTTGTCAATGATTGGAATGGTCGTACACTGTCCTTTGCTAACTTTAAAACTAGAGGGGAGTTGTTATTGAAAGGTGGAGAAACAGCAGAAATCATTACTTTTCTGGAAGACAGTTTAATGATTTTGAGTTCTCTATTAAGTAATAGGTAGGGAAATAGTTAGTTGTTTTTACTATCTTATGCAATCCAGGCTCTTTCTTAAATAGCTATCCCTTTACCTTTCCATTAATAGAGGCTTCATTTAACTTGTGTGGGTCAGGTATAGATCAAGTCTTATCTTCACATGTTGAAGTTCCCAAACACTTGACTCTGACTTTGTTACACATGACACATGAGCCACCCAGAGCCTTCAAACGCTAAGAAATGTTTGTTTATAAATAAAAGATTTGAATATAAAAATATGGAGATGTGGTATGATTGCCAATGAGACAACTATCCACCTAAGTTCAAATAAAGTGAATGTAAGCAATTATAGCTAACCTTACAGCTTTCAACAATGAGAAAAGCCCATACCGTATAGTCGGCTGTAAAAGGCCCTGACATGAAAAATATGAAACAATTCAATTGAGAAAAACTAATGGCCTAATTTATAATCAAACAATTTACGAAAAACAAATATGACAGACATGAATCAACAACAACCACTGAACTACAGGCTCCTGACTTTTGACAGGCACATAAAAATGTGGCAGGGTTAAAAATGATTGTGAGCACTCAACTCTCCCCTAACCTGGGACAGTGGTGTTACAGCACAACATAAGAACAAACTATAAAAATCCGTGGAAAAGGGCTTAACTCATCAGATAAATACAAAGCTGAAAAACATTAACCAAAATACAGACTGGAGGTGGCAGGGTATTTATAGATCCCAAACAACAAATAAGACAAAAAATACAGATCTGAGAGTACTTGCAGTTTGTTCAGAATTTTTGCAGATTTTCTAGATGGTGAAATTTATTTATTTAAGAAGATTTGATAATAGAAGGAGATGTTGGGTAAACATCAATATAAAAGCAGCTTTTTTTTTAGCTTATATAACTTGGGAGACTAGTTTTCATTAGTTTAACTAATTTTTAGAGATCGGTAGATCTCATCTACCTTGCTAACATTAAGATAGATGGTCTTTAAAGCTTTCAAATACTTCTGTCACTACCATTAATATTATATGACCTTTCACATTACAAACTAAGTATTTCAATCTGTCCATTTGTGTCTTTGGTCCATAAAAAAGTTAGCTATTGATTTCAATTTCAGATACAATGCACCATTTAAAAAGACCATCCAAGAATGGGTAGCTAAGCTATCCAATACAACTGATATATTGGAGAACTGGTTGGTGGTACAGAACCTATGGGTCTATCTTGAAGCTGTATTTGTTGGTGGTGACATAGCTAAACAGTTACCACAGGTAAATAAAACTAATACATTCCATAAAAATGTACATCCCAGGGAATGTATTTTGAAACCTCATCCATGAATAGGTGCTTTTGTACAGTAAAAGAGTAAGAGAAATTCTTAAATTGCCACTTTGTCTATAGATGGTTTCCCTATTTTCAAAGTGCCTTTTCTGGGTACCACATATGTTTTAATGGAACAGCCCTAGCTAATTTTGAAAAAAAACAACTTATAAAATCAATTTTAGTGACATTGTCTGTTGCAAGACTAGAAATCCAATGAGGATAAAAAAATGTATTTCCATCTCTTTGCATCTGTCATAAAATTTTTGAATTCAAGTAATTTTCATAAGTAAATTTTCCCAAAATGTTTCTGTTAAAAAATAAAGAGATGATAATGAAGTTGAATGTGACATGTGATGTATCCTTGACATTCATGTACTTACATAATTATGTGTGTTATATTTAAAAAAAAAAAAAAAATTGTAAAACATTCAAAACTGGTCTGAAAGCCCTGTGACAGGAAGTTTCTTATTGAAATACTGACAGGATGTTTTTACCTCGATGCTCATCATACATCCAAATAGGATCATAAGAGAAAGACTTCATTTTACATAAGAGCCTATTGAAGAAATGTAGAGAAATCTTTTTATTTTGTTATATCTAGGAAGCCAAAAGATTTCAGAACATTGACAAATCCTGGGTGAAGATTATTCAAAGAGCTCATGAAGTAACCAATGTAGTACAGTGTTGTGTAGGAGATGAAACCCTTGGACAGCTGCTACCACATCTCTTAGAACAACTAGAACTATGTCAGAAGTCACTGACAGGGTAATTTAGGTCGTAATATGACGATAAATCAATTTATATACACTTTTATTTGCAGAAACTACAATACTAGGATAACAACTCCCCATTGTAAGTATATGGAGCTATGGAGGACTTTCTAGTGTTTAAACAAGGTCATACAGCTATATGACAAGGATACCTTATGAATTTGACAAACAGATGTTCAACTACCTGTATATTTCGTCATAAAAGCTAAATTAAACAGTTCTAAACTTGGGGAAAAAACCATTCCGGACTTAACTGTAGAACTAATTGCAAATATATGTCAGGTAAAGCAATGGTTTATTATGTAAAAGGACACATTATATTTTTTTAGTTTGTGGGGAGGAGGAAGAGAAGAGGGGTACCATTATGTTTATTGTTAAGGTATAATGTCTTTTTCAGCTACCTGGAAAAGAAGAGACTTGTATTTCCAAGATTCTTCTTTATATCTGACCCTTCTTTACTGGAAATTTTAGGACAAGCCAGTGACTCTCATACAATCCAGGTATATTTTGTTGTTGTGTTAGTATTTTGACCCATTTTAAGGAAGGAATTATGATATAGATTCTCAGCTTTTGCCTTATTCTTTGACATTAAATTTTTTTAATCTTTGTGTTAATTTAGAATAAACTTGATTAAAGAATGGAACTAAGAGTATTTGAAAACCTTACATTTATTACCATAGTTCATATAGATATATTGTTATTCTATACGGTTGGTTGTAGATTGGTCATAACTAAAGTAATATCATTCTAAATTTCAGGCACATCTTCTTGGAATTTTTGAAAATGTAAATGAAGTAGAATTCCATGAGAAGGATTATGATAAAATGATTGCTGTGTTATCCAGAGAAAATGAAAGAATTATGGTAATATTTCATTGAGAAAAGGCGACTAATGAAAACATTTGTTTTTTTGTAATTAGACATCATGACCAGATAATCATTTGTCTTAAAAACATATCTTATCAGTGAACTCTATATAATGTGGCTATATTTTGAAAATTTCATATATTTTGGCAGACATTGCAGTTTGATTTTGTTAGAATTTTTTAAACCCATATATGTATGAAATATTTAGAAATTTTCATTGTTATATACCTGTCTAAGACTATTATGGTATACCATTGTCTCTCCGTCTACACAAGCTGCTAAAGCTTGAGAATATTTGAATCGAAGGAAGAACTCCCTTTCAATTGATTTTGATAATTTTGCAATTTGTCATTCAAGAGTAAAGAAAGTTTAATTGTCAGATTAAAGGCAATTTTTGTCTCACCTTGACAGATTCAAAAAGCCAGACATAGATAGGTATGCTGTTTGCGGCAGCGGCAGCAGTGTCTACAATGTATTAGTTTGTGATTAGGTCAGTTTATGGAGAACCTCTAGTAGTAGGTGAATGATATTTGGTATGCAGTTGTATTAGCATTGGCACATCCCATTTCCATGGAGATTATTTAGACCCGCCTCCTCAGTCATGGTCTATTGACATCGAGATTTTTGCTTAGTTTACATGTATTAGTTTGTGATTAGGTCAGTTTATTGGGAACTATTAGAACCATCAAGTTTAAGGCTATTTTTGTACGTTTAAGGAAATTCTTGAGTAAATTTTTCTGCAGGACCATTTTAATGGCTTATGATTTAAGGTAGATTAACTGTATACTACCATCTTGGATTGTAAACTAGCAGTACACAATCTGTATAGTTCTTTGCTTAAATCTGCAAGTTTTGAGACACTGATAGGCAATTAATGTGTAAGACTGTTTATTTAAATTAAGAAGTGATTTATTGCATTATTAAGTCTTGTTTTAACAAATACCAAATATTTGTTTTTGTTCGATTCAGTTTTTCAACTTTGACATATAAGGGTATATAACTCTTGAAGTAAAATTTTATAAGGAATGTTAATGAAATTTTTATTTTTTATTTATAACAAGAAATAAAAGTTTGGTGACACCATTTTTCTTTTATTTCCTAAAGCATATTATAAAGCCTATCTTCATATTTTATTTCAAAATTCTACCTCATAGATTTCTTTTTATTCACAAAAAAGTATTTTTTCCATGAATAATCTATGCAAAGTTGGGGAATTTTGCACGACTTGTAGCTTGAAAAATAGCAAGAGGACCCCTACTTTTTATTATATTTTTGAAAAAATCATGGTAAAATCTACATTTTAGTAAAGTATAAGAAAATTCTATCCGAGGAAATATATTGTGATGATCCCCCTTAATGCGCCGTTCTTCAATAATCCATTTTATTCTTGCAACAATTTTAATATGCATACGACAAGCTCATCTTGTGAACCTGAAACAGCTGTTAATTAACATATGATGTACCCAAGGAAGGCATTTTGAAATTGGCAACAATTCCATAGTTGCAATTAAACCTCACATGCTTAAATAGAAAAGCATTTACTGAGGTTAAGGTTAAATCAGTTTGTATTTTTGTCCCCTACGTGACGCGTTAGAGGGCCATAGAAATATTGTGCGTCTTTCGGTCTGGTCTTGTTAGTACGCTCACGTGTACAATTCTTATAAAACTTATATCATAGGTTTATATGAGCAATGTCTCGGACAAGTTGGAAAATCAGTGCCGATCAAAGTTTTTTAAAAGAATGGAAATTGAATTATTTTGGAAATTGTATTGTATTTGCTCTCAAGCTTTCATTTCTCTAAGATATTTGTAAAAAGTTTTAAAGAACAACAAAAAAGTTTTTTTATGTTTTTTGGTGTTAATCTTAACAATAAAACAACATATTATATTTATTTTAATGAAGATAAAGTACTGTTAACAATGTAGAAAATATTATAGTGGTTTCTATAATATGCCAAAAGAGATTCCTTATTTATATATTCAGTTAGAAAAAGAAGTTATGGCCAAAGGAAATGTTGAGTCTTGGTTAGGAGAACTTTTGCAAGAACAGCAAAAATCATTACATGGTGTGATTAGAGATGCATTCAGAACCATAAACGCCGACGGATTTGAACTATTAAGTTTTACAAATGGTTTTCCAGCACAGGTTAGTATTGTAGTACCTTTTTCAGTAACATAAACAACTAAAATATTTGTTTTCATTTGCTCCAGAAAAAACTTATCCAAGGAATAGGTGCTGTTTTAGTTAATTTGCAAAAAAAAGATTCCAAGAAGATTTTTTTTTGTAACACTACACAACCTTCTTCAATGCTAAATGGAAGAACATAGTTCTTTTATATTGTAATGTAGACAGAACAGTTTTTAACTGAATAACTCTTTATATTTAAAGGGAAATACTACACTACATTAAGGATTAAACATGTTATCATTTTTAGCGGGTTGAAATGAATTGTGCATATTGACCCATCTGATACAAACAATGTTTCTGCCATTCAAAATCCCCTGAAAAAGCTTGTAAAGATCATGCAGCTTCCAAATCTTTGGAAACTGATATAAGCTCTGTGTTGAATCTGATACCAATACCAATAGTATATGTCACATGTAGTTTCCGGATGTAGTAAGAAATTCAAACAGAAAGATTTTGATAGCAGAGAAAACTGTAACTTATAATCAGCATGACTTTATCAGATGACAATATGAATACTAAAAATCCAGGCTAAAAATAAGGCGTAGGTACTTTCCAATTTGTTAGCTTGCATGACTTAAAAACGACATAATCAAAGAATTCAACTTTATATATAGCTATTATAGGACAATGATGTTGATTAAAAATTACACCATTCCGGGCCCTTTTGTTTTCCACATAATTAATATTACCAATAATTTACAAGTTTGGGGTCAATGGGTTCAAACAGAAAGATTTTGAAAGCAGAGAAAATTACACCTCATAATCAGCATGACTTTATCAGAGTACGAATACTAAAAATCCAGTCTAAAAATAAGGTGTAGGTACTTTAATTCAATCACGGACCCACGATGTCACATGTGTGTTATGGTATTTTGATAAAAATATCAAAATATTTCTGCGGAGGGCATGATTGCCACTAATCTTTTGGTTAACAATACAGTTAAGATCAGCTTTCAGAAAGAGGTTCATTTGGCAGACCATGAGCAATACATTGTTATTTGAAAGAACACTTATAAACATTGAAGGAAGATACTGTTCTTTATCTTTAATCCTTTCGCCGACAAGTCCTTGTTTACCGGGATTCACACTTCAGACAGCTGACGATGAGTCCCGTTTTACCGAGATCAGAATACCTCTTTTACATTTCCTGCTCAAAACGTTGCAAACACGAGTTATCTTTCTTTGTTTGAATACCCGGATAAAAGTGTAAACATGGCGCTTCTGTTTGTTGTAAACCGTGTCTAAATCAGATGAAATTTACGGAATTTACGAGAATTTGAAATAAGGGAACGTTTTTTTTGAAAGAATATGGAAGAATTGAAGTCAGACTTGTATACTTTTTAGCTCACCTGACCTGAAAGGTCAAGTGAGCTTTTCTCATCACTTTGCGTCCGTCGTCCGTAAACTTTTACAAAAATCTTCTCCTCTGAAACTACTGGGCCAAATTTAACCAAACTTGGCCACAATCATCATTAGGGTATCTAGTTTTAAAAATGTGTCCGGTGACCCGGCCAACCAACCAAGATGGCCGCCATGGCTAAAAAAAAAACATAAGGGGAAAATTGAAGTTTTTGGCTTATATCTCTGAAACCAAAGCATTGAGAGCAAATCTGACATGGGGTAAAAATGTTTATCAGGTCAAGATCTATTTGCCCTGAAATTTTCAGATGAATCGGACAACCTGTGTTAGGTTGCTGCCTCTGAATTAGTAATTTTAAGGAAATTTTGCCGTATTTGGTTATTATCTTGAATATTATTATAGATAGAGATAAACTGTAAACAGCAATAATGTTCAGCAAAGTAAGTTCAACAAATAAGTCAACATGACCAAAATAGTCAGTTGACCCCTTAAGGAGTTATTGCCCTTTTATAGTCAATTTTTAACAATTTTTCGTAAATTTTTGTTATCTTTTACAAAAATCTTCTCCTCTGAAACTACTAAGATGAATTTAACCAAAGTTGTAAACAATCATCATTAGGGTATGTAGTTTAAAAATTGTGTCTGATGACCCCGCCCGCAAACCAAGATGGCCGACATGGCTAATAATAGTACATAGGGTAAAATGCAGTTTTTGGCTCATATATCTAAACCTAAAGCATTTCGAGCAAATCTTTCAAAAAAGAAAATTGTTCATTAGGTCAAGATCTATCTGCCCTTAAATTTTCAGACCATTCAGGCAACCCGTTGTTAGGTTGCTGCCCCTGAATTGGTAATTTTTCGAAATTTTTTCAGCTTTTGGTTATTATCTTGAATATTATTATAGATAGAGATAAACTGTAAACAGCAATAATGTACAGCAAAGTAAGACCTACAAATAAGTCAACATGACCAAAATGGTCAATTGACCCCTTAAGGAGTTATTGCCCTTTATAATCAATTTTTAACAATTTTCATAAATTTTGTAAATTTTTACAAAATAATTTCCACTGAAACTACTGGGCCAAGTTCATTATAGAAAGAGATAATTGTAAGCATCAAGAATGTTCAGTAAAGTAAGATCTACAAACACATCACCATCACCAAAACACAGTTCTGTCATGAATCCATGTGTTTTAATATGCACATAGACCAAGGTGAGCGACACAGGCTCTTAAGAGCCTCTAGTTTGACATAAAATGCCGTTTTATGTACAAAAACACTTGGAATGGACATCGTTCAATGTAAGGAATTTGTACAGCCTCATTGAATTTTTCAAACTTTTGCCATTTTGGGTTAAAAAATTACGATTTTGGGTTAAAAGGTTGAATTTTGAGAATTTCATTCAAATAATGCCGAAAATTTGCAAATTTTGAATTTTTATGAAGAAAAAACTATCAAAACATGAACAAAACTATGTACATGGTGTTAGTGAGTAAAATAAAAACAAAAATAACAACAGACAAGTTTTTATAAGCTCACTTGGCCCAAAGGGCCAAGTGAGCTTTACTCATCACTTGGCGTCCGTCGTCCGTTAACTTTTACAAAAATCTTCTCCTCTGAAACTACTTGGCCAAATTTAACCAAACTTGGCCACAATCATCATTGGGGTATCTAGTTTAAAAAATGTGTCCGGTGACCCGGCCAACCAACCAAGATGACCGCCATGGCTAAAAATAGAACATAGGGGTAAAATGTAGATTTTGGCTTATATCTCTGAAACCAAAGCATTTAGAGCAAATCTGACATGGGGGTAAAATTGTTAATCTGGTTAAGATCTATCTGCCCTGAAATTTTCAGATGAATCGGACAACCCGTTGTTGGGTTGCTGCCTCTGAATTGGTAATTTTAAGGAAATTTTGCCGATTTTGGTTATTATCTTGAATATTATTATAGATAGAGATAAACTGTAAACAGCTATAATGTTCAGCAAAGTAAGATCTACAAATAAGTTGTCATGACCAAAATGGTCAGTTGACCCCTTAAGGAGTTATTGCCCTTTATAGTCAATTTTTAACCATTTTTCGTAAATTTTTGTAATCTTTTACAAAAATCTTCTCCTCTGAAACTACTAAGACAAATTTAACCAAACTTGTCCACAATCATCATTAGGGTGTCTAGTTTAAAAAATGTGTCCGATGACCCTGCTTGCGAACCAAGATGGCCGACATGGCTAAAAAATAGTACATAGGGTAAAATGCAGTTTTTGGCTCATATCTCTGAAACCAAAGCATTTAGAGCAAATCTGACGAGGATAAAATGATCATTAGGTCAAGATCTACCTGCCCTGAAATTTTCAGACCAATCAAGCAACATGTTGTTGGGTTGCTGCCCCTGAATTGGTAATTTTAAGAAAATTTTGCAGCTTTTGGTTATAACAGCAATAAGGTACAGCAAAGTAAGATCTACAAATAAGCCAACATGACCAAAATTGTCAATTGACCCCTTAAGAAGTTATTGCCCTTTATAGTCAATTTTTTACAATTTTCATAAATTTTGTAAATTTTTGTAAATTTTTACAAAATATTTTCCACTGTAACAACTGGGCCAAGTTCATTATAGATAGAGATAATTGTAAGCAGCAAGAATGTTCAGTAAAGTAAGATCTACAAACAAATCACCATCACCAAAACACAATTTTGTCATGAATCCATCTGTGTCCTTTGTTTAATATGCACATAGACCAAGGTGAGCGACACAGGCTCTTTAGAGCCTCTAGTTGATATTTATTATGAAGATCTCCCACTTGAGTCATAGTAGCCAGGGAAGCCATCGTCTCAGAGTAGCTTCTGTCAGGGCAGCTATCGGTGAAAGGGTTAATTGAAATTATGAAGGAACATAGAACATACATACCTATGATTGTTTAGGATTTTCTCTTCAGTAAGTGTTACCCATCTGGTATTAAACATATGAAGCCACTGTTTTTGAGGTAGGAACAAAGGTCAATTAAAGACAAATGCACTAGGTTTTCCTTTAATATTATGTTGATCTTTGGCCAATTACATATAATTATGTGTGAACTTTTGATAATAGGTTGAAGTAAATATAAATGTTTGATCTGTATGAATTTATTGTAGGTTGGGTTGCTGGGAATTCAAATGATCTGGACAAGAGATGCAGAATTGGCTCTACAGCATGCAAGAGGGGATAAGAAAATTATGCCAACAACTAACCAGAGATTTCTTGACATGTTGAACAAACTGATTGATCAAACTACTCATGATCTCACCAAGTTTGAGAGAATTAAGTATGAGACCCTTGTTACAATTCATGTACATCAGAGGGATATCTTTGATGATTTGGTGAGTTATGAAATTCTCTAAACATTACACTAGACTGCTGGCTATGTCAGCAAATATATGTCCTTCTTTTATTTTCAAAAGACTTGGGACTACTGTTGGTTAGGATTTATTTTTTTTATGTCAATTCTTATGTTGATGGCCTATTTTAAAATGTTCATTTAATTTCATGTAGAATGTGACTTTTATTATAGAAGACTTTATTTTATAACTTGCATTGACAATTTAAATGTGTTGTGCATTGTTATATATTGTGTTTATGTATAAGAAATTGTCAGTCCTTTGTAATGAAGTAAAATGTAAATATGAATTTAAAATTGTGACTATTGTTCTGTTACTATGACCATTTCAGACAAAAATGCACATAAAATCGCCAACTGACTTTGAATGGTTGAAACAAGCAAGGTTTTATTTCAAAGAAGACACAGACCAGTGTATTGTATCGATCACTGATGTAGACTTTATTTACCAGAATGAATTTCTAGGATGTACAGACAGATTGGTCATTACACCACTTACTGACAGGTACACATAGGAATTATTTTCTTTTACAAAAAAAATAACATTTTGACCAAAAAATATTTTATGATGTATAATTTATTGTGATAATGTATGTCTTTATTGTGTTTGCTATTATTTGAAATATTTTTACCAAATATAAACAGTCTGTTCCCCTAATGATATAAGTGGCCTCGGTGGCAGAGTGATCTAATTAGTCAAACTACTGTATCACTAGCCTGTCAACACTGAGGTTGTGAGTTTGAATCCCGCATGTGGCAGGTGTGCTGGACTCAAATCTTAGTTAACTAGGATTGTCAGTTTTCCTACTGAAGGTCGTGGTTCTCTAGGGCACTCGGCTTCCTCCACCAATAAAAACTGAACGCCACAAAATAGCACAATAATGCTGAAAGTGGTGTTAAACACCAATTAATCAATCTAATGATAACAAGCTTTAACAATAAACAATATCTCCCTTTCAATGTTGACAATTTTCAGATTTGTATTCTTGAGTTATGAGACAAATATAGTTGAAGTAAGGATACAGACATCTTGTTTCTTGAGTTACTCCTTAATTTTCAACTGTTTATAATTTGGCTCAGATATTATAGTTGACCCTTTGTTAATTTAGGTGTTACATTACCCTTGCACAAGCTTTAGGAATGTCAATGGGAGGTGCTCCAGCTGGACCCGCAGGTACAGGAAAAACAGAGACAACTAAAGACATGGGTAAAGCTCTAGGGAAATATGTTGTTGTCTTCAACTGCTCTGATCAGATGGATTTTAGAGGACTTGGCAGAATTTACAAAGGTAATCATATTTATATCTGTGCCTTATGACTAACTGATATTGTATTCACACATCCAACTAGTGTAAACTATGCAAACCTTATTCTAAAAACCTAACTCCTATTTTAAAAGGGGGAGATCAATCTCCAACTCAGGAGAGAAAATGTTCCAATATCTTCCCTTTTCTTTATTACTTGCCGATAAATATTGATTATTGTCAAAGATATTATGTACACAGATTCACTGGTCGATGCATCATTTATTTTTTTGTATAAGTTTTAAGTTACTATAAAATCTCAAATTTAAGTTTACAAGTTTTGTCTTCAACATGGAGTTTCCTTTCATATATAGGTGTGACCTTTTTATGACATTTTCAGGTTGCTGGGCAAAACATGATATTCTAATTTTATAGATTCAATTTGATTATGGTGTTATACTTCTTCATATTATTAAATTGTTTCACTGTTGTGTGTATTTGGCACCTTCATTAAAGGAGTAGGCCCAGTAAGACCCTTTTTTGGCCCCAAAATATAGCAGTTTTACAAAATTGTTAAAATGTAAATTTTTAGCTATTTATTGGAAAGAAGAATACTTCTGTTACATAAATATGTGCTGTTTTTGACTACTTGCATCATTAAGTCATGTTAGATTACTGAAATCTTCGAAATTTTAGCATTTTGGTTAATTTTTAGACAGTTTCTGTCTGAAATGGAAGTGGCCGCATTTGTGTTCATTCTTTATATTTAATCGTAAGTTGTATTTGATGATAATACATGACATATATAAAGGTTGAGAATGAACACGGATGCAGCCACTTTCATTTTTAACAAAAACCATCTGAAAAGTGACATATTATGGCATATTTGATAGATTTTTCATATTTAAGCTTGAATTTGAGCGTCTTTAATGACTAAGTCAGTTCAAATCTTTCACATAAACTGATTGAATCGACTGAGGTAGACACTTAAGTTTTTAAAAAGTGTCCAAAATCTTTCATCAAATGAACTTGAATTTTGAGACCAAAATCGGCCCTTACCACTCCTTTTGACTGAATTTACATAAAACCTCATATTTTTATAACTTTTTATTTCAATCATTTGAAGTACAATGTATTTTCAAGCTGCCAATTCCTCTGTTGAAAGAACACAGATAAATTCTGTTTTGTATATTTGATATTGCAGGACTTGCTCAGTCTGGTTCGTGGGGATGTTTTGATGAATTTAACAGAATTGAGTTACCCGTTTTATCTGTAGCTGCTCAGCAAATTTATATTGTATTAAGTGCCAAGAAGGACAGGAAGAAAGAGTTTGTATTTACTGATGGTGACATAGTAGAACTCAACCCTGAATTTGGTATATTCTTGACAATGGTAGGTGAATGCTGAACATATGTTATTAGAATGAATAAAGGAAGGTTTTGGGTACACATCAATGAGACAGCAATATAAGAAAAACAATAATACTTTTTATAGCCGACTATACAGTACGAATTTTTCTCATTGTTGAAGGCTGTATGGTAGCCTATAATTGCTTACATCTACTTCATTTAAACTTTGGTGGATAGTTGTCTCATTGGCAATCATACCATATTTCCTTTTTTTTATATAAGGGCTATTCCATTAAAAAGGAGGTACTAGGGTCGGAAGGCAATTTTTAAGTACCCCCATGACCAAGAGGAATGTACCATGTATCTTAACACCAACCAACAGGAAGTTGTTTCATAACAATACAAGAACCAACTGGAATATATCTAACTTATTTTATTCTAATTTACCACAACCAAAGGAATTGTTATTTAAACATTATAGTTGCTGGACAATTTAGAGGGGGTGGACAGGGTCAAGGAGCTACAATGTTTGGTTATTACTATGATATAAAGGGCTATTTGTATCTTTTTTTTTTATATTGTTCAATTCATACCCGAGTATATAATTAATGTAACAGTTCAAATTCAAAGCTGTTTAAATGTATCATATCTAGTTGCACTATTATATTAGTTCCTTTGTAAAAATAAAGTAAGAAACTTCCAGATTTTTACTGGCCGTTCAAAATTGAGAAGAAATGACCTCTTGGAATTGTAGATATATGTATACTCTATAAAAACATCTACATGTAATATCAACATTTATTAATGATAAAGAAAATTACTGTCACATTTCATCGGATTTTGACATGAAAATTTGTGAACTAAAAGTTATTTTGAGTTTCTGTATAAAATATTTCATGCTTTTTCTTTCTTTTCCATATATCTTTTGGTTTTCAATTCTAGTGTTTATATTTCATCATCATAGATGTATTTTGTCACCTGCCTGGAATTATTATTTTTTTTATTGTATTTGATCGGCAAACCCGGAATTACCCTTATCCGACCCCGGAATCTGATCCGGTATTGTAATCGACTTCATTTCCGGTTTATGGCATCCATTGTTTTTCAATGTTGTTTTTGTCAGTAAGATACGATTTACTCGTATTTACACATTACTTGTTGGCAATTTTCAGTATAAAGCTAGCGGTTGAACAAACTGAGCATCGCTGTCATGAATAATAAAGATAAAAATAAATGTTGAGATCGTTTGGAAGTTTTGGTCCCAAATTGAAAATTGGGAAAAACGTAGGGTATTTGACATTGCCAATAGGAATGGGTCCGGTATTTGGACCCTGTGGAATGCTAGAAAAATCCCTGGAGAGTGTACAATCTCAATAGTAATATGGCTTTAAAATGACCATACTGATGGTTAAAAAGGTTGCCATAGTAAATTTTTATTTTCTTTCAAATCGAAAGTCCGTCGGGCCTAGCTAGTCACCAAACGAAGTCCGATTGCAATAGTGGAAGGTCACGAACCTCGGACCACTGCTAATTTGAACCTACAAATATTATTATACCCCACGCAACGAGTTGCGGAGGGTATAATGTTTTTGACCCGTCCGTCCGTTGTCTGTCCGTCCGTCCGTCCGTCCAGTGTCTGTCCGTCAGTCCGTCAGTCCTGTTTCTTGTCATCGCAACTCCTCTCAAACCACACAACAGAATTTCACGAAACCTTTTTAGATAAAAAGGACATAATATGTAGTTGTGCATATCGACAGGAAATTACGATTCAATTCTTTTTCTAGGAGTTACGCCCCTTTGAACTTATTTACTTTAATGTACTACTGCAACAGTTTGTCATCGCAACTCCTCTCAAACCACACAACAGAATTTCATGAAACCTTTTCAGATAATAAGGACATACTATGTAGATGTGCATATCGACAGGAAATTACGATTCAATTTTTTTTCCAGGAGTTACGCCCCTTTGAACTTATTTGCCCAATATACTACTGCAACCTTTTGTCATCGCAACTTCTCTCAAACCACACAACAGAATTTCATGAAACTGTGTAGATAATAAGGACATACTATGTAGATGTGCATATCGACAGGAAATTACGATTCAATTTTTTTTCCAGGAGTTACGCCCCTTTGAACTTATTTGCCCAATATACTACTGCAACCTTTTGTCATCACAACTCCTCTCAAACCACACAACAGAATTTCATGAAACCTTTTCAGATAATAAGGACATACTACATAGATGTGCATATCGACAGGAAATTACGATTCAATTTTTTTTCCAGGAGTTACGCCCCTTTGAACTTATTTGCCCAATATACTACTGCAACCTTTTGTCATCCCAACTCCTCTCAAACCACACAACAGAATTTCATGAAACTGTGTAGATAATAAGGACATACTATGGAGATGTGCATATTGACAGGAAATTATGATACAATTTTTTTTTCTGATACAATTTTTTTTTCTTACACTTATTTTATTTCTCCAATGACAATGTGGGGACGTGGGGTATGCGAGCGCGCTCACTAAGGTTCTTTAATTTTCAAGAGAATTTGACATCGTTCCCCATGTGCTTGTCATTAAAGGGAAGTAACTCTTGCACTTCCGGAACTGGTACCATAGGTAGAATACAACGGTTACGCCTTCCGCTGTGTAAGTCTCGGGAACAGTTATGTTTTCCAAAATATCACGATAAGAGCAGGAGACAAAAAACAATCGGTTATATAAGTCCTTGCAAAAACAAATAATAATAAATAACGGAAAATAACACATTGAAACCGACAGTCACGAAAAATGACTGTCAAAGAAGACCAACAACCAACAATACTTAGTTTCTCTAAACACCAAGGGCCACTGGCCATACACACTTCAACACATCAACAACCAACGGGATTTTTTATAATTGCCGTCCGACCCTGGTACATTCTTTTTAATGGAATAGTCCTAAATAAGACATCTAGAGGTCAACCGAATTTCTTCTATAATGGAGAAGTGTCAATATCATATCTCAAGGTGTACATAGTCCTTTGTTTAGACATGTTGTGAATGACTTAAATTTGAAATTGTTATTTAAATTTTGAATTGATCTTGTATGTTAGATAACAGTTATATAAACAATTTTAAGTTTCTTTATATTTCCAAAATAAAATAATTTCTTTAATTGAAATTATCAACAACAGTAGCAGGCTGAAAACCCAGTTTTATGGTTCTTTACAATAGTTGACGAAATTCCAATTTATTTTGCGGCCTCTGGCATATTGAACTTTTTCAAAAGGACTTTATGTTACTCACAAATGTTCTGATCATTATGAAATTGCTTTGTTTTAGAACCCTGGTTATGCAGGTCGTCAGGAATTACCAGAGAACTTGAAAATACAGTTTCGTACCGTATCCATGATGGTGCCAGACAGACAGATTATTATGAGAGTAAAACTAGCTGCATGTGGTTTCATTGAAAATGTCATTCTTGCCCAGAAATTTTACACTCTTTACAAACTATGTGAAGAACAGCTTTCAAAGCAGGTTAGACGTTAAGAATTAAGCAATAGCAATATTCGATCCCAACACGTTGGGTTGTTTATTAGATAAAAACACTAATAATCAGTTTTCAGGTTAGTTAATAAAACTAAAGCATATTGTTTAGAAATATATCATACAGGATAACAAAGTAAAAACATCTTTGAAAATTTATTTTTATGAAGACCAATAAAATGTTCATTAACTCTTAAGCATTAAATTCATTCAGACAATAAATATGTAACACTCTCATATGTGTCCAACCCCCAAAATGTGGCCAATCCCTTAAACATGTTCACAAAATTATATCTCCCCAAAACATGGCACAATTCACGAAGATTTAAAAAAGATGCTGACTTCAAAGTAAAAGAAGTAAAATCAAATAGAGGCTTCATAAATTTGCAGAGATGGTTTAATAGAGGTCCAAAATGTTAATTGAATCTATTTTAAATTGGTAACTTTATTTTGATTAATAAATAAACAAAATAGTAATCAATATTTGTAGAAAAACATACTTGTTATAACTGAAATGAAAAAAAGAAATTCTAGAAAACTATTTCATAACAGTTTTCTGTCTTGGCAATTTTCAAATTTGGCTGCCTGATCACCCGCACTTTTTATTTTTCATTCTGTGCCCTTTTTGCTTCAAATCGTGGAACCCAAGCCCTTTAAAGAGCTATTGTCCTACTGCCCACTTTTTACAACAACAAAACAGCATCCTTTGAAAAATTACAATCAAGGAAGAACGTTTTGGCGTCCTTCATCAACTATATATATTTTGGAGTTCAGTGACTATGACGTCAATTGGACACGTTTCTGAGTGTTACAAATATATAATAATGACTTTTCATTTATTTTCAAATACAGTTTTACTATAGCATTTAAAAACTTATGACTGTTTCTATCCAGAACATGTGCATGGACTTTTAATATTTAACAGGTGCATTATGACTTCGGTTTGAGAAATATATTATCTGTATTGAGAACACTTGGAGCTCAAAAAAGAGCTCGACCTACAGAAACAGAAAATACTATTGTAATGAGAGTATTGAGAGACATGAACCTGTCTAAACTTGTAAGTATAGTGTTTTATTGAGTTTTGTCTCTAATGTTAAGGTCAAGTTGAAGTTATTGATGGTGTCCCACAAAGTTCTAATTTAAAGTAAAAGCATTCAGATAATATTAAAATATGTTTTGGTACCATGCTTGATTTTTCACAAATGATTCTTAAGTAGTATGTTTTGGGGGTTAGTTGAAAAAAGATCTAATTTGAAAGTTTGAAAGCATACATTTAGTATTTTTTTCTCAGTAAGATCAATTTACATGCAGAATATTATTTTTACATGTACTGCAACATAGACAGTCAAACTTCTTTGTGTCCAACTCGGTTGTGTTGAAAACTCGGATGAGTCAAAGTAATTTCTCATTCCTGGTAAAGTTCCCATTTGATCAATGCATATTTACCTCTGATGTGTCGGATTCGAATTCTCGGTTAAGTCGAGTAAATTTTATAGTCCAGTCGATGTAAAAATAATGTAAATTGACCCTGATGTCTTGAATTTCGAAAGTAAAAGATTTCTAAAGATGCAGACGTAAAGATAAAAATTCAAATCAGATGTTTTTCTTATGTAACCTTATCATTTTCATACGAGATTAAAGCAGTATAAACATACTTCCACTTCATTTGAACTTTGGTGGATAGTTGTCTCATTGGCAATCATACCACATCTCCTTATTTTTATATTGTTAGTATAACAGTTAAAATGACATGTTTATAAATAGTGACTGGTAATTAACATCTTTGTTGATCATCCAAGGGGAACTTTAGGGTGCTGAACATATTTCACCCGATATAAAACGAAACGAATTTAAATGATTTAAACCAAGATTAAATGAATCTGAATTAAAATTCATTAACTGCAATAAATAAAAAGATTAAGACAATTATGATGAATTTACAATAATTGAATGCAAAGCAGACGACCCTCATCACAGATCTTTCAGAACTAGTTTTCTACCGCGAGTGATTCCATAATTTATATTGACTGACCGTTGTAAATATTTGCGTATTGATTTTATTTGTGAATGTTTTGTATCTGTACTTGCGTATTTAATTTATATGATGGACCAAAAATATGGAGATTGAATATACAATCATGTATTGTCATATCGAAGAAAGACAAACTGTTAAAAATATCTAGTTTACACAAATTTCATACCATATTTCATGCATTCCAAATTTATGACAACACACTCAACCTCGGATAAGTCAAACCTTGGATAAGTCGAATACATTCATCAGGTCCCTTTGACTTTGACTTAACGAGGTTCCACTGTACAACAATGATATAGATTCATCAAAAATGATCAAATAGTAAATCTATCAATTGAAAAGTTCTTTGTTTTTATAGTCAAAACCATGTTAGGGTTGAAAATGGTAAAGACATTACTGTTGAAGAACATATGTTCAACTTGAAGTGTCTTTTGGGTTTTATTGTACTGTTGGTTTGTTGTCTCTTTTACACATACCTCGCATTGCTTTTGTTTCATAGATATATAAAAACATCTATTAATTTTGATATTATATCCTGTATTTTATCATCATTTCTGTCGTAATTTCAAAACACCAATTAATATCATCACATGTTTCATTTGCTTCCCATAGACAAAGTTCTGTACATGACAGATATTACTCGGCGCAAACACATTCTTTTGAATACACAGTCCCAAGTACAGACATGATCTTGTTTGAAGAGTTAAGACATTAGATCCTAAAGAAATACTTAAATCCATCCTTATCAATCCTTCCCAGCTTTAGTGGAGATCTAGAGGTTGTTTAGCATAATGTGATGTGATTCATGTATATGTCAGATTGTCTGCAAGAATGCTTGAAGTAAATATTGATAAAACCTGGATTCCAAGAGATGCTTCTTTGCAACCAGAATGATACAGTGTTTCAATTTTAGAAGACAAATGACAGCTTAATTCAACTATTAATTTATTATCACTGCCACTGTTAAAATATTCTTAACACAATTAAATCATAGTGGAATGGAGTGTCTGATCTTTCATTAAGATAAATAAAACGGAGATGTGGGGTTAACATTAATGAAACAGCAACCCAACAATGAATGTATATGTATGACGGTTTAATTTATGAGACTTGTATGTAAAAGTATGGTTGACCTATAATGGTTTACTTTTATAAATTGTAACTTGGATGGAGAGTTGTCTCATTGGCACTCATACCACATCTTCCTATATCTATTATATGATGAAATACATTTAATATAACACATCATACCATGATAAATAATTTACAATAAATTTCAGGTAGGAGTTAAACTTGTTCAATGAAATTATCAAGATTTGATTGGTGTGGTTTTCTAAAAATTTTCTGTTGATCCCATACTTCTCACCAAGTTGTTTTTGGGTTAATTTTGGAATTTTGTCTGAGTCTTTAATCAAATTTAACTTTTTGTCTAAACTTAAATCCTTTCTAGCCCGTTTTGGTGAAGGCGAAGCAGAATGATTTTCCAAAATTCTCCTTTTACATTTAGGTGTCGTAGCCATGTTGTATAATACTCGAATGATTTTTATAAAGAAACTGAAAATAACTCGCATTTAAAGTTTGTTTAATTTTTATTTAGGTAAATTTACCTGTAACCCTTAACGAGGCTCAAATCACCTTCCGATCTATAAATTTAAATGTACACAATCATGTCAATTTGTTTGACTGTTCAGTGATCATGATACACATTTTAAAACATGTGATTATTATTTTTTTTGCTTGTGACATCTTCATCATTTTGTCGCTTTTGATATGAGCCAAGGCTTTGATAAAAAAATATTCTGGCATCTGAGAGTATTGGGAAGGAAAGAGACATGTTTTAATTTTCTTGTATTTTAGGTTGATGAAGATGAACCATTGTTCATGAGTTTAATAGCAGATTTGTTCCCTGGAATTATTCTTGACAGTGCTACCTATGCTGATCTTCAAGTTGCCATAGCAAACCAAGTTGAGGCTGCTGGGCTTATCAACCATCCACCATGGAATTTGAAACTTGTGCAGGTTAATATTGTTTAAAAGCCTTATTTTGAGAATTGCCAATAAAACACAAGCTCTAAAAATTTTAAGATATTCATATTGTTAAAAACTGAAGTTGTACTTGGACTTCATCCATAAGTGGTAATTCCTAAAGCCTTTTTAAATTATTTACATTTTAGTTGTATTTTCGTGAGACCTCACTACTTTGTGGACTAGACAGGGGACACTCTTCTTACAATATTTGGTAGTTCCAGCTGATTAAATAAAAGTTGTTGTTCTTTATAATGTATGTTGTGTTAATGCCATTTTATGAATCTTCTAGACTCACAATAACATGGAAATTTGAATGAACAATTTCAGAGTTACTATGGTCAAGTTTATAGTGGTTTTGTAATGTTCAAGTCAGACGTGTTGAAACTTGTGATTTATTAGGTTTATGTAAAATTTTCATACATGTAGGAGAAAAATCTGAAGAAATTTTGATGCATGAATTAACAAGTATTTCAATAAATTCTTTTTAGCTGAAAATAAAATTGATAGGTTCGGGTCATATTTTTATGCCCCTGCTTTAAGTGTTACCCTTTTCTGTCCGTCCGTAAATACGTCCCAAAATTAGTTTCTGTTCTCTAACTTTAGTTTTTTTTGCCTCAACCAAATGTTAAGAAACTTATTCACAATGCTTATTACCACAAAACACAGATCAAGGTCAAATTTGGCTGGTGTCACTTTTACCGTTCTAGAGTTATGCCCCTTTATAAATAAAACACAGATAAATTTTGAATTTGCATGCCGTCACTTTTACAGTTCAAAAGTTATGTCCCTTTATAACGTTATATGCAAGCAGGGGCATCATCTGTGTCCCATGGACACATTCTCCAATTATTTCACTTCAGGACTAGAGTAGTTTAAAGAAATGTTTGAGTGGGACAAGAGGGTGGTATTTTTGGAGACCCCTTGAACTATTGGTGTGTACTTGTCTTTTAAAATTGGTGAAATGTTGAAGAATGATATAGACCTAACCAGATTGAGTAATTTTATGTAGGACAATATTCAATTTGAAAATTTTTAAGCCAGACTATGGCAATTATTTTAACAGATAAGCAGCACAGGAGATATATTAGGAGCCAGTGAATTTTTCAAAATTATACAATGTATTATCTCATATATTTCAGCTTTTTGAAACACAGAGGGTACGTCATGGTATGATGACCCTTGGTCCAAGTGGAGCAGGAAAGTCCTGCTGTATTTATGTACTGATGAAATCAATGGCAGATTGTGGAGCTCCACACAGAGAAATGAGAATGAATCCAAAGGCTATTACTGCACCTCAGATGTTTGGACGTTTAGATGTAGCTACAAATGACTGGACTGATGGCATTTTCTCAACTTTGTGGAGAAGAACACTTAAAGCTAAAAAAGGTTGTTTTTGTCTCTGAAAGAACTAAACATGTGAAACAATTAAGAAGCATTTGTTAAATGGCAAAAAATGCTACATTGATTTGTTTTTAGAGGCAGAAAGTAGAATCCTTCAAGAAGAATAGATGCATTTACCCTTTAATGGAAATTTGTTTGCCATTACTTAAAACCTCACAAGTTCCCGCAAAATTTGCATCACAATTTAAAACATTTGACATCAAAATTAAAAAGGGATTGTTGCATGACCCAAAAGTGCTAATGCGTCTATAAATTTGGGAGTTTTATTTTATTTGAAACGATATAAAGAGGCAAGGACATGAAGAAATAAGTGAAGAGGAGGAATCAATGGAGACTAATGGTGTCCATAATCTATTATTTTTGGTTCTATTATAGTGAATGAGAATAATTTGATATATTAAGCTTTAAATTAAATAAAACCTTTATGGCATGCTCAGTCTAGTAGTTATAATTACAATAACTATACATATCTTTCACTATAGGAGAAAATGTTTGGATTGTATTAGATGGACCTGTAGATGCAATCTGGATTGAGAACTTGAATTCTGTACTTGATGACAATAAGACTTTAACTTTGGCTAATGGAGATCGTATACCAATGGCACCTCAGTGTAAGATCGTCTTTGAAGTACATAACATTGACAATGCATCACCAGCTACAGTCTCTAGAAATGGTATGGTTTACATGAGCTCATCTGCTTTAGATTGGAGGCCTATATTACAGGTATACTTTTAAGGCAGTTATTGTTTAAGTTCTATGGCAACATTGTAACTATAATTTATTAGATACATTGAAGTACCTCAGAGGTAATGCTGAAGTGCTATGGTTTACTTTTAAGTAGGAATTGGACATTATTTTGTTATTCTATTGCCCAAATAATCATTCCCAGCTCTCAGTTTAGACAACTAAAACAGTAGCCTGGTAACCTAAAATTCACTGTCGGTGGCCATTTGGCGAACATAACTTTATAAACCTGGCTACCATAAACAAATGTCTTATGGATTTTTTTCGGGCCCTATCCCTTTGCAGATTTTAAAGTATATTTCTACTGCCAAATTAGCAATGCACTTGCAAGTGGGGTTATTTTTAAAAGTGTCAAGCATTTCATCGACCATGGTTAAAGACAGCCATTGATACGACCAGAAAACGAAATAAATGTTGAAATGTGAAGACACTTGAAATGATATGGTCACAATTTTTGCTATGGAACAGAGACAAATATGTCTATACCCCTGTAGATGAGAGACAAAAAGGATTAATTATGAATTTACATGCTTTCCTGTGGTAGACCTTTATATACAGGTTTGACTATATTCTATAAATTATATTAAATAGTGCTTTCATTGTCAACTTTCCCACCATTAGTATTAAGGATGCGTGAAGGATTTTATCATTTGTATCTTGTTGGAAGGATTCTTATTATGTTTTTTTACTCAGCTAAGTTTGAAACCAAGAACTTTTAATAAGAATCCATTACCATGAGTCTTTATTACACATGATTAGATTTAATAGTTATTTATATTGAACATGGATTGTTGAAGACTACAATCTTCATAACACATGATTAAATTTAAAAGTGATTTATGTTGAGCAGGGATGGTTGAAGACCAGAAATGCAGCTGAAGCAGACATACTTCTGGGATTATTTGACAAACTGTTTGAAGATGTTAATCTTTATGTCAACTTACAGTTAAACGCCAAAATGGATGTGTTACAGTGTAATCAGATTAAACAGGTTTGTGTTTCTGTATAAACATACATAATGGAGGAAGTAGGATAAGACTCATTATTTTGACCCTGAAATTGCAAATATTGCAAAATTCTTCAATTCTGTCAAAATTATGTTAATTTTATTTATAAATGAATAGGCCAATATATAATAAATCGGAAGACTTCTATGCCCGTTTTCAACTATTCCCTTGTTGAGATATCTTTTACAAACATTTTGATGTTTCATCTTGATGTAAATATATAGGGATTGCAAATATTCATTAAATATGGAGGACTTAACATAAAAAGACATTTCTGAAAATTGGAAAGTGTTTGTGTAATCATATATGGACTAATTTATATTTCAGGCATGTGTGTTGTTGGAAGGTCTGATTCCAAAGAGAGATGACAAAGGAACATTACAGGCCCCTCATCTGGAGAAACTGTTCATCTTTAGTGTTATGTGGAGTCTTGGAGCATTACTAGAACTTGAAGATAGAGCTAAGATGGAAGAATTCATGATGAATCATGAATGCGGCTTTAATTTCCCCCCTAAACAAGATGATGAAACTATATTTGAGTATATGGTAGATGAAAAAGGTACAATAACTAGTAAAACAGTAATAATAGTTTTTATGGTGTTAAATAGTTCCTGATTTTCAGATTTCAAAATATATTTTCTTTCTTTCTTTCTTTCTTTCTACAGGTATGAATCGCTGTTCTAGATCGGCGCACTCCTACATAGTAGGATGTCTAATGCGCTATATACAAATATACACCCGCACCCACTAAAAACTCATATTACACACAAAGGAACGTGCCACTAATCCACCAATTCATGCATATATATATATATAACGGTAACGGTAAAAGCGTGCTGCACAAATACTGTGTTGTTATTTACATATTATATATACATCGTACATTACAGTGAAGTTACGATTAAGACGAATATGATCATCTTCACTGCTCCATGCTTAAAATACTAGTTGCTAATTTATGCTAGGTGTGCGAATATATACATTAGCTTTATAGCAGTCTATAGGTAAGCACTAAATGTTAATGTCTTATATTTTGGACATACTGTTAATATTGGATATATGCGTTCATCTGCAGAATATGTAGATATATTTAAAATTTAGGTACACTAAAGCACTATGCGGTAAATATGCAGGAAAAGAGAATGTTAAAGCACTATTCTGTAAAATGGCCAAATAAACGATACATGTAGGTAAATAGCCAACCAAAAAACTTACCACAAAATTGCCTTTTGTATACTTGTAGGTGAATGGTCTCATTGGTCAAACAAAGTAGAGGAGTATGTCTACCCTGATGACAGTGTACCTGAATTCTCATCTATTCTGGTACCTAATGTGGACAACATCAGGACAAATTTCTTGATTGAAACAGTTTCAAAACAAAATAAGGTATCGTAAATTAAGTAAATATATCTTTTGTTAAAATTCACTCATGAAATAATTATTTTGTAAGTTTGCCCCTTATGGTTGGTTCAGGATAGAATTGTGTAAATGATTTGGACACAAAACATTTGTGCATAAAACTTCTTAAATAAAGACAGTAAATCAATGTGAATCATGTTGAAGAATTAAATGAAAAAAGTTGATTTTGAATTTACAGTTATAAGCCAAACAAAAATATTTATGCAAATGGAAGGCTGGGAAAAAGTAGATACCTACTTTGTTTAATCGCCTCCTTCAACGTTTTTTTTTTTAACCCAGATAATCCCTGTAACTTCACAGAAAGGTTGCACATATGTTGAAGTTGTGCACCTAATATTATGGCATTGTTTTATTTTTTTTCCATTTTTAACCCTATATTTCCATATATTTGAATGTTCATTAATAGATAATTCTCCATTGTTTAAGAAACATTCTGTGGAACCTAGCAATTTGATCAGTCATTGATCCATTTTTATATGCTATTAGATTTATATTTGATATCTCTATTTCAGGCAGTCCTGCTTATTGGAGAACAAGGTACAGCCAAAACAGTTATGATAAAGGGATATATGGCAAAATATGACCCAGATAGCCACTTAAGTAAAAGTTTCAACTTCTCATCTGCATCTATTCCCATGATGTTTCAGGTACAAATATAAATCAAGGAAAAATAAACATTATCAATCTCTGCAGGTTGAAGTCAAAAATGACGTTAGCAACTGTAGGTTGTGGGAAGCCTTCAACAATGAATAAAATCCATAGCGAGCTGTAAAAGACCTGACATAACAAAATGTAAAACCATTCAAATGAGAAAACCAACTGGCTGTTTTATAAAAAAATAACAATTGAAAACATATGTGAAACATATGTGAAACACAGTATTAAATGACAACTTCTGAATAAAAGACTCTCTACTTTGGAGTTTTTGGCTGAATTTTTCATATATGATGCATAATTATTCTGTCAAACTACTACAGTTTCTAAACTAAAATATACCAGTTCCTAAAAATGTTTTCATACTTTCACACATGATATTTGCAGGGTAAAAAGCAAAATTCTGTGCACTCATTAAAATAAATTCCATGAGGCTTTGCATACTTTTGTGAAGTTTGCTGAAAGGAATATTCACAATAGCCATACAAGGTGCCTAACTGATTTAAATATCAGCAGATTTTATATTGTCTGCTCTTTGTCAAAAATAAGGATTGTTAATTTTTTATCTTTATGCAAAGTTTTTGAATGGAACAATTCATAACATTTCATAGTCTTTTGTGTACCTTGTGATTCACAATATGCTGAAGAATTCAGAATGAGTGAATGGAAATGTAAAGATGTAGTTCATAGTTTTATTGTAACCTTTTAATGTATTTATATCTTATTCATTTAACTCTTTTACAGAGAACCATTGAAAGTTATGTAGATAAAAGAATGGGAAGCACATATGGACCACCAGGAGGAAGAAAGATGACTGTCTTTGTGGATGATATCAACATGCCAGTTATCAATGAATGGGGAGATCAGGTTGGTAATATGAGATTGTCTTTTATTTATATAAATAACCAAATAGGTCAGTTTGAATATAAATAAAGACATTATGAGAACCAATCAGCTGACAATTTAGTCAGAGTTCTGAACGGATTATTGCTTGGGAAGTATTTTTACAGCAAAATAATTGATGACATGTTTTTGTGACACCAGGACTACTATAAGAATTGAGAAAAATTACTGAAAAAAATGAATCATTACTGAATTATGTAAACAAACAAAAATCCTCTATTTCCCCAAAATGCTGGCATGTCAGAAAAAGAACTTAGCAACCTCTTTTATACTTTATTTCATAAACATTAAATATTACATTTGATATACAATGAAATACCTTTTTTCTTGAGCTTTTGCTTACTTCTACTATTATTGGAATCATTTTGGACCCTCAACCAATCCACCCCTTTCACCACTCCTATGATTTTTTTCTCGTTTTTGGTAAATGATTGGCCCTTCAACCTATCCTTCCTGTTCGTCTTATAGTCTGATTGCAGTACACATTTTAGTGACATCAGTTTTAAGTCATAGACTTTATGGTTATACCTCAAATACTAAAACTATCAAGTAGGCATATCAAAAGTTCACAAGTACACATATTTAAAAAGAAAAGTATATTTAGCCCATTCCCTTCTTTTAATTGAAGCTTTTCATTATATTAGTTTTACAGGTGAGCAATGAGATTAGAAGAAGTTTTAATGAAGCTATTAAAATGAATTATTTATTTTACAGGTAACAAATGAAATCACAAGACAGATGATGGAAATGCATGGAATGTATAGTCTAGATAAACCAGGAGAATTTATATCCATTGTTGATGTCCAGTTTTTAGCAGCCATGATACATCCTGGTGGTGGACGTAATGATATACCACAGAGACTCAAAAGACAGTTCTCTATTTTTAATTGTACACTTCCATCAAACAATTCTATTGACAAAATTTTCAGTGAGTATTAGACTACCGGTACTCAGGGTTTAAGCTATGATTTTAAGGAAATTGAGACATAGCAATCAAAACAAAAACATACAATATGTATCTTTAGAAGGTAAACAGCTGTTTTGTTTTAATCTTTCTTGCATGATAAGAAAACCAACCTTTCTTGGGTAGCAGCTTAACATGATAGGACTATGGTAGATATTGCATAGGGTTAAATACATGAAGGAAAAAAAGTATACTTTCTTTTTCTTTCTCAGTATTTCATTAGTTTACAAATACAAAGATAACAATAAAGATTAAAACAAGACAGCTGTTTTGTTCGTCCATCTGTTCCACTTCAGGTTAAAGTTTTTGGTCAAGGTAGTTTTTGATGAAGTTGAAGTCCAATCAACTTGCAACTTAGTACACATGTTCCCTATGATATGATCTTTCTAATTTTAATGCCAATTAGAGTGTTGACCCCAATTTCATGGTCCACTGAACATAGAAAATGATAGTGCGAGTGGGTCATCCGTGTACTATGGACACATTCTTGTTCTTCTAAAGATACATATTGTATGTTTTTGTTTTGATTGCTTTGTCTCAAAACGGGGACTAATGGGACTAATATAATGAATCTATTGGAAATAGAAAATGCTTAAAAGTTATAAATAAAGAATAGAGAAAAGTGGGCAAAAAAAAAAGAAGAGAGAATAATGGGTGCTTAAAAATACAGATTAGAGAAAATGTGTAAAAATTTATAGAATACAGAAAATGAGCGAAGTTGAGAATCCTAAGGCGACAAAGTGGCTCACTTCACCTGGTGTGGTTACCCCTGTTAGTTACTAGTTATAAAAAAAAAACACATGAAAAAACAAAACAAAAAACTAAAAATATAGCCCATGAATAAATTTATACTTTAATAGGTATAATAGGATGTGGATACTTCTGTCCCACCAGATTTGAGCAAGTTGTTTGTGATCTTGTACAGCTGTTGGTACCTGCTACAAGAACTCTCTGGCAGATGACAAAGGTATGTAGAGATTTAAAACATTGTTACACGTAAAAAGGATCATACATTTAGGATGCTAGATGGTTCAGGAGAAAAGTTACCATAAGGTAAAAAGGATCATACATTTAGTATGCTAGATGGTTCAGGAGAAAAGTTACCATTGTATTCCTTCAACTTCACAAATTCAAAAGAGAAATGTATCTACCATTATATATATATTATAATTTATCATAATTTGTATTACTGTAAGTTTGTCTTTCTTAAATATGCATAATAGTACTGTTTTTTGTAGAAAAAAAAACAAAATGTAATTGTAATGTGCTAAAGTCAACACACATTTTGAAAGAAATAACATGATGCACATCACTGTCTCCTTTTAAAATTTTAAAATTAATTTTAGATGATAGATGGCCACTATTATTTCTGCTAAATTATCATTAAAACCTATTTTTTATAACCTGCCTCAAAGGCCTTGTGATCCATTACCACCACTTGGCGTTCTTTGGTCAGCTAATATTTCATTTGAGACCAATATAAAAGAACAACACCAAACAAGCAAAAAATTGCAACTCTCAAGGTCCCAACAAATGTTACTTTGATGCGAATATGTCAACAAGCATGCTGTCTTGGCCTATTCTAGTTTATTTTTCCCGCGCTCTGAAAGGAGGGTGGGTACACTTGTTTACTTCTGTTTGTCGGTAAGTTTCCATCCGTCCTGACTTTAAATTAAACAACTTCTCAAGTTGAAACTTGTTTAATAAATTGGTATGAGATTGTCCCATATTATGCAGTGTTCTAGCTAGACGGTTTTCAAAGTTTTTAGCTCCATTCCTTTTGTGTTTTTTTCATGATGCCTTGTGCCCTTTTTTTAGCTCACCTGGCCCAAAGGGCCAAGTGAGCTTTTCTCATCACTTGGCGTCCGTTGTCGTTAACTTTTACAAAAATCTTCTCCTCTGAAACTACTGGGCCAAATTTGACCAAACTTAGCCACAATCATCATTGGGGTATCTAGTTTAAAAAATGTGTCCGGTGACTCGGCCAACCAACCAAGATGGCCGCCATGGCTAAAAATAGAACATAGGGGTAAAATGTAGATTTTGGCTTATATCTCTGAAACCAAAGCATTTAGAGCATATCTGACATAGGGTAAAATTGTTTATCAGGTCAAGATCTATCTGCCCTGAAATTTTCAGATGAATCGGACAACCCGTAGTTGGGTTGCTGCCCCTGAATTGGTAATTTTAAGGAAATTTTGCCGTTTTTGGTTATTATCTTGAATATTATTATAGATAGAGATAAACTGTAAACAGCAATAATGTTCAGCAAAGTAAGATCTACAAATAAGTCAACTTGACCAAAATGGTCAGTTGACCATTTAAGGAGTTATTGCCCTTTATAGTCAATTTTTAACCATTTTTCGTAAATTTTTGTAATCTTTTACAAAAATCTTCTCCTCTGAAACTACTAAGACAAATTTAACCAAATTGTCCACAATCATCATTGGGGTATCTAGTTTAAAAAATGTGTCCGATGACCCCGCCCGCGAACCAAGATGGTTGACATGGCTAAAAAATAGTACATAGGGTAAAATGCAGTTTTTGGCTCATATCTCTGAAACCAAAGCATTTAGAGCAAATCTGATGAGGATAGAATTGTTCATTAGGGCAAGATCTATCTGCCCTGAAATTTTCAGACCAATCAGGCAACACGTTGTTGGGTCCCTGCCCCTGAATTTGGTAATTTTAAGAAAATTTTGCAGCTTTTGGTTATTATCTTGAATATTATTATAGATGGAGATAAACTGTAAACAGCAATAATGTACAGCAAAGTTAGATCTACAAATAAGTCAAAATGACCAAAATTGTCAATTGACCCCTTAAGGAGTTATTGCCCTTTATAGTCAATTTTTTACAATTTTTATAAATTTTGGAAATTTTTGTAAATTTTTACAAAATATTTTCCACTGTAACTACCAGGCCAAGTTCATTATAGATAGAGATAATAGTAAGGAGCAAGAATGTTTAGTAAAGTAAGATCTACAAACACATCCCCATCACCAAAACACAATTTTGTCATGAATCCATCTGTGTCCTTTGTTTAATATGCACATAGACCAAGGTGAGCGACACAGGCTCTTTAGAGCCTCTAGTTATCTCTTATAAACTAACCAGGCCCAAAATTCAACCAAACTAGGGCTGAACAATTGTGAGTATATAATATAAACATATGAGAAAATCTGACACAGCTCAGAATGTCAAGAGCTACCCACTTTTTTATTCCACTAAAATGATTAAGACAACTCTCTGCAGGTGTTATTGCTCTTAAATGATGATTTTTTTTTTCTACCATTTTTTGTATGTTTTTGCAATTTATCTCGAAAACTATAATAGATAAAGTGAATCTTTAAACAGTAAGATTTTCAAATAAAGGATATAGTACCTCCACTCCTAAAAGGCAGTTAAAGGAGTAATTGTCCAAATAATAATTTTTTCCTAAATTCACATTTTTATGCTCTGCCACCTAGCGGGGCCATGAAGGTGTACCCTAGTCTGTCTTTCCGTACGTCCCGAAATTGGTTTCTGTTCTGCAAAATTGATCAGCTAGATAAGATCTACAGATAGGCAAACATAACTGATTTGCAATAAAGGTGAGCAATTCAGGCACATAGGAGGCTCTTTTTTTTTACATCCTGCCTTTTGTATCAGCCCACTCTCACTCACTCTCAATCACAGAATCAAATACAGGAGTAATTGCTTCCTAAATTTTGTTAAATGATTCATTTATGGTCCTCTTTATGAAATTTGAGGAAGAACCAATCAATTTTCAAAAATGCCTGCCACTGTAATCAGAAATAGAAAAAATCAAGATAAATCCTTTGAAAACGGTAAAAGATCAATTGCTGCCAAAAGTTGGATAAGTGATACCTTTACTTTCCTTAAAATTTGACAAAAATGCAATAAAAAAATTCAAGTAGATCAAAGAAGTAACAATTGCTACTAAACATTAGTTAAATGCTGTATTTATGATTCTTATTTATATATTCAGTCTCCTACTGGAAGTTATTCTTAATTCTGATCAAATTTTAAAAGCAATACAAAAAAGTTCTGAAAACATATTACAGTATAGGTCTGTCTTTGTGCTTGTGAACACAAGGAGATTGAATAGGTTTAATAAAGTTTGGCGAGTGGTTATTATTGACAATGTGCATAGATCAAGGTGATAGATACAACTCTTTAGAGCTTTTAGTTATGCTTATTAACTGATTGTCCTTTTGTGTAGGTCAAAATGTTACCAACACCAGCAAAGTTTCACTACATCTTTAACTTGAGAGATTTATCTCGTATATGGGAAGGCATGCTGAATATTCAAGGCAATGAATGTAAAGATGAAGCTACAATGATGGGTCTATGGAAACATGAATGTACCAGAGCTATTGCTGATAGGTCAGTATAATTTAAAACAGGACCAATATATTTGCAGGTCAAGTAATATTAAAATACAAAAGCCCTTTCATGGTCTTACTCCTATAGTTTTAAGCTCCCTGTAAAGAAGCAATGTGATTTTGCTAAGACCTGATATTCTTTGTTATGTATCTCTGAAATTTTCTGCAATCATACTCTTTTATATTTCCATCTGCCAACCAAAAAGACTGCTTTTACTATAAAACATAGAAAACAATCAAACCCCATCATTGTTGGTCTGTTTTTAAAACTGACTTTATAGTCATTTAGGAAGTATGTTAGTTCTATTATGGACACAGGTCTGCTTTTTGAAAGTGGGAATTTAAAACAAGAAAGATTTAAAAAAAAATAAAAAATAGTACCCATTATGCCATATCTTGAATATTTTATTTTCCTGTTTTTTATTTACAATTGGTTAATTTTGCTGGACTTTGGAACAAGGAATCCATCTTCATGAACAATTATTCTTTTTTTTTATTCATTTTATTCATATTAGATTTACTAACTTTGAAGACAAGAATTGGTTTGAAAATGCACAGAAGGGTGTTATAAAGAACAACATAAGTGAGGATTTAGCCAGTATATGTCCAGAAGAACCATACTTTGTAGATTTCCTTCGAGATGCTCCTGAGCCTACAGGAGAGGAGGCAGAGGATACCGCATTAGAGGCTCCAAAAATATATGAACTGGTAAGTATGAAATGTTGAATAGAAATATAAAAAAAAAAGTTTAGAAATTTGTTTGTTTGAGTATTTTTCAATTCCAAATTTGTTACTGAAAAATTTTTGATGGTGATGATGGATGGATGTTTAACGTCAAGCTGCAAATTAGATTCATGTTCAGGATGAGAACATTTTAATGTGGTATTTCACAATGTTAAACATTATTCCTTTAAAAGGCAAGAATGACTAAATTGTAACAGATTGAGCATAGGCTTACATATTTACCCATCAGATTCTTAAAATCTTCTTCAATTTCTTATATTAATTATCATTCACATTAAATATGGTTTGAAATCAACCTTTTCAATTTCTGGCATTTAGCCAAGTAAACAAACATCACTTGTTAAATGTACCCAATAAAAATGTCAAGAGAGGAAAAACTAGTATATTTTTAGGTATGGCTTTATCATATCAGAATGTTTCAGTCATGGAAATGATGCTTTGATATACAAAATTTAGGTGCCTAGTTACGAGTTCCTGAATGAAAAACTACTAGGATATATGCAGCAGTATAATGAATTGGTTAGAGGAGGACATATGGACTTGGTATTTTTCAAGGACGCCATGGTTCATTTAATAAAGGTAAACATAATTATAGAATAACTAATCCACAGCAACATATTGACTTGGTATTTTTCAAGAACCCCATGTTTCATCTTATAAAATAAAAATAATGTGATATTTTCATTAAATTAAGTATTAATACAGAGGAAACTTGGATATAGCATTTTGCTTACTTATTTAATTACCGTCTCCAGGAAGTTCCCTTTATCCAATCATGATTGAAATCATAATTTCTGCAGCCCTAATCTTTTACTAATTGGTATGATTGGTATCTAGGATGCTAGCCAATCATTGTTCTTGATTCATTTAAATTGTCCGATCAGATTGTTAATTGCAGTCTTTGTTTTACCACAAGCGCGCTCTTGATCACTTTTGAATTTGCAAAGCGTATGCAGGCTGCTTTTCATATTCCAGTTACAATTCAATTTTATTTATCACTGGAATTATTTAAACTTTAAAAGCTAACGTTTTTAAACATGTTTGTTTAAAATATGACGTCTGAACGTGCATATGTTCGTGCGGAACAACAAATAAGAAACATTCTAAATATTCCGGAATGGTATATTTTCTCAAATGCTGAAATTCGCTATGTGGCCAGAGAACTTGAGTTGTAGAGGAAATTTAACTAGCTTTTATTGGACATTACGAATGGATTGTGCAGCGCAATGCAACGGGTGCCTATTTTGCGGAGAAATTTTCAAATTGTGTGAAATTCACAACAAATATTCCAGACAGGCGTGAGCGTAAAGGATTTTATATTGCCTTTGGATTTACACTTTGAACACTTTCATCGTTAAAAAACTGTAACAATGTTTGAATCAGAAACCGAGGAGATCGGAAACCCGATGATAGAGCTATCGGACATTGACCGGGTCAAAAAGTGGGCGGCTAGCAAAAAAGTAAATGAACATTCGGCGGCGGAGTTAATCAGGCTAGGATATGATTCGATAGAGGCCCTTTCTTGTCTCCTGCCTGAAGATTTGACAAAGTCTAAGATCCCCATCGGGCAACAACGGCTACTGCTGCGTGCAGTAAGATCTACGTTTCCAGCGGAGTGCGGGAGCGAATCTAACATGGTGGTGGAGGAACAACTTCTGGCATCTTCACCTGCAGCTCAACTTAACGCATGCGCAACATTGACGACAGATGGCGGTGCAGTTCAAACCGGAAGTGGAGATTTATATGTGCAAGCTATAACGAAACAGCTTCAACAGCAACAATCGTTACCATTAGGAGATAATCTGAACATCAGCAAGACAAACCAAGGACAATCAACAGTGCATCCTGAAGGTATTCAAGAATTTGACTGTGTTTCTAACATTATTTCGTGGAAAGACCCACAAATATTTTTAAAATCTTCCTTTAATGATGTAACTATAAATTTTTATGACATAACTGATTTCGTAAATGTACATATGTCAGGTACTGGTTTTTCAGAGGAAAAACTTATTTCAGATGCTTCTGGGGGTCAGCTTATTTTCAAATCTGGTCCAGTTAAGCCTAAACTTGAGTCCCTGAGTTTGTGTCAATGGTCTAGTGCGAATTTATCTATTATGTACAAACTGTTGTCCTCTGGCGATTTGTCACAGGCTCAATTACTTGATTACCTATCATATACTGCAAGAATTTACAATCTTGTTGCAACTTGTGACATGGTTTCTGTCTTCTTTTTTGACAGAGAATATAGGCAGCTGCAGAAACAGCACAAGTTTCGTTGGGGTACAGATGTTCCACATTTACATTCCATATATATACGTCCAAAGGGTTTTGTAAAGCCTCAGACAGGAGGCTCCAAATTTCAGACCACTGGCTCAAGACCTGGGGTTAAACATGAGATTACATATGCTTCCCATACATCAGGTGGGCGGGAAATATGCAAAAGGTTTAACAGCAGGAAGGGATGTTTTATGTCAAATTGTAGGTTTGAGCATGTTTGCGCAGTACCAGGCTGTGCTAATAAGCATCCTGCTCATTCTCACTCTAACTCTATGCATGGCAATCCAAAAAACGGGGTATAATGGTAAAGCCTACACGTGACCTAATCCTGTCTGCCTGGTCCAACGAATTACAAAATGATTTTGATAAAAAATTTCTTCTTCAAGGAATTGAGTTTGGCTTTGACATTATTGATGCTACTGATATCCCTTTAAATATTCAAGCAAAAAATCATCCCTCTGCTAGTCCGTCTGGCCCTCTTTATAGTAAAGCGCATACACAAGTTTTGATTGAAATTGAGAATGGTAACCTTTTTGCAGATGAAACACCCAAAATTATTAGTCCCATGGGTGTTATACCTAAGCCGGGGGGCGGTATACGGCTCATACATGATTGTAGTAGACCTGAAGGTTCTGCCGTCAATGAAATCGGCTTATAGGTCCGTTCAAATAAGTAAAACAAGCCAGCAGGTGACAGGTTTTAGATGGACTTTCCCTGATGGTAGAGAATTTACCCTTTTTGATCGTAAACTCCCTTTTGGTTCAAAATTGGCACCTGGTATTTTTCATCGTTTGTCCCAGGCTGTAAGAAGGATGATGTCACGTAAGGGCTTTACCATTGTAGCTTACTTAGATGATTTTTTCATATGCGAGCAGACTAAATCTAAATGCAAAGAAGCTTTGAATGTGCTTATCACTTTGCTGCGTTATTTAGGTTTTGCGATAAACTGGTCTAAAGTGGTTGATCCCTGTCAGCAAATCACTTTTCTTGGCGTAGAAATTGATTCTACTACTATGGAAGTCAGACTTCCAAGCGATAAATTGGCGGTTTTAAAAGCAGAGCTGCATGCATTCACAAAGCGTTCCCATGCTTCTAAAAAGCAACTGCAATCCCTAGCGGGGAAATTAAACTGGGCGTCAGCGGTAATTCGTGGCGGAAGAGTTTTTCTTCGACGAATTATTAACTGCATTATGCGTATTAAGCGGGATTGGCATAAAGCGCTTCTTAAGGGCGATATTGCGCAAGATATTCTCTGGTGGGATAACTTTATTTCATCTTTTAATGGGAAATCACTGATTTTAGATCTATATCCAGTCACATCAGTAGCTACAGATGCATGTCGTTCTGGGGCTGGTGGTTTTTTTGATAATGATTGGTTTTATGTAAATTGGCAATGTGATTTCCCTTTTGCAAAAAATTTGCACATTAATGAGCTGGAAGCGCTTTCTGTTGTGTTTGCTGCTAGGCGTTGGGCGAAAGCATGGCAGAATAAGCGTGTTTTAATTTTTTGTGACAATGCGACAACGGTTAGTTGTTTAAACAAGTGCTCTTCAAGGAATGCTACCTTAATGTCTTATTTAAGAGAGCTGTTTTGGTTGTCAGCCACTTACAACTTTCACATAAAAGCTGTGCACATTGCAGGCAAATCAAATGTCATGGCTGACATGATTTCGCGTTTGCATGATACTTCTATGAGTATAAGGTTCATGCGCTTTTATTTACCCAATCCTCTGTTTGTGCACCACATTGAATCCCACATGTCTAGTCACTCCCTCCTTTTTCTTTTGAATAGGCTCACAGGGCTCCAAAGAGATGACGGCATTGGATGATATTGTTCTGGACTTCAGATGCCATGCCTATGCAGAGTCAACCAAAAAGACTTACATGACTTATTTAAAGTCCTTTGTGGCATTTTGTAATTTAGTTGGTATTGCAGTGGTTCCCTTAAGTCAAGAGAATTTAGCAAGATATACTGCCCACCTGTCTGGTCGACTGAAGTATAATTCCTTGTGCAATTATTTATCCATCATCAGAATTTTGCATCTTGAGGCAGGGTATAGCTCCCCAATTGACACTCATTTAGTTTCGAATGTGTTGAAAGGTGCACGTAGAGTGTTGTGGGATGTCAACACTGCTAAGTTGCCAATTACCCCCAAGATTTTGTTTAAAATTTTTGCCGTTATATCCTTTAACGATACTAAAGATGTGGCGTTTTGGGCAGCTTGCCTTGTGGCTTTCTTTTCCTTTTTCAGGAAGTCTAATTTGCTGACACCATCTGTGAATGATTTTGACCCTGATCGCCATTTAAGCAGACATAATGGTTTTTTTTTTTTTTTTTTTTTTTTTTTTTTCTCAGAAAGATGGTGTCCTATTGCGCATTTCCAAATCTAAGACCATCCAGTTTGCAGAACGTTGTTTAGATATTCCACTTCCTGCTATAAAAAATTCTCCTTTATGCCCCTCACAGGCTTTATTATTAAATTTAAAATGGTACCAGCTGTCAAAACCCCTACTCCGGCCTTTTTATATCGACATGGGGAAGACACTATCCCCTTAACCTATGCAGTGTTTTTGGCTAGGCTTAAAACTGTCCTATCAGTTATTGGTTTTGACGCCTCGCTTTATTCTGGACATAGTTTTCGTAGAGGAGGTGCCACGTTTGCTTTTCAGTGTGGTGTTCCAGGGGAACTAATTCAGTCTCAGGGAGACTGGAAAAGTGATGCATATAAGGGTTATTTGGACCCCTCTCCTTCCTACAGATTGCATGTTATGAAAACTTTTGCTAATGCACTTAAATTTTCTATTTAACATATCACTACTTTATTCCTACATTGTACCTGGTTTGTGCAAGTGTTTGGAGTACCACAGACTTATCAGTGAATTGATATTTGCGAAACAATTAACTTTTTATGATTCTTTCATTGTTCATTGGCATTGTTTATTATATAATGAAAGAAATTAATAAAACTGTAGTTAGTTTGCCCAAACCAGTATTTTGTCTCATTTCAACTTATATTTGTTTATCTGGTCCAGCCTGTGCATAACGGTTAAGGTACGAGATTCTGTTTGGCTTCAGTAAACATGAGCTCTTCAGGGTCTGGTCTTACATCCAATTGTGTTATGGGCATGGACCAGAGTATAGCCTTTGCCTGCTGGATGCATATCACATACACACATTCATTACATGTAATTCTATCAGAAACCCATGAGGAGGTGGGTGGGACCAGTACAAGTGTATCTGGATTAATGTGATATTTTCATTAAATTAAGTATTAATACAGAGGAAACTTGGATATAGCATTTTGCTTACTTATTTAATTACCGTCTCCAGGAAGTTCCCTTTATCCAATCATGATTGAAATCATAATTTCTGCAGCCCTAATCTTTTACTAATTGGTATGATTGGTATCTAGGATGCTAGCCAATCATTGTTCTTGATTCATTTAAATTGTCCAATCAGATTGTTAATTGCAGTCTTTGTTTTACCACAAGCGCGCTCTTGATCACTTTTGAATTTGCAAAGCGTATGCAGGCTGCTTTTCATATTCCAGTTACAATTCAATTTTACTCCCACCCGCCACATCCCTCGCAATACTTGTATGTATGTTGATTTTGTTTTTTATGACTATATGTTTTCATTATATGTGGCACCTATTTGTAGATTTTGTTATTGTTTTTTTATTTGTGTATTGATAGTTTAGTTTCCATTTTCATATTGATAACCACAGTTGTTTGCCTTTAGCTTCTTGTATGGAGTACCACAGACTTATCAGTGAATTGATATTTGCGAAACAATTAACTTTTTATGATTCTTTCATTGTTCATTGGCATTGTTTATTATATAATGAAAGAAATTAATAAAACTGTGGTTAGTTTGCCCAAACCAGTATTTTGTCTCATTTCAACTTATATTTGTTTATCTGGTCCAGCCTGTGCATAACGGTTAAGGTACGAGATTCTGTTTGGCTTCAGTAAACATGAGCTCTTCAGGGTCTGGTCTTACATCCAATTGTGTTATGGGCATGGACCAGAGTATAGCCTTTGCCTGCTGGATGCATATCACATACACACATTCATTACATGTAATTCTATCAGAAACCCATGAGGAGGTGGGTGGGACCAGTACAAGTGTATCTGGATTAATCATCAAATAGCTAATTCAAGAATTTGATTGTTTAAAAATAGTCATCAAGTGGCTGATCAACACATTAATTCATAAAGGCACATGGTATCACATGAGTGAATAATCGGTTTTTTTTTTGTCAAGAGTTGAATGTTTTTGTATATTTGAATTCTTTGATTAGTTAATCTGTTTATTACATTGTCTTTTTTATGTAAATAAAGTATAAAATGCTGCAAATGTTGTTTTGTTTCATATTTTCATAACATCTTGACAACACCTGTAACTTAATTAAACTGATTAGTTAGAACTAGAGTAAATGTTGCAAAGGATTTTTTTATGACTCCAATCAATCATAGGATGGAGCATAAAGTGTTATCCATATCTATCATTATCTTCTTCCTAAATCCTAACTTTTTAAGTTGTGCCTCTAAATTTTGAGTTGATTTTTGTTCCATTGTATATTGAGTTACAGATTGAGTTGGCATTTCATTCTGGTTGACTTAATTTTCACAAAACTAGGCCCTTGGAAACTTACAGCAGGCAGGTGCATTCATGTTGTCCTGACAAATAAGTTTTCTATTTATTACTCATGATTTGCTTTAGGCAAGCTAAAATTACAATGAAAACTGATATTAACATGAAAATTTATTTTAGATATCAAGAGTGATAAGAACAAAGAGAGGAAATGCTTTACTGGTTGGTGTAGGAGGATCAGGGAAACAGTCTCTAACTAGACTGGCATCCTTTATTGCTGGATACAAAATCTTTCAAATCACGTTATCAAGGTAATTGCCATGCTTATATTCTTTTTAGCTAACCTGGCTGGAAGGGCCAAGTGAACTTTTCTCATCACTTGGCGTCTGTTGTCGTTAACTTTTATAAAAATCCTGTCCTCTGAAACTACTGGGACAAATTTAACCAAACTTGGCCACAATCATCAGTGGTGTTTCTAGTTTAAAAAATGTGTCCGATGACCCCACCTGCCATCCAAGATGGCCGACATGGCATAAAATAGAACATACGGGTAAAATGCAAGTTTTGTCTATTATTTTGAAAATTGTTATAACAAGAGAAAATCTGACAGGAGCAGAAATGTTCAGAATGTTGAATGTCTATTAATTGTTCATATACGTCAAAACTGTCAGACGACTTCTTATAGGAGTTATTGCCCTTAAATGACAAATTTTACCCTTTTTTTTCATTTTTGCCTGTTATCTTGAAAACTATGATAGATAGAGAGAAATTTCAAATTGCAAAAATGACCAGCAAGACAAGTTCTACAAATAAGTCTTTGCATTGTCAAAATTGTCAGTTGACTCCTTATTAGAGTTATTGCCCTATGATGACGATTTTTACCAATTTTTTGCGTATTTGCCTTATATCTTGAAAAATATAATAGATCTTAAATAAGTAAAAATGATCAGCAAGACAAGGTCTACAATTGAAACTATGGAGGAAATTGTCCGACGACTCCTTATTGGAGTTATTGCTCTTTAATGACGATTTTTACCATTTTTTTGCATTTTGCCTTACATGATAAAAATTACAGTAGATAAATAGACACTTTAAATTACAAAAATGATCAGCATGGCAAGATCTACTAACAAGTCAAATTTTGTCGATATCGTTAATAGACTGTCTCCTTTATAGGAGTGATTGCCCTTAAATGAGGAGTTTTTTTTACCCTCTTTTATGTTTTGAGCAAAAACTAGAGAAGATAGAGAAAAACTATACAGACTAAATGATCAGCAATACAAAATCAACAAAACAGAGATTTTTGTCATGAATTCTATTCTCGTCTACAATGTTGGAGAGTGTCCTTTGTTAAATATGCACATAGACCAAGGTGAGCGACACAGGCTCTTTAGAGCCTCTATAGTTTATCAATCTGCCAAATTATTTTTATTAGAACAAGAATGATAAAATATTTGATACTATGAAGATTGTTTCAAAATGATAAATGCATTAATATATTTTGACTTTTTTTCACAATTCATGTTCAAGTAAAAGTAAAATTCACATAACTTCTGTGTAAGAATATATTGAATCCACTCATTTGTTTCTCAGACACTGGATATTCCAAAATGATATTTAAAAGTTCATGTAAAATAATTGATAATAAACATATCTTTATCTTTCAATGCTAATAAAAAATCCTTTCTTTTTTTTTGATACCCCATGATACAAAGTAGGGTGGATATTTAGTTTTTGACCTGTCTGTCATCTTGGTTTCGAGATGATAAATCAAATATTTTTACTATCTTTGATAAATGTTCATATATGTGATTAAGAAATCTTCTTTTGAGGTCTCTACAATGTATGCCAAGGTCACAGTAACTAAACTATAGTGTAGGAAAGTGGTTTATATCAAAACTTAATGTGTTTACATAAAAAATAGCAATCTTGTTTTACTTGTTCTTTGTACTGTCAAAACAGTTTCCCATTTAGAGTTATTTATTTTGATTATAGATCTTACAATGTGAGTAACCTGATGGATGATCTAAAGTACCTTTATCGTGTAGCTGGTGGTGAAGGAAATGGCATTACATTCCTCTTTACAGATAATGAAATTAAAGATGAGGCTTTCTTGGAATACCTCAACAATGTTTTGAGCTCTGGAGAGGTAAAACTAATGTTTGAGACCAAGCTGAAAAGCTATAACTCAACAATTTCTTAATAAGGAAAAAAAGGGGGGGGGGGTCTTATTGGGTTTCCTCAGCATTCATCTCCATATGCATGTCCTCATTTATTTCTATAATTGATTTACTTATATAATTCCTGTTCCAATTGTGAGATTTTAAACCATGACACACTAAAGGAAGGTTAAGATTGCCCAAAGACTAAAAGAAGGTTGAAAATTTAGCCCAAGCCATTTCAAAACAAGAGGCACACAGAAATAATCTTCATTCAATCTCTTCTGCCCTACTGCCCCTGAACTTATTCACAGAATTTTTGGAAAGTTTCAGAGTCTTATTTTCATGATGTACTTTTGCAACTCTAGTTTCATCTCTTGGTGGAATGGTCTTAGTGGGATTCACTTTTGCATGACATCAATTTGGTGGTTCAAATTACATGATATACTATGCAAAATGTTACTTTTCCAACAGTATTATTGGATAAAAACAACTAGATGAACCAGGTAATTTTTCAACTGGTTATAGGAAATTCATTTTCATTTCTGTTTTTTAGCTACCAAAACACCATAGTATTGTTTTAACTTACAGGAACAAAAGTCAATAATATTTCTAGATACCAGGTGATAAAACACGCTTTTTAGAGCCACTAGTTATCTATCAAAGATAATCCTAAGTCAAATGATTAATAACATAATATCTTTGTGTGCAAAACAAAAGTTAATATAAGAGTACTAAAGATTTGTGGATAAGAATTTCCTGTTTGGTCTGCACTGCAATTCCCAGCCCTGTAATCTTAGAAATGTTGTCCCATTTATTCAGTACAACTACTTTAACATTGTTTATTGTGTGCTGTGTTAATTGTGTGATTATTGTATATAGTTGGGTATTTTGGTTGACCATAATGTTTCCTTGAAGTAGGAGATAGAAGGCGTACTTAGCAGCCGTTTTTTAAGAGTAGTGCTTCTTATAAAAACATGAACTAAGCTGTAATTTTTATGTGATGCAGACATTTATTGATTATATTCCTGATATTTTTAGGTTTCCAATTTGTTTGCCAAAGATGAGCAAGATGAAATATGCCAAGAATTGATTTCGGTCATGAAAAAAGAATTGCCAAAGCGTCCACCAACACAAGAAAACTTGTATGATTACTTTATTTCTAGAGCTAGAAATAATCTTCATACTGTTCTGTGTTTCTCACCTGTAAGTACCGGATTAAAACAATCATAATTCATATATAAAATTGTGATGAAACCACATGCAGCTAAACATTGTTAACAAAATTAAAAATGGAATTTTGTATGCTTTTTCTGTTGCTAATTGGTTAATTGGTTGAAACAACTTTTCCCAGCTTATAGAATTTATTTTCAGCTTTTAATCTTCATACAGTTCTGTGTATTTCAACTGTAAATATATTTTTTTTTATATTTGAAATTAAGGGAAATCTGATACTTCATTCAGCAAGACACTGCTTCTCAAACAATTTTTTGCTCTTTGGTTTTCAGCTTTTGAAAAAAATGTTTTTGCCAAGTCTGTCTGTAATTCAAAAGCGAAAGCTCAACATATGGTGTTTTGATAAGGTTTTACTCTATGAAACAGGATGAATGAGGATTACATATTTAACATGTAGAGTTTGAATTGGGTGTTTTTCAGTTGAAATTAAATTCATTTTGTATTACAGGTTGGAGAGAAGTTTAGAAATAGGTCATTGAAGTTTCCAGGGCTGATATCTGGATGTACAATGGACTGGTTTAGTAAATGGCCAAGAGATGCACTGATAGCAGTATCTGGACATTTCCTAAATACGTTTAATGTTATTGCTACACCAGAGGTCAAGACACAGCTAATTAACACAATGGGTGTAGTTCACGATGATGTAGCTCAAGTTTGTGTGGATTATTTCCAGAGGTTTGTATAAAAACCTTCAATGAAGTTTCTTCATACTAATTCAAGGTTCTGCTTATCACAGAAATGGAATGGGATTTTGTTTTACCATATTAAATATTTAAAATATATTATAATCAAGCTGTAAATTCTCCCCAAAAAAATTTCATTGTAGAATTTTTTTTTAAGAGAAGTGATGTCTTGTCAATGTATATTTATTCCATCTAACAGAAGTTCCCCTGGAAACTTTGTTATAAACAATGATTATTATGACCCTTTCTCTGAACAGAGGAGGGTATACTGCTTTCCCCATGTCTGTCGGTCCGTCACATGAAACTTGCATCACATTTTTCTCAGGAACTACAAATCACAACTTCCTGAAATTATTTATCAGGATTCATGTAAACATGCTTTATGGTGCGATGCAGATTCAGATACACCTATCTTCAACTTCCTGTTTACCAAATACTTCTATTTTCGAACACATAATGGCCATGTATTAAATTTTTGTTGCATTTCTTTAGGGAATTACAAATTATAGTTTCCAGAATTTTGTTATCAGGCTTTATATGATCATGTTACACTGTGTGATGCATTTTTCCATTGCTCTTCAACTTACTGTTTACTGAATTCTTGAAGCAGCATATCACTGCTCACAGTTTTACTTGTTAATTTTAAAACATACAATTTCATATTCACAAAATGTTTATTTTAAATAACTTATAATTTTTATGTGCCTATCAAATATTTTAGATATAGACGACAGACTCATGTGACACCAAAGTCTTACTTGTCTTTTTTGGATGGTTACAAAAGTGTATACACAGTAAAACATGCAGAGATAGGAGAAATGGCCAGGAGAATGAACACGGGTTTAGAAAAACTTATTGAAGCTAGTGTATCAGTGGACGCACTGTCAAAGGAACTAGTTGTCAAAGAAAAGGAACTGGCTGTTGCTAATGTGAAAGCTGATAAGGTAATTTTTTTCAGTTTTAAAATCGAAAAAAATGATGCACTTATCTCTTATTTTCTAAAAAATTACTTAAAAAAAAAAATGGTGCACATTTATAGATAACACATTAAATCTGTGAAAAAGCTTCTTAATTGTGTCTTAAAATCACCCAATCTCTAATTAATAACCTAATCGAGCATAGATTGTTCTTAAGAATTGATATGTTGTTACTAAACGAATTTCAGTTTTGATGATTTTAAAATAAATTTTAAAACATTTTCCTGGATTTTATGTCCTTTCTATACAAATGAATACCTAGTTTGAAAGAAATTCATTCAATAGTATTTCAGAAAATAAAAGAGATTAATGCATTAGTTTTTCAGTATTCAGTTACAGTTCAACCTACCAAAGTATTATGCCAAATTTTACCAAAATCTATGAGGTCCCATTTACTGTACCTTGACCTCAATCTAACCAGCAGCACTGGTTATGCTAGCAATCTAACCAGCAGTCCTAGACCTTATTACTGGCAATTTTAGTGTGAAATCTCCTTCCCCTGTTAGGTCATGCAAAATCCATTTAGGTGTGTGAGTATGGATGAATATTTCTTGTTGGAAGGTCTAACACTTATTGATTTGTAGATAGGTATATTTTTTTTTAATTCAGGGTATTAAAGTAGAAGTGACTGCACATTTTATTTTTTCAATTTAATGTATAAGCAGAAGTTTCTGAACAATTTTTTTTCAATTTAAGGTATTAGCAGAAGTGGCTGTACTATTTTGCAATTTAAGGTATTAGCAGAAGTGGCTGTACTATTTTGCAATTTAAGGTATTAGCAGAAGTGGCTGTACTATTTTGCAATTTAAGGTATTAGCAGAAGTGGCTGTACTATTTTGCAATTTAAGGTATTAGCAGAAGTGGCTGTACTATTTTGCAATTTAAGGTATTAGCAGAAGTGGCTGTACTATTTTGCAATTTTAAGGTATAAGCAGAAGTGGCTGTACTATTTGGCAGTTTTAAGGTATTAGCAGAAGTGGCTGTACTATTTTTTAATTGAGGGTATTATCAGAATTGACTAGATTTATTTTTAGTCCCCTACCGACGAAGTCTAAGGGGACTTTAGGTTTGCACTCCATCTGTCTGTCTGTCCATCCGTCAGTCCGGCAAATCAGTTTTCCACACTTTTTTTCTTCCTGCTTGAAGATATTGATTTGATATTTGGTGTATTGTTTAATCATGACAAGTTACAGTTCAAGCTCCAATTTGTTCTGGTCTGACGATTTTGTGCAGAGTTATGGTCCTTGAACTTAGAAAATTCACTTAAATAATCAGTTTTCTGCATTTTTTTTTTGTCATAATTGAAGATATTGATTTGATGATTGGTATATAGTTTAATCATGACAAGTTACAGGTCAAGTTCGAATTTTGTTCCGGTCTGATGATTTTGTGCATAGTTATGGTCCTTCGACTTAGAAAATTCACTCAAATAATCAAATTTTCCACTTTTTTTGTTTGTCATGCTTGAAGATATTGACTTGATATTTGTTATATAGTTTACACCATGACAAGTTATAGATCAAGTTAGCATTTTGTTCCAGTACAATGACTTTCTAACTGGTAGGGGACTATGTATTGCCAGGCAATACTCACAGAATGCTTGTTTAATTTAAGGTATTAGCAGAAGTGACTGTAAGTGCAGCTGGAGCAGAAAAAGTCAAAGCAGAAGTGCAAAAAGTAAAAGATAAGGCACAGAAAATTGTAGATGAAATTAATTTGGAAAAAGCTTATGCAACAGAGAAACTTGATGCTGCAAAACCAGCTTTAGAATTGGCAGAATCAGCTTTAAAGGTATTATATTTCTTATATATAAAGCTGAATCAGATGTCTTTTGTTTTGTTATTTTTTCTAAACATCAGCATCCAGGTGAGTACCTGACTGGAATAGAGCAATGATCCACACATTTGATTTTGAATTAGTCTTCAAACAACACACCAATTGTATCCGTAGTCTGCATACAAGGTAAAGAGTTTGGCCTTTTTACTGTGAATTTTTCCAATCAAAATCAACATTGATAAAACTCATTATTTTGAGTTGAAATTTATCGCTGTCAACTGAAAAATCTCAAATCAGGCCAGACACTAACATCATGAAACGTGAGGGGTATGAAAAAATTCAGAACCAAATTTAAAAAAACTCAAATTGAAATCTCAGAATTCAGAGTGGGTATTTTGTCAAACAAAACATTATTTTGATGTGGCCTTACCATGCAGGTCCAGTCCTTGAGATGTGAGGTGCCATTTGTTGTTTTTATACCCCCGCTTTAAAAAAGTGGGGGTATACTGTTTTACCTCTGTCTGTCCGTCCATCAGTCCATCAATCCGTCCCATGAATATTTTTCGTCGCATCTTTCTCAGGAACTACATCATAAGGATTTCTGAAATTTGGTTTCAGGGTTTATATAAGTCAGCTATACCGTGTGATGCTTTTTCAGATTCATCACTCAACAACTTCCTGTTTACCGTACACTTACATATTTTTACACTATTAAAATTATCCAGTTGCAGCAGGGGTATCATCAGTGAGCAGTAGCTCGCAGTTTCACTTGTTTTCATTATTTTAGACTCTTTACATTCTGAGACCTTTTGTATTCCTCTTTACCCCTGAAATTGTTTGACAATAGGCCACTGCTTAGTGTAACATAACATGAAAATCAAGTTTTATGCCAAAATTTTCACATCAGTACCTAAATGTTAAAAATGACTGCAAGTCCATTGTAATTAAAACTGTATGGGGGAATCATTTCAAAGGTTCTAGGGAAGATAATGTCATGTGTGCAGCTTTTGTTCCCCAGTCTACTCTTAAGATGATATATTATGGGGAAAGGGACAGGGGGAATTTATCTATGTCTGAGCAATCTTGCTCTTATAAAGTGTCCCTGTAATACTTCTTAGGTAACATCTAAAAAAACTTTATTCAAACAAATTATGATGTTGTTTGTTTATAGACTATTAAAGCATCAGATATTTCTACTGTGAAGAAGCTGGGTAAACCACCACATCTGATTATGAGGATCATGGATTGTGTACTGATACTATTCCAGAAGAGAGTAGATATTGTGACTGCTGATCCTGAAAGACCTTGTTGTAAACCATCTTGGGGTGAATCGTTAAAGGTCTGTTCATCATGTTACATGCATTATAATTACATAAGCTAGACTTGTTTGGAATGACTTACTAAGACATTTCAGATGTTATCATTGAAGTTGAAACATTGAAGTATGCTTATCCAAGCTATTTTTTTGTAAAGCTTTAAATTTCATAAGGTAAAAAAGTTGGGTGATCAGCATATAGTTTATGTATGCCTTATGGTATTTATAAGTTTCTGACTGGCATTTCATAATATTACTAAATTGTTATAACCTCGCTTAACCAAGTGAGGGTATATAGGGATCGATATGTTCAACTGGACCAATTTCTTCTACACCAAATAATGATTTTTAGAGTAACTTTCAAATGATCTTTATTACATAATGTTCTTGAGCATCTTCTATTTTACTTTTAACATAACAAAACATGGAGTGTTCAATTTCATATTATAGGGTGTGGACATACCCCATCTGCATCAAGCAAAATTAGATCTTCTCTGGTTTTATCCCATAAGATGGATCAATCACACAATCTGGATTACATCAATTATTTTTTACTGAAAACAGAAGACAATTTCCTGTTTAGAAAATATTGACAAGAAGCATGTCTTCAAATATATGCACCCGTTTTAATGGTTTTACACTAGTAATTTTTGGGGCCCTTTATAGCTTGCTGTTTGGTGTGAGCCAAGGCTCCATGTTGAAGACCGTACTTTGACCTATAATGGTTTACTTTTATAAATTTTGACTTGGATGGAGAGTTGTCTCATTGGCACTCATACCACATCTTCTTATATCTATTATGTGTATTTTGCAATTAAAATTTGCTGCATGAGGCTCTGTTTGGTATTTAGATTCACTTTGCAGGGAACACCACAGGCTAATTAACAGTGGTGCTCCTTAGATGCATACATTTTTGTAAATACATGTATTTATGTCTTTACGAGTAATGCAGAAGGTGTAAAATTTATAAATTTTTCAACAGTTAAAATAATTTTTTTTTTTAACTCAGCTCTTGAAAATATTTCTGTGATGATCCCTACTGTTTGATAATTTTAGAGTGAGAATCATCAGAAAAAACAAGAATTGAATGTCAGTTTAAATAAATTACATGTCTTTATAGTTGATGAGTGGTTCAGGGTTCCTGCCTAGTCTACAGTCATTTGCCAAAGACACTATTAATGAGGAAACAGTGGAACTGCTAACACCTTATATATCTATGGAGGATTATTCATTTGAGACAGCTAAGAAAGTCTGTGGTAATGTGGCTGGACTCCTATCATGGACAACAGCTATGGCATTTTTCTTTGGAATCAACAAAGAAGTATTACCTTTGAAAGTTAGTCACTTTATTTACTTGATTTGATTTTATATTTTATGTTAAAACCTAAACTAGAAGCAACAGTAGGTTGCCCATGTTTAAATCTCATAAATTTGTCAAGAAGATACAAATCAAGGTAAATAAACCAAAACTGAGGAAATCCCATGAACTCCAAAAGGGGCGGGACCAAGTGTTATGACAAGGTAAACGTCTTATGCTATGCATGCATCACCTACATAGTCTTTGTGATCAAAGAAACTTGTTGTCTACAGTCAATAGCATTCTTCTTGAGAATGTATCAAATACTGAAAATTGTTGTGTTGCAGAAAAGGAAATCAAGGGTTAAGTTAATTGAGACAGCATTTCAACAACATTAGTTAATCAAAATAAGTTTTTAGAGATTGAATTTTATTTTATTTTTAGTATTTTTGGGACATGTTTTTTGAGTCACCGCATTCACTCCTAAAGTACAGTGGCAGTATGTGAATTTCATGTAAAATACTATGATAATAATTTGATGCCCATCATAATTATTACTTGCATCCTGTACCTGCCCTTCTGTGCTCAGTACTTTCTAAAAACTGTAAGATGATATTATGGCATAAAAATAGCTGACTATGCAACAAATTAGCAAGATTTGTTTTATTTCAAAGGCACTTGCAATACATCTTTTGCTGGGGGCACTGTTTTTTTTTTTTTCTTTGTCCAAACAATTTTTTTTCTACTTTCACAAACAAGAAAAAGTGGATTATTTTAGCAATGTTATTTTTTTTTGTTTATTTCTTATTTTCAATAGAAATAAACTATATTTGTTCCCCTTTCTGAAACAAGTTAGTTTTTTCAAGAATTAAGAATCACAAGTTATTTAATTTTTAAAAGAAGACATACTCCAGAGCATAGTTTCTCATTACAGTATGTTGATAGACATGTTAAAAAAATTACTCCTGTGAAAATAATGGGATAACTTAAATCCAACATTTCAGTTGTCTTTGTGGCAACTGCATAAAAACATTTCTTTTATTAGGTCCAAGGACACAGTTATCGTCCTTTGGTTTTCGTTGTCTACAAATATAGTCCCTAGTGTGAACAGTGTATAACTTGCATTTTTTTTTGCTACACTTTCCCAATTTATTTCTTGATGTTTTATGCATGAAATATTAAGTAAAGGGATGAAATTACATGTTAAAAAATTTGGGTGCTGAATCTTTATGTTAAGTAGTGATTTGGTACAGTTAAAAAAAGGTCAAAAATTAGAATGTCTGAAGCTGTCAAACTGAATTTTAGCCCCCCTTAACACAGAATTTTCAATATTTTGAGTTAGAGCTGGTAGAAGTTTCTATAATTTTGATATTATTTGTATCAATAGTAGTACACTACACTGTAAAAATCTTTTTGAGATAGAGCAGGTGCGATTTTTTTAATTTGAATTTATTGTCTAAAAGAAATGCACTACGAAATAACTGTGTTCTCGGGCCAATTGAAACAATGTTTTAAATAGAAGCTTTAAATATTCTCAATAGTTATCAATAATCTTTTTCCATGTATAATTTTCTAATCTACAATTTAGTTTAATATACATTTCTTGTGATAAACATAGGCAAATCTGGCAATACAAGAGTCCAAATTAGGAATTGCCACTGCTGAACTGAATAAAGCACAGGCACAGCTAGATGAGAAACAGGCAGAATTGGATAAAGTGCAAGCCATGTATGATGCTGCAATGGCCGAAAAACAGGTGTGATATAAAACTACAAATAAATTTAAGAAGATTTCTGTGTAAACTAAATGAACCATCGAAGTTGGAAGATCAGATTTTCTCTCTGAAAGAAAGTACTGTGGTGACATGAACCAAGCTTGACAAAATTTATTACTTAGTTCAACTTGATGAAAAACATGTGGAAGAGGAAATTTTTCATTGTCAATTTTCTAAATATTTCTCATCGGTAGCTTTATAAACTTAATAAAAATGAGGATTGTAGAACCATTTAGTTAGATTCATAATGTTGTGATCATCTGATAGAATACAATTTAACCCAGTTATTATGCTCACATATATCACCATTGATTCAGAAACCTTTGGGACATTCCTTTTTACTGAAAATCCCAGGGTAGAATTAAAATCAGTCTGGCATGGATAATTGAATGATATTCATTTGAGGATTGAATTTAATGCTTTTTGTAGTTTTATTGGGGTGTAACAAGCGATGAATGAAGCACATTTTGTATGAAGCATGAATTCTTATGAAACATATATGTAATGTAATGTAATTATAAAGAACATCATGGTAATTTTTGTTCATATTTATACCCCCGCTTTAAAAAAGGAGAGGTATACTGTTTTACCTCTGTCTGTCCTTCCGTCAGTCCATCCGTCCGTCCCATGAATATTTTCGTCGCATTTTTCTCAGAACTACCTGACATGGATTTATGAAATTTGGTTTCAGGGTTTATATAAGTAAGTTACACCGTGTGATGCGTTTTCAGATTCATCACTCAACAACTTCCTGTTTACCAAACACTTGTATTATTTTACACATGATAGCCAAGTTGAAAATTTTCATCACATTTTTCTCAGGAACTACTTGACAAGGATTTCTGAAATTTGGTTTCAGGGTTTATATAAGTAAGTTACACCGTGTGATGCGTTTTCAGATTCATCACTCAACAACTTCCTGTTTACCGAACACTTGTATTATTTTACACATGATAGCCAAGTTGAAAATTTTCGTCACATTTTTCTCAGGAACTACTTGACAAGGATTTTGAAATTTGGTTTCAGGGTTTATATAAGTAAGTTACACCGTGTGATGCGTTTTTAGATTCATCACTCAACAACTTCCTGTTACCCAAAATTTTTCGGCGGGGGTATCATCAGTGAGCAGTAGCTCACATTTTTACTTGTTTGATATACAAGGAAATAATAAATATGCCAGGTGAGTCATACAAAATCCTTCTAGTATCTTAATTTTCTTGCCTAAAGTAAGACTTGTATTTTAGAATAAATTACAGTAGAAACAAATTCAGTGAGAGGTTATATGAATTAATTTGATGTTATTGTTTTAAAGGAATTATTGGAAGATGCTGAATCCTGTAGGAGAAGGATGTCAGCTGCTTCTGCTCTGATTGGTGGTCTTGGTGGAGAGAAAATCAGATGGACTGAACAAAGTAAACAATTCAAATCACAGATAGAAAGGTAGGCTTAGTTTCTTACATTTGAGGAGGACAGTTCTGTTTAATAATTATTGAGATAAAATTTAAGGACATGTACATAACCAAATAAATTCTCCATTAGTTCACATGGTTACAGCCTCAAAAGCCTTTTTCTTAAAATCATGTTGTTTCAATTTATTTATAATTTCTCTGATGTTCACATAAAATGATGCAAATATGATCATTTTTATGCTTCTCCTAAAAAATTGCAGTTAATATGAAGTCCTGGCTTTGTATCTGTCCTTTAGCTTCCAGATAACTTAAGTTTTTCTTTTTGATAACGACTAAATAATTTTGTAACATTACTACTCTGCAATGAATTGTAATTCAAAGGAGAAGGTACATTCTGGTCCTTATTTGGTCCTGTAAATTGGCCAAAAAATAAAATAATCGGACGAAACAATTATTGGTTACATTCTTACCCACTATATGTAGGCCTTTTTGAAAATAAAAATCTAATTTAGTTTTGATTGTGGTGTCATTGAAGTGACATCATAGTGGTGATTTACCCAATTTTAGCACACACAAAAAAAGGCTAATTTGATGAACATTTCAGTCAAAATAGTAAAGACCACAAGAATTGCCCAAATTATTTTTCAGGAAGTAGATAAACATGAAATACAATTCCTGTGAAGATATCTTTTTGGGAGGTCAATCTGTCCTTCCTTTCCAATGTTTTATTTAAGTACATACATTCAACATTTAATATCGACAAATTTGAGTTAATTTCAAACACTATTCATATTATGGCCAATTTTGCCAAAAATTGTACCTTGTTCCTTATTTTTAACTGTTATAAAGTTTTACCCCTTTGAAATGGAGTTAAACAGAGGTTTTCATAATAGTGTGACTGTGCTTTGAGCTTGGATCTTTTAATTTATTGTTCCACTCAAAGATTTTTAACCCTTGTCTGACTATCAGTAGGGCTATGTTTAGTTCTTGTGCACCTCTAACAGACTAACTGTATCAAAACAATTCATATAAAAGTGGGACTTTTGACTGTTTATTGTTTTACCTGTCAAAGTTACACCAATACACAAGAAAATAATATATATAGGAAGAACTATTATTATAGCCACAGCACTCTGTTACTTATAAAGGATTGTCAAGTCTCTGGCTTTTGGTGAATATAAATGAAAAAAATGGATATACTGTAACGTAAACGGGTTTTTCTATGTAAACGGATATTCCGTTCATATTTTGTCTCATGTAATTATACCCTGCTAGCTCATCCATTTACGTTACTGGTAGAGAGGGTTTGGCCTGTGCTTTCACTCCAGGTCTTCGGACAGCATACTAACAATACTAAGATCCAACACAATACAACAACTGACAGGTGCCAGAAACCTAGAAATGACAAGAGGCGACGATTGCGCCAAGCAAAGTATTCGCTCATATAACAAATAACCAAGATTCATAAAACAGTTTCATATTCAATAGACAAAGACAATGATACACAATATCGCGGTATCTCCATATGAAATTTTAATCCTAAAATTTCAATACATTTTCGAACCTCACCTTATAGGATAAAACGGGGCATTTGCAGTAAAAAATACCCATAGTAAATAAACCAAGTACAAGGAAAGTGTTTGGCCTTAGTGCTATAAAATTGATTAAAATAAATATATTCACACCAAGAGATTTAGACGTGTCTGTTTACTTAAAATATTAAGAGCTGTACGCTAGTCTTCCTTAACAAAAACTAAATTCAATCAATCAAGTTCGTGACGTCCCACCTTCTGAGAGAAAATAAATATACCCACTGGTTCCCACCGACTTTGTTAGACTAGAACATGAACCTCGTAATTCCATGTACCAGGAACCAAAGTCAGTCCATTAAAAAAAAAACACATCACATTAAATCTATTCCCGTTTAATTCTCAGTCCAACCAGAGCAATGTCTTAAACACATTATTCAGTAGCATTTACCAGTTCAAGACCTTAAAAAAGAACATGCGATAATACAAAATTTAATTCCAGAGTAAGGCTCGAATAATTCCGAAGATTGACGACCGTTACTCTAAAATATCCCTCGGATAACCATCTTCCTCAATATCACTACCAAAATGTACCCCATCTCTTTATAAATCAGAGCAAGTGTACAATTCTTTCTATTTTTTTGAAACGGAAACGTAAATTATGTTATAAAGATACAATGGATAAGCGTGGATTCTTGAAAAAGAAACCATGAGCCTGGAGGGCGATTGATTTGTTTTTCATGAATCTACGCTTATCCATTGTATCTATAACTTAAACTATTGTGTTAATTTCTTTTCAAAATTAAAGCCTTTTCTTAATTAGAAGGTATTGTAAGTGAGTTTGAATAACCATGTTATCGTGTCCAACGATGCATTGATAATTCTCAGATCACAATTAACTGGTTAACAAAATACAATAAAACACTGCTACCTTTAAAGATCTTTATATTATCAGGCATCTGAATATTATCTGTTTTTACAAAATAAGACATATTCGAACTTATTTCTAATAAAATTGAGAATGGCAATGGGGAATGTGTAAAAGAGACAACAACCCGACCAAAGAGCATATATAAAGGATATATAATAAGTATGTTACCAAAATTTCTAGCACTCTAGGCACATCACGATTTTCTAGCATAGGAATTTGCGAACAAATATTTGTAAAATTATGTAGTAAAACAGATGAAATCATACTATATTTATACAACAAAAATTGACAAATAGAATGTAATCATTTTTGTTTCAAACATGTGAAATAGCCAATAATAATCCAAAAAATAAACGGTAAAACACGATATTATTACAAAAATATCCACTATAACATGCAAAATTAGGAAAAAAAAACAGAAGTGGGACAATAGAGATAATACAGGGATTCGAACCTAAACTGACAAGTCCCTATCTTTTAACTCGTTGATTTTAAGCATGCTAATCTCGCAGCTACCAACTCATACTATACGACTGCCCATTGTGTATATATAAAGGTACAACCCCTGTGTGTCTTATGTTCATTTATACATATAAAATAGACATCTAAGTTGTAACCCATTGGTAGCCGAGAGGTTTCGTCAATGTGTTGATGTCAGTCATTCAAAACAGATTTCAAGGAAGGGTTCAATTCCCAGTGAAGGCATATACAAATTACAAAAATTAAAGGTAAGTTTTTAAATTAATTCCATTAGTGAACAGAAATCAGTAAATTAGCTAATTCAAACTTAATGAAATTAGACACACAAAGGAAACAATTGAATATAATTTGGTGAGTCCATTTCAGCGGGAGATTTAGGAAGCGTTGATTCTAGAAAAAGAATCCACGGTAAATGAATAGGCTGACGGCACCACAATGGTTTAAGAATTTAGAAATGTTTGACTCTAAAACCGAAAAAATATATCAAATGTAAAGAAACAAATATTTAAGTCAAACATTAAAAACAAATAAAATGGAATTTAAAGTACAACTTACTTACTAATCTAAAGAAATATTGTCCAGACGAGGTTTAAATATCCAAGTCTGGACATTGAGTCTCAAGCACGAGAAAAACGATCCCTGCGAAAACTGAACGGACAAACCTAGTTATATACAATATCTAAAAAGAGAAAAAGGGGATTTACTATGACCCATAAACATTACAATACAATATATAATTTATTAACCATGTATCAGAAATAATTATAATTTGTAACACATTAAAATATCTTATTATAGTCAATCTATTTCTGGGTAGCTGCCTGGTCCTCTTGCACAATGTATTTTTCTGTGGAAAAAATATTGGGCACCTTGTACTGATACGGAAATAAAAACGGTTAGTCTTCTTGTGAAGATACTGTATAAATCCTTAAACAGACAGTCTTCTTTCTTTTATTGAAGGTCTATTATTAACTGTAACAAAGATACATCCGCTTTTAATCTACTATACTGAAAAGCAAGGTATCCTAAAATTTCAGTTCTTCTGTATGATGGAATTGGCTGGCCAGTACAAGTATTCTAATATAACTTGTTTATTTTTATCCAAAAGAAAAATCTGATTTGTTATCTGTACAAATTCTAATGTATCTCTAACCAGACACGTTCTTTATTTGTACAGTAATTAAGGGCCATATTGCCTCAATTATTTTTACAAGTATGCTGATTTGTCAATCCACACTCGTCAATGTAAATAATTTAAAGTAGTTTTTGTAATTACACTACTCTATTCACTTATTCAAATTCTTCGTTAAATTGTAAAGAACTTTACAATAATTTATAAAATTGTCTTAATCTAGACAAATAAATATATCCTTTTATTTTTAGGAACTTCTGTTACAAGAAATAATTATATATATTTCTTTAAATATTACTTATTTGCTTTAGCTAAATATCTTTAAATTCAAATTGTGTCTTTCTGAACCCGAATAATTATGTATGAAACTACGTTCACAACTAATGATGTATTCAAGGGACAAGTGAAAGACACCCTTTTTTGTTTTATTAAATTAATTTCTTTATATTGAGAAACCTTTCTTTATATCCCTTTTTAAACAAGTAATTAAAACTGCAATTGCCTTTCGCCTAGCAGTTCCTTTTATTTCGGCTACATTTCCGCCTTGAGCCCTATAGCGAGACTGCCTAACTGACCCTGTGCAGGTTGTTTTATAATCATTTTCGCGTGCTCTGTCCTCGTGCATATCACGATGTCTCCTATGGTTACCTCAATAACCAATCAGCCCATCAGAAATCGATTTCTACAGGAAACGTCATATTTCCGTTTCCTACCTGAACAGATTTTCATAAATATGTCTGTAAGTGGAGAACCGCAAGAAAAAGCTATGAATATTGTGTCGTCTAAATTTAGATTAGAACGTCAGTTTGTTATCAACTTGAGACAAAATATTTCTTTATTCAGACAGTCAGACATCGCAGTATATTAAAAGTGTTACAAAATGGATTATGAGGATTCTATGGACTCTTCTTTTAAGCTGGTATGACTTGTGTAAGCTGAGAACAACGATTATGGCCTCTATCTGCCATTGTTCTAAAAAGTGTTTGTTTATGTCACATTTCAAACAATGACAATGACATAGACTTGTGTAAAATTACACAATACATCTTTATACCATAAAATTTTGTAACATAACCACTCTTATCATGAATCATATATAATGTGTATTATAAAGAAAATGAACATAAACTACCTCCCTGTGTGTTTTTACCTTTTCTACACAAGATTGTTTTTTTAGAACTCTACAGGGTCCTTGTTTCATGTGTACGTTATTTTAATTATATATAGTGAGCGTAAGGTACCTGATCGTGACAATATTTTATGGATACTTTATTGACATGTATCATAATTTAATTTTAAAGCTCAGCAATAATGTCAGACATTGACGACTATTTTTCCATATCTGTATTGGGTTGATTTTCAAAATAAACAGAATATATTTACAGATTAGTGGGAGATATACTTCTTTGTACTGGATTCCTGTCTTACTCTGGACCATTCAACCAAGAATTCAGAGATAAATTGATAACAAATTGGCAAAAGGAAATGTTTGCCAGAAAAATTCCATTTTCCGGAGATATAAATTTGATCACCATGCTTGTAGATAATACAACGGTAAAATGTTTGATAGAACTATATGGACTGCATTATTTTGCTAATTTGAAAATAACACACACAAAAAAACCAAAAAGATGTTATCTAGTTCGATTGACAACTATCCATCAGAGACTAAAGGATGTAAACTGCTATATGTCACTGAACAGCCTTCAACAATTAGCAAAGCACATACTGTATAGTAAGCTATAAAGGCCCCTGCTGGACAAATTGTGAAACAATCCAATGGCCCTGGTTTATGCTAAAAACAATAAATGAAAAACAAATATGACAAACGGCAACAAATGACATACATTGAAATACAGGCTCCTGAATTAGGACAGGCACAAAAATAATAAGGAAGGGTTAAACATGTTAGTTATCCTTTCAACTTTCAACTAAATAAATTAAAAGACAGAATTTTGTCTTTTTTATTTCTTTCAATGAACGTTTTATGGATGCTGTAAATGTTGAATGAAGAATCATATTTTGTAAAATTTGAAAATTCATTGTAATTACAGTAAAAAGAATATGATTGATTTTTTTACAGAACAAATATTGCTGTTATGCATTGTCAATCCGTGAACAAAGGCGAAACATCTTAGTATAAAGTGAAAAAGTAGGGAATAACATTATTTTGGTTTTAATTCATGTTTTCATTCCTGAAGTAAAATGTTTTTCAAGTCCCACATTCTTGCAGACCACTTGTCAACAATCGATTCACAGTACGCCTTTAGAGCATACACACATTGTTGTCCATAAAAACCCATGGAAAATGTTACATCAGTGATGAAAGTGTCAAATTATTTGTCCTTGACAAACTTAATCTTCCACCAAAAATATTTACTTTCAGATTGGTGAATGGAACATTCAAGGATTACCAAATGATGAATTATCAGTACAGAATGGTATCATTACAACAAAGGCCACTAGATATCCATTGCTGATAGATCCACAAGGGCAGGGTAAAAACTGGATTAAAAATCGTGAGAAAGAAAGAGAATTACAGGTTACTATACTATAGTGTAAACAAACATTATATTGGTAAACAAGGACATCTTTCTTTTTGATATTTGTTTTTTTCCAATATGATAGAGGTATGGGTGAACTTTGACATCATATTATACTTCCAGCTTGGTGAATGGCAAAGTCTAGTGATCATGGTGTTTATTTGTCTGGATTTCAAAGAAACTGCCAGATTACCTTTGGTAGTTTGGACCTGAAGGCAATAGCAAATCATATTTTTATTCAAAGTCATTATTCCAATTGGAATTTATTCTCCAAAATTTTATTGATAGATCAAGTACAAGGTTACAGCCACAGGGCTTTTTTAAGGATTGTCTTTTTCTTGCATAATCCCATCTTGCACTAGCTACTATTTAATCTTTTCATCCAAATCATTTCAAATCATTTTTGGTATAACAGAGGGTACAGCTTGATTTCAGTGAAAACTTTCCTTTCACAGTTCCTTTTTTACAAAAGGACATTGTGAATCCACTTTATTTCCTGATCCAAAGAATTTTTGGGTTTCCCATTATACATCAGACTCTACAGTTATAATGATCTTATGGGAAGAAATATTGTTTTAGATTTAGGTAATATTTCATCATGTGACACTGACTTGTCTTCAAGAATGGCTTGAAAACAAAACTATTGATAATATTTGAAACCTTGACAAAAAGAAGTGTTTTGATCATAAATTGCATGACAATTTCAGTCATTTAAGTATTGATGAATTATGATTTTAATCTTTTTATAGGTAACATCCTTGAATCATAAATACTTTCGAACACATCTTGAGGACTGTCTTTCTTTGGGACGACCACTTTTGTTGGAAGATATTGGTGAAGACCTTGATCCAGCATTAGACAATGTTCTAGAGAAAAACTTTATCAAATCAGGATCAACTTTCAAAGTAAGTACTTAATAGAAAAATCATACAGTTACAATTCATGGTAGTTCTGTGATTAGACAAAAGTAAGATGCATCAACAAGTATTGAAAACCATAAACTACATCATATATGTCCATGTGATTGTAACACTTGTGATTGTGTTTCATTTATGAGTTGCTTTAGGTACAGTTTTATTATGATTAAATGAAAAGTAAGAAAAATGTCTATTTAAAGGAATGCCTCTTATTTAGCCCTTGTTCTAAGGGGCAGTAAACACAAAGGCCATTGTTTTTTTGTTTGTTTGAATTGTTTCAAATTTTGTCAGACTGGGGCCTTTTAAAGCTGACTATACGGTATGTGTTTCACTCATTTTTGAAGGCCATTTGTTGACCTCTAGTTGCTTAAATTCCACTACATTTGGATAGACGTCTTATTGGATATCATACCACATCTCGTTATTTTCCCCTGCTTAACGCAATGTGGGGGGCATGGAAATACCGGGTGCCCGTCCAGTCTTGTTAGCACTCTCACAGGTACAATTCTTGCCCGATTTTTATAAAACTTATACTATAGGTTAATATCAGCAATATCTCGGACAAGTTTTAAAATGGTGGCCGATCGACTTTTTTAAAAAGAGTTATGCCCCTTGGAAATATTAAATTTATGGAAAATGGCCTTGATATCGCTCTCACGGGTACAATTCTTGCCAGATTTTTATAAAATTTATACTATAGGTTAATATCAGCAATATCTCGGATAAGTTTTATAATGTTGGACGATAGACTTTTTTTAAAAGAGTTATGACCCTTGGAAATATTAAATTTATGGAAAATGGCCTCGTTAGCGCTCTCAGGGGTACAATTCTTGCCAGTTTTTATAAAACTTATACTATAGGTTATTATCAGCAATATCTCGGACAAGTTTTATAATGGTGGACGATCCACTTTTTTTAAAAGAGTTATGACCCTTGGAAATATTAAAATTACGGAAAATGGCCTCGTTAGCCCTCTCACAGGTACAATTTTTTATAAAACTTATAGTCTACTATAAGTAATGCCCCTGGATAGATAAAATATGTGCAACGGGGGGCTAGAACTTTTGGTCTTTTATTACATATAGGTCCATTTCTGGTTTTCTCCTGACTCCACTTTTATGAGTTTTCAGAGGGAAGATGGTTAAAAATAATTTCAAAATCGATTTTGGATAGATACCTTTCTTAAGATGAAACACACAAGCATACTTTCCAACCTTCAGCATTGAGAAATCTTTTTGAGGCATGACATACCATAAAGCATTTTGAAAAGGGTGCAATGCTTTTTTGCTCTGAAAAAATAATACATATAAATGAATAGAATAGAGAATGGAAACAGGGAAAGTGTGAAAGAGACAACAACCTGACCAGAGAGCAGAACTTAACTATGTTACTTGTTATTATATTCAACAGTTTACTGTTAGGCTCTATTTAGAACTTCAAGGCTTGATGCATTTGTATGATACTTACAGTTTTGATAATCTTTTCAATGAGAGTATGATTTGCACTTGTCATGAAGGATGAAATTGGATTGACTGAGGTTGATTATGAACTGTGCTGAGCAAGTAATTTTGAGTTTTGGGGATTTCTTATTTATATCACATTTGGAGAATAATTGAATTTAATGTTAATATGTGAGCTGAGACTGCTATTGTGAAATAGAGGCCATCTGGATATGATTTCACTACAGCCCAGAAGTATCATGCAATAATATGTTCATTATAAGTGTTACCAGAAAGGTAGAGCTCAATTGCATATTGGCATATCTTTGCAAATAAAATAAAGTTTACAATTTACTAAAAACCATTCAACATGTAAACAATTAATATAATTGGTTTATGTTTAGGTGAAAGTTGGAGATAAGGAATGTGATGTTATGCAAAGTTTTTATTTGTACATGACCACAAAGTTAGCCAATCCAGCTTACACACCAGAGGTTAGTTCTTTATATTATACAATGGTCAACACACTTAAAAACAAGGAGAAGTCATGTCACTGTAGGAAGACACCATGGACTCCTAAGGGAGAAGTGAAGGAGACCAAATTCACATGCTAGCTGATATGCTTGCTTTGAAATTTTCACAATTCCCTTGAAGTTTGTATGTAACAACATATTTTCCTTGATTTTTATACAATTCGAAATATTCATGGATGTCCCCTAAAACTAGGACTATATATTTTTATGTTCATCAGGTTTAAGGTACAGTTCAGTTAACACTTTCCTTACTGATTTGTTTTTTTTCTACGACTTTGTGTGGCCTGTTAAAATTTAAGGTGCAGTTTGCCTGGCCTGAATTAATTTGCCATGTGCAGGGAGAAAAAGTGACGTTGTAGGAAATACTTTCGTATCTTCGTTGTTTCTCAAAACATCAGTGTCAAACTCGACAGTAGTACACTTTTCTATGTAAGGATTGTAGCAAAATGGTTAATTATACATGACAATACCATTTTTTTTTCAAAAAGATAAATTTTGTAGCAAATCCATCATCTATGATGACTGCCAACGGGGAACTTAGTTTAACAAAGGACCCTACGGGAAATATATACAAATGTCTTCTTTTGAAGAACCTTGAAGAACCACTGAATGGAATGAAACCAAACATGGAATGAATGTTCCTTATGAGGTGCTGACCTAGTGTTGTTACTTTGTAGCAAATCCATCAACCAATATGGCTGCCAAGTGGGGACTTAGTTTAACAAAGGACCCTATGGGAAATATATACAAATGTCTTCTTCTAGAAAACCGCTTAATGGGTTGAAACCAAACATGGTATGAATGTTTCTTTTGAGGTGCTGACCAAGTGTTGTTACTTTGTAGCTGATTTGTCATCCAAGATAGCTGCCAGCAGGGGGAGTAAGTTTAACACAGGACCCTATGGGAAATACATACAAATGTTTTCTTCTAGAGAACCACTGAATAGAATGAAACCAAACATGGCATGAATGTTCCTAATGAGGTGCTGACCAAGTGTTGTTACTTTTTAACCAAACCATCATCCAAGATGGCCACCAGCAGGGGACTTAGTTTAACATAAGACCCAATGGAAAATACATACAAATGCTTCTTCTAGAGGTGCACTGAATGGAATGAAACCAAACATGGCATAAATGTTCCTTATGAGGTGCTGATGAAGTGTTGCTACTTTGTTGCCGATTTACTGTTCAAGATGGCCACCAGGATTTTTTTTATTAAATTATGGTGCCAATATTAAACCAAATTTGGCCTCAATCATTATTAGGGTATCTGTTATGATTTTAATCTATTTTTACATGAAAGTAGAATCAGGTGAGCGACACAGGCTCTTGAGGGCCTCTAGTTACTACAAGTCGGACATAATTTTACAAAGAAGGAACACAGTTGGTTAGCTTTATTTAGACTTTCCTTAAAAGGAATTTGACCCTTGAAACAATGTGAAAAGTATGATTGGCTTAAATCGTATGTTCAATTGAGTTCTTGCAGACAAAAACGAAAGTATATTGACCCCTTGTTAGTGTCAACAAACACAACAACCAGAAAGCAGCCCCTGTTTGCAAAAATTAAATACTTTTACAAACTTTGAGAAATGTAAGAATTAATAACCGATCTGCTTATGTTGTTTCCTCTTGAAAAAGTTGATTTTTAAACATGAAAATACTTGTATATGTTTCGTCTTGGTTTGTCCCACATTGATGAAAATGGCGGCAGATTTTGAAAACAAAAATCACTTGATTTTCAGTCGTTTCCTTGTTATCTTCTACTTTCCTGAAGCAAAAAGTAACTTAAAAGAAACTATGAAATCTACCGTTTTCAGAATATATCGCTTTATTATGCTAAAGTTGATGGGGGCGGAACAAGAAGCTTGTTACATAACCATTTTCATGAATCCGCCTACCATCGGTGCAGGAGTGGCAATGCCTCAAGGCATCGTTCGCCTGGAAAGGGTTAAAGCCCAAATTTGAACATTGAATAATGAAATTAGAGAAAAAAAAATGGCAACTTTGGAGGGGTGGGCTTCTCTTATGTGTTTTGTCAAACAGTACAGAGGACTGGAACTTTAAAAAAAATGTTTTTGTTAAATTTCATAATGCCATGCAATTTGTTAATGATATGTAGTATTTGATATTCAAGTTACCAGTGATGTGTATTTGAATTACCATACTTCTCAAGAAAACTTTTTAATTAAGAATTACAAGATCTACAAATGTACAATCATGAACAAAGGAAGATAACTCCAACTCAAATTTATAATTAATACAATTCAATGTTTTATTTTGAATTTTCAATATTGCAAAACGAGAGCATTCTATACCCACAAGCAACTTGATTTATCATTGATATTAAATGATATAAAGTCCTAATTACAAATGGAAGTATAGAAGACTAATGTAAATAACTTTAATCTTACAGGTCAGTGCCAGGACATCTATAATAGACTTCACAGTAACAATGAAAGGTTTGGAAGATCAGCTGCTTGGACGTGTCATACTTACAGAAAAAAGTGTAAGCTTGGGAAGGAAAAAAAGGGGTGACTGCTCAACCATATAACTTCAATTCAAAATTATAGGAAATAAAAAATCTATTATTTATATTGTGAGAAACATATTGAACCCCTTCATCCATTTATATTGTTAAATGATTTATAGTCAAACCCCTCCCCCTTTTCCATACATCTTTTCCTGAAATAGTCCTAAGTGATTTATTAGTGTATGGAAATTAATGCGTTAAAGCATTATAGAATTATACAAATATATTATGAATTGTGACTAACCTTATGATTGCAGGAATTGGAAGCTGACAGAGCTAAGTTGATGATGGATGTTAATATGAATAAAAGAAAAATGCAAGAACTAGAAGATAATTTATTGTACAAGCTAACCAGTACTAAGGTAAAACTTTATCATTGGTTTATATGCACTGCCACCATCAAGTAGCAGAAAGTTTTTATTTTAGGTCCATTTCTTAGGATACCTTTTGCCATTATAAATATCAAAGATATTCTACCACTACTGGAAATTACCTTCTTGAGACTGCCGTACCCAGATCAGTTTCACCCTGACCTAAGCACTTTTAAGGTTAATGTATTTACATGGGTTCACTCAACATGCAAACTACAGTGAGAGACATCTATCAGCATCGCCATCCTATCAGTCTCCCAGGTCATGAAATAGGACAAAAAATCGGCAAAATTGAAGCTTTTTACACCAGATGACCAACTTTAGGGCAGCAAAAAAAAAAAAAATATTATTTGCATTTCTAAAATGAAACCAATCAATTAGTAAAAAAAATTTTGTTATTGAATATATTATTATTACACATGTTAGTTTTTCATTACTTTTAGTTTTGTAAGATGAGAATATAAAAGGTAGGTATATAAAGTCATCCCTGGAGACTATTCTTTATTTCTCATTGTTGTATGCTTGGTTGTGGTGTTGTCCAATATTTTTATCCCTGCTTGCTCTCTTGCTTAGATATTGTAGTGCTGAATATACATCTGATGCCAGATTGTTATCCATACATTCACTAACTTACTACTAGTGTATCTTAGTCCTTTTGACTAATATGTGTGATATAACCTTCCTTTATTTCTTATTACAGTTTACACATTATCATTCTCTAGCATTATGTTTTACAAATGCACTGCTAATTAAAGTATAATTTTTTGTAGTGTACTTATTTTCTCTACCCATGTTACCTACAAATACAAAATGTAACACTTAATAAAAGCTGCACTCTTTTAATGATAGAACACACAGAATAAGATCATAAACAACAATAATTTATAACAGCAAATAAATTGTATCAAACACAGTCCCAAAAGTTAATGCTTACAGTGATCATACTGATATTTAACCAAAAAAAATTTAATGTTTGAAATTATCCTTATTATTTAATCTGTTGTTGAATGAAAATGTTTTCATTTCTTGTAAGATCCTCCTACAGATTTAGATAAAAGTTTTCTTCTAATCAGACCTTGGATGAATTCAGTTGCATGAGAAAAATCAAAACTGTAGACCCATTTTCTGGAGTACTCCCAAATATAACATTTTCCTTAGAATAGTACAAGCCTAGATAGAACTTTCATTCTTGTTTTGTTTGAAATATATGTATCAAATGTCTCATATTAAATTCTCTTGTATATGCAATATCTTTTCAAAGCAAGCTTTTTTGTAAAGTATATTTAGTACCTGTAAACAATACTGTGGATTCATTTATTTTCATGGCTACCAATTATTCGTGGAATAAGGAAAATTTTTATTTTTGTAGATTTCATGGTTTGGATAAGGTTTGTATTCAAAATATTAAGATAATTAGTACTTCGTTGAACATTTAAATGTGTAGTTTACCTGTACCCACTAACTCCAGGAATTGTAATGCACCCACAGTAGTTTTACATACTAATATATATGATGTCTTTTTAAGGGTTCTCTAGTAGATGATGAATCTTTGATTCAAGTTTTGTCTACAACAAAAGTGACAGCTGCTGAAGTGAGTGAAAAATTGTTCGTAGCTGCTGAAACAGAAATTAAGATCAATGAAGCAAGAGAAGAATTCAGACCTGGTAAAATCTACCTTATACTAGTATTATTTAATTTACTGTTTTGTTTATAATTTATAATTCACACCAATTTATTTAGTCTTGCATATAATCAGAATATGGCGTGAAAATCAAAAAGGTTATTTTTCATTGAATTGACATTTATATTTTTGTCGAGCCTGCAACATTTATGTCGCGATAGCGAGGCATAGCGATCCTAGATTCAGTCAGCGGCATCAACATTTAGGTTCAGTCTGTGGTTAAAGTTTTTTTAGACATCAATAAATTTGTCAAACCTTCATGGAATTTTATGAAATTTGGACAGAAGCTTGTTTATGACCAAAATACAGTATCCAGAGCAAAATTTTGAAAATATTTATTTTCATTTTTCCATATTTTACTGATAAATGGACTTTTTTTTTTCCGTTAACAAGCAGGTACAGTCTGGGGTGAAAGATTGTTCCACATCAAATACTTTGTCAAACCTTCATAGAATTTTATGAAACTTTAGCAGAAGCTTTTTTATGATTAAGAGGTAATGACTGAAGCAAACTTCTGAAAATATATTTTCATTTTCAGTATTTTTCTGATAGATGGACTTAGTTTTAGCTCACCTGACCCAAAAGGGTCAAGTGACCTTTTCTCATCACTTGGCGTCCGTCGTCCATTAACTTTTACAAAAATCTTCTCCTCTGAAACTAGATCTATCTGCCCTGAAATTTTCAGACACTTCAGACAACCAGTTGTTGGGTTGCTGCCCCTGAATTGGTAATTTTAAGGAAATTTTGCAGTTTTTGGTTTTTATCTGGAATGTTATAATAGATAGAGATAAACCATAAACAGCAAAATTGTTCAGCAAAGTAAGATCTACAAATAAGTTTCATGACCAGAATTGTCAATTGACTCCAACAGGAGTTATTGCCCTTTAAAGTCAATTTTTTACAATTTTTCGTAAATTTTTGTCATCTTTTACAAAAATCTTCTCCTCTGAAACTACTGGGCCAAATAGAATTAAACTTAGCCACAATTTTCAATAGGATATCTTGATTGAAAAATGTATCCAATGATCCTGTCATCCAACCAACATGGCAGCCATGGCTAATAATAGAACATAGGGGTTTACTATAGAAGTCTAAGGGAAAATTGTAAAAACAAAAAATTTCAAATGGTCACAACTTGAAAACTAATTTAAATAATGATAAGGGGTCTTTAGTAACTATTGTAAGACTATAATGGGATGACCTGCTTTTAATTTAACTACTGGGCCAAATTAAACCAAACTTGGCCTCAATCATTATTAGGGTATCTAATACTGTTTATTATGATTTTAACCTTATTTTACATGATTTCCAAAAAAAAAACACAGTGGATACAGGTGAGTGACACAGGCTCTTGAGAGCCTCTAGTTTACAGTTAACATTTACAGACAGTCTGGGATTAAATTTTTGTGGACATGATAAGTTTGTAAACCTTTATGGATTGTTATGAAAATTGGACAGAAGCTCATCTTCAAGACCAAGAAACAGCATCTAAAGAAAAAGTTTGAATTTTTTTTTTTAATTCTGTACTTTACTGATAAATGGACTCACTTTTTAAGTCAACATTACACTTTTACACTGACAGCAGCAATCATAGGCAAGACACAGGGTTCCGTGGAACCCTTTATGAAATTTTGTTATTGTTTGGAGCATGAAAATGCAAGTGAAAAAAAGTTGAAAATAACGCTCTACGCCCAAATAGGTCATTTCTATGCTTTCAAAGATGTTACAAAAAAAAAAAAAAAATTTGTGTCTAAAGGAAGTTATCTGAACGCAAAACTTAGTCTTTGTCTTTTACGTGCTTGATAATGATTATATAAGTATGTCTTACAAACACTCTGGTGATCATGAAAGTCAATTAGACACATGGTGTGAAACGAAAGTATCATGGAGGAAACCTTAAAGGGGAAAATGAAAAAAACAAGCAAAACATTTTAGGCAGGAATATGCTGAGATTTGGAAGTGTCTCGATTCATCCAAGAAAGGATACCAATTTGTACACTACAGGTTATGACTAACGGACTTTTCAAGTGCACAAAATCTAGTCATTTTTGTTTTACTGACTTATTATTAAAAGTTGAACTGTTCAAACGTTTTCAATTAGTAACATATATTGTGATGCCAGGCTATATTCATGATGCTTTAGAGATTTAACACAAACTTAAAACAATAAGTTGTATCATACACTATAAGTTCATATGACAAGACAAGACAACATTGAACAACAATCAAGATAATTTTTTGTCTCATGAAAGGAGATTAGTAAAAAATTGCTTGATGTCTTAGCATTTACCTCAAAATACTATCAAATTGCATGAAAGGACAACTTCTTTTCAAAATTTTCTTGGGGGGGGGGGGGGGGGCAACCCCACAAAAAAATTCACTGGCATATATTATTCAGGTAGCAATACAGCCTTCAATAAAACTACACCTAAATATTGAAAACTACACTTTCTAAATGTATAAACTACACTATTATCTTAAAGGGGGTAAACAGGTCTGTACATGGCACTTGCATCTGGGATAAGTTTTAATATCACTATTGAAGCAAAATCTTTGGAAAATGTCACACTTTATTTGAATGGAACTCCAGTCTTTTAAATGATCAATACCTCATATCAGCTCACATCTTATGGTAATTTCATATGCTGAATAGTTTATTTAAAAGCTTTACTATGATTAGTTCATTATGCAAAATAGTCAAAAATATACCTGACCCACAATTCATTTTATTTATATTAGTTTGTAAAAGAACTAAAATAGATGTTTATTTTACACACATTAACATCTGTGTTAAAACATCTTGTAGCAAAAGATTTTTTTTTATTAAACTGTTGTTTATATCTAAATATTATTGATAAGATCTTTTAATGAGACTATTTTGGCAGTTAATGCAGTTTTGCTCTAAATTCAAGAAAATTGAAGCCAAAACCAAATATGCAAGACAAAATTCTAAAGTATAAATACTGATGTCTATTTTGATTTTAGAATTCTAGGGGCCAGAAAAGTGTCCTTATCATATCTTCTCCTTTCATAAAATTCTTACAATTAAGTAAAAGCTACCATTTCAATTTTAAATAATTTTAGGTTTGTAGTTCCAGAGTTATAGGACTTCAATAGTCAAAATAAGGGTTCAATATATTTGCTCATGGTGCAGCTGTTTATTTCTCTTTTCAGTTGCCACAAGAGGAAGCATTTTGTATTTCTTGATTTGTGACATGAGTAATGTAAACAGAATGTATCAGATCTCATTGAAACAGTTCCTTGGTATATTTGACATTTCTATGGCCAGGTAAACTTAATTTAACTCAATTTGGAGGGAACTATATTAATAACTTTTATCTTATAAAAATACCAAGTAATTTGTACTTATTTTGATTTCAAGATACAATAATTACTTTATTTACAATTATTTTGAAACACTTGATAGATTGATTAATTTGTGTTTAATGCCACTTTCAACACTATCGTGCTCTTTCGTGGTGTTCAGTTTTTATTAGTGGAGGAAGCTGGAGTACCTTGAGAGAACGACCGACCTTCAGTACGAAAACTGACAATTCTAGTCAATTAAGATTGGAGTCTAGTGCACCTGCCCCGTGCCAGATTCGAACTCACAACCTCAGTGTTGACAGGCTATTGATACAGTAGTTTGAGTACTTAGACCACTCGGCCATCGAGGTAGCTTGAAACACTTAAAATTTAGATAGAATAGTATTGTTTCTTGCCTAAACTATTGATTTTTAGCTCACCTGGCCCAAAAGGCTAAGTGAGCTTTTCTCATCACTTGGCTTCCGTCTTTCATCGTCGTCGTCGTCGTCTGTTAACTTTTACAAAAATCTTCTCCTCTGAAACTACTGGGCCAAATTTAACCAAACTTGGTCACATTCAACATTGGGGTATCTAGTTTTTTTTTAGATGTGTCCGATGACCCTGGCAACCAAGATGGCCGACATGGCTAAAAATAGAACACAGGGGTAAAATGCAAGTTTTTTATACGACCGCAAAAATTAAAAATTTTTTGGTCGTATATTGGTATGACGTTGGCGTCGTCGTCCGGCGTCGTCTGGCGTCGTCCGAAGACACATTGGTTTTCGCACTCTAACTTTAGTTTAAGTTAATGGATCTCCATGAAATTTTACCATAAGGTTCAATACCACGAAAGGAAGGTTGGGATTGATTTTGGGGGTTATGGTACCAACAGTTAAGGAATTAGGGGCCAAAAATAAGCATTTTTGTAACTTCCAGACAATAACTTGTGTGTAAGTGTATGGATCTCTCTGACATTGTACCACAAGGTTCCATATCACATAGGGAAGGCTGTAATTGATTTTGGGGGTAATTGCCTCAAAATTTTAGGAATTAGGGGCCAAAAAAGGGGCAAAAAACAATTATTTTTCTAGTTTCATGACAATTACTTGTGTGTAAGTGTTTGGATATTTCTTAAATTGTACTACAAGGTTCCATATCACAAAGGGAAAGCTGGAATTGAGTTTGGGGGTAATTGCCCGAAACGTTTAGGAATTGGGGGCCAAAAGTAAGCATTTTTCTAGTTTCCAGACAATAACTTGTGTTCAATTGTATGGATCTCTCTGAAATTGTACTGCAAGATACCATACCACAAAGGGAAGGCTGGGATTGAGTTTGGGGGTGATGAATCATAAGGGGGTTAAAAAAAATTTTTTTTGGGGGGGGGGGGTTTTCTTTTTTTTTCTTTTTTTCCTTTTTTTTTTCTTTTAAAATTTTCCATTTTAAGTTGGTTATTTCTGATTTATATTTAAAAGCAAATAATAATGATATGGTAGGAAATACACACCAAACAGGATGTGTAAATTATTATACAATAAGTATTGTGCAATAGCAAGAAATTTTCAATTGCACAGTATTGCACAATAGCAAGAAATCTTCAATTGCACAGTATTGCGCAATAGCAAGAAATCTTCAATTGCACAGTATTGCGCAATAGCAAGAAATTTCCAATAGCACAATATTGCGCAATAGCAAGAAATTGTCAATTGTACAGTATTGCGCAATAGCAAGAAATATTCAATTGCACAGTATTGTGCAAAAGAATATACTTTGTATAAATTGCTTATTTCTTGATCAATTTCAATGGGGTTTTATTCTTGAATTCTTGGGGTTCTTTAATATGCTGAATCTAACCATGTATTAAGTTTTTGGATTTTGGGCCCTGTTTTTAAATTGGTCCACATTGAGGTCCAAAGGGTCCAAAATTTAACTTTGTTTGATTTCATCAAAAATTGAATTATTGGGGTTCTGTGATATGCCGAATCTAACCGTGTATTTAGATTCTTAATTTTTGGTTCCGTTTTCAAATTGGTCTACATAAAGGTCCAAAGGGTCCAAAATTAAACTTAGTTTGATTTCAACAAAAATTAAATATATGGGGTTCTTTGATATGCTGAATCTAACCATGTATTTAGATTTTTGATTATGGGCCCAGTTTTCAAGTTGGTCCAAATCGGGGTCCAAAATTAAACTTTATTTGATTTCAACAAAAATTGAATATATGGGGTTCTTTGATATGCTGAATCCAACCATGTATTTAGATTTTTGATTATGGGCCCAGTTTTCAAGTTGGTCCAAATCGGGGTCCAAAATATAACTTTGTTTGATTTCAACAAAAATTGAATATATGGGGTTCTTTCATATGCTGAATATAACCGTGTATTTAGTTTTTGGATTTTGGGCCCCGTTTTTAAATTGGTCCACATTGAGGTCCAAAGGGTCCATAATTTAACTTTGTTTGATTTCATAAAAAATTGAATTAATGGGGTTCTTTGATATGCCGAATCTAACCGTGTATTTAGATTCTTAATTTTTGGTTCCGTTTTCAAATTGGTCTACATAAAGGTCCAAAGGGTCCAAAATTAAACTTAGTTTGATTTTAACAAAAATTGAATTTTTAGGGTTCTTTGATATGCTGAAGCTAAACATGTGTTTAGATTTTTGATTATGGGCCCAGTTTTCAAGTTGGTCCAAATCGGGGTCCAAGTTTGATTTCAACAAGAATTGAATATATGGGGTTCTTTGATATGCTGAATCTAACCATGTATTTAGATTTTTGATTTTTGGGCCCCGTTATCAACTTTGTCCACATTGAGATCAAAAGGGTCCAAAATTAAACTTTGTTTGATTTCATCAAAAATTGAATTCTTGGGGTTCTTTGATATGCTGAATCTAACCATGTATTTAGATTTTGGATATTGGACCATAATAGGTGAATGTCCAATTTAAAATTTTTAAGTTCTTAGACCACAATCATTCTGTGTCAGAAACCTATGCTGTGTCAAATATTTAATCACAATCCAAATTCATAGCTGTATCAAGCTTGAATGTTGTGTCCATACTTGCCCCAACTGTTCAGGGTTCGACCTCTGCGGTCGTATCAAGCTGCGCCCTGCGGAGCATTTTATTGTCTATTATTTTGAAAACCGTTATAAATAGAGAAAATCTGACAGGGCAGAAATGTTCAGAATGTTGAACTCTACCAATTGTCCATATATGTCAAAAATGTCAGACGTCTTCTTAGAGGAGTTATTGCCTTAAATGACAAATTTTACCATTTTCTTTCATTTTTGCTTATTATCTTGAAAACTATAATAGATAGAAAGAAACTTTAAATTGCAAAAATGATCAGCAAGACAAGTTCTACAATAAATGTAATGGTTGAAATCGTCAGTCGACTCCTTATTAGAGTTATTGCCCTTTGATGACGATTTTTACCAATTTTTTTGTGTTTTTGCCTTATATCTTAAAAATTATAATAGATAGATAGAAACTTTTATAAGCAAAAATGATCAGCAAGACAAGATCTACAATTTAGACAATTTTGTTGAAATTTTCCAATGACTCCTTATTAGAGTTATTGCCCTTTAATGACGATTTTTACCATTTTTTTTCAGATAGCGACCTCGTGTAATTGGACTTTTCTAGGTCTGTTTGATTTCATGTTCTAGGTTAAAAAAATAATTTAATCATCGATTTTACCTGTATAAGAATGATTTTTTTGTGGTCGAATCAGTCAATGAAATGGTTCTCCTTTGTTTCACTTTCGATGTTGACATTCTTTTTCTTTTAATGGCTGAACACGACAAATACATGCTTAACCAATCTCTAGCTAATGGGTTAAATTGAAGGTCACATGAATACGGATTCAATGAGGTCAAATTATTCACTTGCAAGTGAATAATTCATCAGCAATGTTTCTTAGCTTATTTTGACAAAATTGAACTAAACTGGTTGCTAAAAGCCAATTGTTTATTTTTAAGACTTCCATAGGCCAACTTTTAAGTTAATGTTTTGTTTGTTTGTTGGTTTTAATAATTTGATGATGTTCTGTTGGTAGTTGTTAAGGCTACCTGGATCTGTTTCAGAAGATAATTGTGATATATTAATTGGAGTATTTACTATAATGCATCAATTTTACACTGTCCATGGACCATATACATATATATATTAATGAAATATACAATATTTTCTGTATTATTATTTCATACATTTGAGTAATAAAATTTTTTCATGTGTATATATAATTCAGATCAGAGAAAAGTCCTGTGACTACTAAAAGGATTGGTAACATCATAGAGTACTTGTCATTTGAGGCCTTCAGATATACATGTAGAGGGTTGTATGAAGAGCACAAATTCCTCTTTGTATTGTTGATGACCTTTAAGATAGATTTACAGAATGGAAAAGTGAGGCATGAAGAGTTCCAGACGTTTATAAAGGGTAACCAACAATTTACAAATTGTTAATTTTCTACATTAGCTTATCTTAAAATTACAGTAAGTAAGATTCTGTTGTTTGTAGGGGGAAATCTCAATCATAATAAAAACAATATTTAATGAAAGTATAAATGAATGAAGTACCAACTGTGATGTGTTTAAGTCAAATGATATGAGATTTATGTCATTTTTATGCCCCTGCCATAGGCAACGGGGGCATTAAGTGTTACCCTTGAGCATCCTCCCGTCCGTCCCATCTTGAGTGAGGGGTATTCATGTCCTCAGACACATTCTTCTTTTATTTTTAAAACATCTAACCTTTCTTGACTTGCTACAATTTGTAATTGTAGGTGGTGCTGCTTTAGATCTGAATGCAGTTACACCTAAACCTGCCAAATGGATTTCTGACATAACTTGGTTAAATCTTGTACAACTTAGTGGTCTTGCTCAGTTTGGTGAAATTCTTAATCAGGTAATGTAACATAAATAAATTTTGAGTTTGAGCATTGTGGCTGGAGACATAAAAATGCCGGATGAATGGCTGTCTTTTTGCCTTATAAAGACAATAAACCTTACAGTTGTTGGTGGATTTTCTTAAAATTTTTATCATAAATTTCTCAATCGATTGTTAAACCCAAATCCAATTTAAAAAAAATTGATGGGAGTTGTGCACATCGGAAATAAGCAGGTTGAAATTAGACTGAAAAGCACTATTACCATTTTTATTTTTTGTGGATTTCGATGATAGTGTATACCAAAATATCTTTCTTTTTTTTTTAAATGTGTGCTACTCCACAATTCATTTATTGCTGTGGGCTCCAATTTTTGTGGATTGAGGTAAAAAAATTGCATTTTCTTAGATATTTGATTTCATTGTTTTGCAAAAATTTGTATACAAGCCTTTAGATAATTTATAGTTTGTTTAACATTTAAATTCACAGCTTCTCTGTATGCACAAAATGAACAAAAATTGGTACTCCACGAATAATAATGAATCCACAGTAATTGAAAAATTGCTTAAAATAAAAATAAGAAGAGGTGGTATGATTGCCAATGAGACAACTCTCCACCAGAGTCCGAATGACGTAGAAGTTAGCAACTATAGGTCAATGTGCGGCCTTCACCAATGAGCAAAACCAATACCGCATAGCAAGCTATCTCAAAATGACAAATGTAAAACAATTCAAAACCAAAAACCTAATAACTTATGTACAAAACAATATCTGAAAAACAAATATTATATACAGCAACAAATGATAACCACTGATTTACAGGCTTTTGGCTTGGGACGGGCACATACAGGATGTGGCGGGTTAAACATGTATGTGGCGTAAGCACTGTTTAATTGATCAGCATATTTTAGAGGAGTTAAGACCTTTGGAAATGAAAATTATGTAAGAACAATTGTGTTATGAGTGTTCTCATGCCTACAATATGAAAATGACCATAACAAAACTTTTTCTGACAGATTTACTGGAGTTATGTTGCATGAATTGGGGTTTTAGCATTATTTCAGAAAACCACTTCTTTCTTTATAATTCAAGCAACATTTTATATGTTTTATGTATCCATTATCCTATCTTATACAAAGTTTACAAATAAAATGTAGATGTAGATGACCCAATTGTGAAGTAATGTCTAAAAGTTTTTGAAACTAATGTCAAAGTTCTCAGCTGTAAAATCAAATACTTTACAGAAATTTATTTAAGGTAAAATAAATTTCTAGTTTAGAAATTTTGTATTATTTCCCAAAAATTCATATATCTTCAAGATTTTTAAAAAGAATTAAGACTGCACATGTATTGTGATGGTATCTACATTTATAATTAAAAAATAAAGAAGAAGTGGTATGATTGCCAACGAGACAATGAGACCAAAGGGGAAGGATGTCAACTACTACAGTCACTGTATGGCCTACATACACATTATGCCCTCCAAATCAATTTTGCAAAGTATTGCAGGAAGTTTTGTCTAATATTCATGACTGAAGAAAAATGAAAGGATATTAAATTTCTCTTTCATTTTTTAACAGTACAGGAATATTCCTGGAAAAAATCTTACTTCCTTTGAAATTTTGAACTCACATTCGTTATTTTTTTGTCCATTAATTAGGTGTCAAGAAATGAAAAGGGTTGGAGAACATGGTTTGACACAGATGCTCCAGAGGAAGAACCAATGCCAGATGGTTATAACATTTCACTGGATAGCTTTAGAAAATTACTTCTCATTAGGTAAACAGAAATTATTTCTTTCCATGACGTGAAAAGAAGATTTGTCCACTTATAGTTACTCATTTTTGTCCCCTGCGCAACGCATTGCGGGGGACATGGAAATACCGGGCGTCCTTTCGTCTGGTCTTGTAAGCGCTCTTATGTGTACAAGATTTTTATAAAACTTATATCATAGGTTTATATTAGCAATGTCTTGGACGAGATCGAATATCAGTGCCGATCAATTATTTTTAAAAGAGTTATGCCCCTTGAAAATGTTGATTATATGGAAAATTGCAATGTTATCGCTCTCATGTTCTTTTCAATTCTTGCTAGAATTTTATGAAACTTATATCATAGGTTTATACCAGCATTGTCTTTGACACTTTTGAAAATGAGTTCTGATCAAATATTTTTAATGAGTTATGCCCCTTGGAAATATAAATCATAATGGAAATCACATTGCATTTGCTCTGAAGCCTTCATTTCTCTTAAGATATTAATAAAAAGTTTTAAAGAACAAAAAAAGTGTGTTTTTTAGTTATTGCCCATGTACCTTGGATAGATAAAATATGTGCAACACCGAGGACATTGGAACTCTGTTCTTTTATTAAATTTACAATTTGAGGCTTTTAATTTAAATTTTGCCATTCTAGGGTACTATATCTTTAAGGCTTTACATTACCACATTGACTTCTATAGATGAAGGGGAGATGTATGTTTTATTCCACTAGTTCCTACTAGTTTATAGAAAGTAAAAAGTCATACTTGTGGTTACCCTACTGCCAGATTTAAACTTTTGCTATCATATGACATCCATTAACTTGTTTGAAGCTCAATCGGAATTGGAAAACTATCAGTTAGAAAGATCTGTTGAGACAAAATGTTCATGAATTGAAATTATGAATAAATTTTTGCAACAAAATGTTTGTTTTTTTTTTATTTTGAGATAATCAATCTGTTGTGTCTGATAGATTTCATTTCCAATTGTACATGAACGCCTCAATGATCTTGTGGTAGCATACTTGCCTCAAGTACAGGAGATTGTGGGTACAATCCCAAGCCAGGTCAAACCAAAGAAAAAAAATTGTGTTTGCTGCTTATCTGCTTAGTACACAGGATTTAGGAGTTAGAGCAAAGAGTCAGAGTAATATGCATACCTGTCAACTGACCCGTATTTTGTGGGTGTGACCTGTGAATTTACCAGCTCACCTGAGATTTTTAAATACCCATCCGGGTCATTAAATAACCTTGGAATTCATCAAATGACCCATTTTCACCCATTTTATGTGCCATAAGACTTCCAATGTCTAAAATGCTAAATTTTCCTCTGAAAAACGGCAAATCAAATTTTTCCTTGACAGGAAGTTCGATAATTTGCCCTTAATGAATGATTTACAGCTATCTAAACATAATTATGAGACTCTTTTGATTGAAAGGTAATAACAATTTGCTAAATTTTTCATCAAATGTACACCAGAAAGGTTGAAGCCAGTCTAAAGCTTGGCACACAATTTTATGTCCTGATTTATGAAATTTTGCTGTTTGCAAATACCAATTATCCCATTAAAATGATTTTAAAACAATTTGAACCTCTTTACACATTTCTGTTGGAGAAATAAAGATCCCTAATCTATTTTCAACATTTGTGTTGTCACTTATAATTAAAGATCCATGTGGTCTACCTGGGACTGCACAGAATGTAAACAAACAGTAAATTCATTTTCTCATTATTTGCTCGCTATGTATAGGAGCACATTAGCCAAAGCTGATTTTTTATCATAGTTGGAGTTTACAAAATTCTTTCATAAAAAATAGTGTGAATGAAACAATTTGAGGGCAATACTTTTAATATTGATATTTGATTAATAATAGATATTTTACAAATACTGTAATGAAGTTTAAATGAAAACATAAATTGAAATTTTAAATAATTTTCAGCAAATACTCACAATAGTGAATATTTGTAGGTAACTGTAGGTATATGTTATAGAATTTTAAAAAAAAACTCTAAATACTAAAATTCAACTAGAAAAACTTTGTACAAATTATGACCTGACTTTTTGTTCCTCAATGCATTTTCATTTTCAGAGGTTGACAGGTATGAATATGTCTAGGTATGGTGACATGTCTTCCTGTGAACTGTTACCTTGTGAAGTAGCTGTTTAAAAATTCTGCTCAGCGTGTCACTTTAGTACAAAGCAGGGTTAATATTCATATCACATTTACATGTTTTCCACCTGAATAAGCATTTAATTTGCCACTGGACATAAACCAGCCATCTATCATCAATTGCATGTACATACCACTAATAGGAATATGGAAAGGAAATGTGAGGTAAATACCAGTGAGACAGCAAGCCAACTACACAAAATACCAAAAACATCAAAGAAGCATAGTTACACAAAGTATTTTATTGCAAATGGTTTGAAAATTTCTTATGAAGCTCCTCCCAAAATTATAATTTGAACCAAACTTGGCCAAAATTATCCTTCAGTGAAATTCCTAAAATCATATTTACAAAATGAAAACAAAAATGCATGACACCCATTGCTAATACTGAAGATAAGGTCAAATACCAGTACCGCTTATTTCCTGTACTGTTACAGAAACTATTGAGATAAATGTAACCTTCATTTGTGCAATTACAGATAATATTAATAGGAAAATTATGTTTAAATTGTCATATAATGGTCTGGTGTAGGGATTTTTTTGTCACTGTTTCAGAATCAGTCCTTTATTTACAGATCCTGGTGTGCAGACAGAACGATACCACAGGCAAGAAAGTATATAGCTGAATCTATGGGAACTAGATATGCAGAAGCAGTTTTATTGAGTCTAGAGGATACATGGGCAGAGAGTGATACCAGAACACCCCTTGTGTGTTTATTGTCTATGGGTTCTGATCCTACAAACCAAATAGAAGCACTGTCGAAGAAACTTCAGCTTGGTTAGTAAAGATGGATTATAATTTTATCCTTTTGAGTTTTTCTCATCCTTTGGCCTCAGTTGTCTGTCATATTTTTTATTTCTTTGAAATTACATTTGTGGAGTCAAACAAAACTTTGAAAAAAAAAAATATAATCATCAATATTAGGGTGTTAAGTTTAGAATTATATTAGGGTGTTTAGTTTAGAAATTATAATGGATGTTTTTGCTCCTTACACACCATGGCAACTTTTTTTTATACTTTTTATAAAAAAAGAAGATGGGTATAAATTCAGTTAACCTTACACTTTTTGGCCTCCCATATGCATGGTGCTCCATCATTTAAAAGGGGGTTTTGCATTTCCATTTCACAGAATATACTTCTGCAACAAGTTTGAGCTATTTTTCTATGTCTAACATCATAGTTTTAGTTTTAGGATGAAATTCAGGCCCAGACATTTGGAATGCCTAAAAAAGGAATTTTTAATGGGGTGGGCTGAACCTTTTCCACTCACACACATAAGTCAAAGAAGTAAGAAGATTAGAAATCTTGTAAACATGCAAAAATGCATCTACTAAAAGTGTTTCTAGAAGATGAGGGCAGTGAAATGACTATTTCTAGTTTGAGGTTCAGTCAAACATTGTAAAAATTCAGAAATTTTGCCATTCTTGACAGCAATGGTGTAGCTTCCATAAATACTGTAGCAAGGCATGGTTTTTCTGCAATGTACTGTAAAGAGTCAATTGCATTCAAAATTTTATTAAATAATAAATAGTGGATATAGGTTAAGTGATGCATTTATGATACCTCTATAGTTTACAATTGATAAATCTAACCACCATCAATCATGGGTGCCAGCTTATCAAACATTACAAAATTGGCAAAATCTCGTTAGAAAATCTCTAACATCCTATATGGTACCAATTGCTTTCAAAAATTGAGAAAAGGATACATTTATAATCCTCTTTGAGAATTATAGTTGATGACCCCAGTAACTTGAAGAAAAAAACATATGTAGCTCCAGAAAATATGTCCAAATTGTGAGAGAGAGAAATTACTAAAAAGTCATATGCTGAAATAATATCAAATATTTCATTTTTGATTGTCGTTCTAAAATTTGGTGGACGCCGTAGCGGAAGGGGCATTAAGTGTAACCCTTGTCCATCCGTCGCGCACATCTCCAAAATTGGTTTCCATTCTCTAGTTTGCCTCAACCAAATGTTATAAAACTATACACAATGCTTATTACCACAAAACTCAGATCAAGTTTGAAATTGGGTGGCATCACTTTTACCGTTCATGAGATTTGCCCCTTCATAAACATAAAATTGGGGAATTTTTTGTTTCCGTTCTCTAACTTTAGTTTGCCTCAACTAAATTTTATAAAACTATACATAATGCTTATTACCACAAAACACAGATCAAGTTTGAAATTGGATGGCGTCACTTTTACCGTTCATGAGATTTGCCCCTTCATAAACATAGAAATTGCGGAATTTTTTGTTTCTGTTCTCTTACTTTAGTTTGCCTCAACCAAATGTTATAAAACTTATACACAATGCTTATTACCACAAAACACAGATCAAGTTTCAAATTGATTGACATCACTTTTACCTTCCTTGAGTTATGCCCCTTTATAAATGGAAAAATGGCTAAATCTGTCGTTTCCGTTCTCTAACTTTAGTTTGCCTCAACCAAATGTTACGGTCTTAACTACGTTAATCCTGCATCTGTATGTGTAAGTTGACTCTTGCATATTTACAAGCAGAGGCATCTGTGGCCCATAGACACATTCTCCATTTTTAGCTTACCTGGCCCAAAGGGCCAAGTGAACTTTTCTCATCACTTGGCGTCCGTCATCCGTCGTCCGTCGTCGTTTACTTTTACAAAAATCTTCTCCTTTGAAACTACTGGGCCAAATTTGACAAAACTTGGCCACAATCATCATTTGGGTATCTAGTTTAAAAAATGTGTCTGATGACCCGGCCAACCAACCAAGATGGCAGCCATGGCTAAAAATAGAACATAGTGGTAAAATGTAGATTTTGGCTTATATCTCTGAAACCAAAGCATTTAGAGCAAATCTGACATGGGAAAAAATTGTTTATCAGGTCATGATCTATCTGCCCTGAAATTTTCAGATGAATCGGACAACCTGGTGTTGGGTTGCTGCCCCTGAATTGGTAACTTTAAGGAAATTTTGCCGTTTTTGGTTATTATCTTAAATATTATTATAGATAGAGATAAAATGTAAACAGCAATATTGTTCAGCAAAGTAAGATCTACAAATAAGTCAACTTGACCAAAATGGTCAGTTGACCCCTTAAGGAGTTATTGCCCTTTATAGTCAATTTTTAACCATTTTTTGTAAATTTTTGTAATCTTTTATTAAAATCTTCTCCTCTGAAACTACAAAGACAAATTTAACCAAACTTGTCCACAATCATCATTAGGGTATCTAGTTTAAAAAATGTGTCCGATGACCCCACCCGCGAACCAAGATGGCCGACATGGCTAAAAAATAGTACATAGGGTAAAATGCAGTTTTTGGCTCATATCTCTGAAACCAAAGCATTTAGAGCAAATCTGATGAGGATAAAATTGTTCATTAGGTCAAGATCTATCTGTCCTGAAATTTTCAGACCAATCAGGCAACACGTTGTTGGGTTGCCCCTGAATTGGTAATTTTAAGAAAATTTTGCAGCTTTTGGTTATTATCTTGAATATTATTATAGATAGAGATAAACTGTAAACAGCAATAATGTACAGCAAAGTTAGATCTACAAATAAGTCAACATGACCAAAATTGTCAATTGACCCCTTAAGGAGTTATTGCCCTTTATAGTCAATTTTTTACAATTTTCATACACTTTGTAAATTTTTGTAATTTTTTACAAAATATATTCCACTGTAACAACCGGGCCAAGTTCATTATAGATAGAGATAATAGTAAGGAGCAAGAATGTTCAGTAAAGTAAGATCTACAAACACATCACCATCACCAAAACACAATTTTGTCATGAATCCATCTGTGTCCTTTGTTTAATATGCACATAGACCAAGGTGAGTGACACAGGCTCTTTAGAGCCTCTAGTTTCAAATCCAAGTTAGGGCCCGACAACTGCTTCTGAACTTTAAGTAATTGAACAGGTTAAAGGTATTGGAGAGTATCAATTATTTACATTAAACGTATGTCAAAGTTAGTGATACATAAAATTGAGAATGGAAATGGGGAATGTGTCAAAGAGACAACAACCCGACCATAGAGCTTCTTTAAAGCTTCTTTTTTTCTTAAATCTAAAAAAGAATGATATATTCCCAGGGGTTAAAAAAATTTGTTACAGCTCACTAGCCCAGGACTTATTGGTAGCAGGATTTTACTAGCCCTGTTGAAAGGGCTGCTAGCCCATCAAAACTGACCTGCTAGCCTGAGTATACCTTTCAAATTTAGAGTGGGTGTCCCTTGTTTTGAATGCGGCATTATACACGGTATTTGATAAAATAGATCAAATAAATTTTTGTTTTATTAATTATAACAAGGATCTCTAGACATCTTTTTGGATATCCCTTGTACTATGGGTTAAATATTTTCGGGCACAGAAAACATGTTCATTGATATTGTCATGTTAAACCAGTGGTTCAATTCGTATATTTGTTGTTCCCACATACAAAGCAGACTTTTTATTAGCGAGATCGGGAAAATAACGGCAATATTCACAAAACATCATCTCTTGTTTATCATCAGTAACAGTCGACCTTGCCCATGGGGAATCTTTCTGTCCATGACACTATAAATGTTTTTTTTCGCTTTTCCTGGTCGTATTTGGCATTTTTTGGGATAAATTTTCAGCCTCATTACCCCCTTCATCTACCGTTTTTCGTTTTAAAACTGACAAAGTTCCTGTGGTGGCCGTACTAAAATGTTTAGAAATAATTTGTGCATGGTTTCAAGCTCAAATTAACAGCTGTCCGACAAGACAGGTCAATATCGATCATTACATCATACACCCAAGTACCATTAATTGAAAATCTCGGCATAAGCAATGTACAATACCCCCTGTACTGAGAAATTGATATTGAAAGTACGTGAATTGCGATCAATACATGATACCGGTCCACCCAGAGTTAGTTGTTCTATTTTTAAAACATGTACAAAATCGGTTCAAATTCTTGGAATCCCGGATGACGTACGTAATTGAATCTGATTGGCTAAGATAGAATAGTGATGAGGGGATTTTCCACTTACTATTTTGGAAATGCCAAGAATTGTTTGTTACTAGTCCGTCGGGCATATTCGGTTACAAGTTTTAATTGCCCGAAGTGTAAAAGTCTAGTCCCGGGCGTCGGGCTAGTGGATTTTTTAACCCCTGATTCCAAGCTAACTACATCCTCATTTCTTCTATTATTCAGAAATCAGAGCTATATCTATGGGACAAGGACAAGAAGTTCATGCCCGGAAATTAATTAGTCAGTTCATGCATTCAGTAAGTATTTGAACATGTATGCGGGTCTGGATGAGGTTTACAGAATAGAGAATAATGGGCCAATACTATAGAAAAATGGGCCCAAAATAAAGGAAAAGAAAAAGTTAGGCAAAAGAATAGAGAATAATGGGCCAATACTATAGAAAAATGGGCCCAAAATAAAGGAATAGAAAAAGTTAGGCAAAAGAATAAAGAATAATGGATAAAAATTTTGAAGAATGAAGAAAACTGGCTGGAAAAATAAAGAATATAGAAATGAAGAAACACCCCCAATCCAGACCCTCATGTATGGATATTTTTGTAGCAACATTATGTTACCAGTATAGAGCATAACAAAAGTAGGTGAACAGTATTTGTTTAAAATCATCTTGATTTGATTTTGATTTTTGGTGTTTTTTTTTATCGCCACTTTTAAGCACCACTTTTGGGCTATTTCGTGGCGGCCAGTTTTTATTGGTGGAGGAAGCCGGAGTGCCCAGAGCAAAAATCATCTTGAAGAAGTCTTGTTAATCTTCCTTGCCATATAATGGAAGGGTTACTGCATGAACATTGCGGAATATTGTGCCTTGTAGAATATTATCATATTGATAAGAACTTGCATCTTGAATTACCCTGGTATAATAGGAGTATTTGTAGTTCTTGAAATGTCAGTTACTATTTGTAAAAACTTTTATGGTTAGTGTAAACAATATTTTATTTAGAAACAGATAAATAAATACGTACATCAGTACAATACATGGATTGGAAAACAAGTGACAAGTCACTTATACAAATTTTATGGTTTTTAGTTTAAGATTCACATCTAAAACTCATCTACATAGAACCAGTTAAAGGTCTTATTTCAGAGTAGACTTATTTAAACATTTTTTACACATGATATATTTTACATTTACAAGTTACAATAATTCCAAAAAAAAATTGTTAAGTTTTTCCCATTGACCAGTACTAAAGATACTTTTTTAGCTCACCTGGCCTGAAGGGCCAAGTGAGCTTTTCTCATCACTTGGCGTCCGTCGTCCTTCGTCGTTAGCTTTTTAGCTCACCTGGCCCAAAGGGCCAAGTGAGCTTTTCTCATCACTTGGCGTCCGTCGTCGTTAGCTTTTTACAAAAATCTTCTCCTCGGAAACCACTGGTCCAAATTTAACCAAACTTGGCCACAATCATCATTAGGGTATCTAGTTTAAAAAAATGTGTCCGATAACCCCACCAACCAACCAATATTGCCGCCATAGCTAAAAATAGAACATAGGGGTAAAATGTAGATTTTGGCTTATATCTCTGAAACCAAAGCATTTAGAGTAAATCTGACAAGGGTAAAACTGATTATCAGGTCAAGATCTATCTGCTCTGAAATTTTCAGACAAATCTGACAACCTGTTGTTGGGTTGCTGCCCCTGAATTGGTAATTTTAAGGAAATTTTGCAGTTTTTGGTTATTATCTTGAATATTATTATAGATAGAGATAAACTGTAAACATCAATAATGTTCAGCAAAGTAAGATCTACAAATAAGTCAACATGACCAAAATTGTCAGTTGACCCCTTTAGGAGTTATTGCCCTTAATTGTCAATTTTTAACAATTTTTTGTAAATTTTTGTAATCTTTTACAAAAATCTTCTTCTCTGAAACTACTGAGACAAATTTAACAATACTTGGCCATAATCATTATTAGGGTATCTAGTTAAAAATATTTGTCCGATGACCCCGCCTTCCAACTATCATGGCCGACTTGGTTAAAAATAGAACATGGGGGTAAAATGCAGTTTTTGGTTTATATCTCTGAAACTAAAGCATTTAGAGGAAATCTGACAGGTGGCAAAAATGTCATCAGATTTAGATTTATCTGCCCTGAAATTTTCAGATGAATCAGACAACCTGATGTTGGGTTGCTGCCCCTGAGTTAGTAATTTTACCAAAATTTTGCAGTATTTTGTTATTATCTTAGATATCATTATAATATCTAATACTATTAATTTTGATTTTAACCTTATTTTACATGATTTCCAAAGCATCAGTAAATACAGGTGAGCGACACAGGCTCTTGAGAGCCTCTAGTTTTTATTTTGTGTCTTTTTTGAGCTTATATGACACAGGCACTTGTCTCAGAAAAAAATTTCCTATATACCTTAATATAACACAAGGTACTTAATTCGCATTTTTGAAAAAATGTCACCCAGTCGCTAAACTCCGTTATATTTCGATTTCTCGGTTGTCAACCCCACTAAAACTTGTTATGCCGTAAATCTAAATTGATTTATCTACACAATGGTGTATAACACACATACCTTTGTTGTCGGAATCATTCGTAGCAGGCCTACCCAAGTATGTCAACCGTAATTATTTCCTCTACCAACACTCGATTGATTCTGAGACAAGTGCCTGTGTTCTTTGATATGAAAAAAAAAACTTTTTTGTAATGTTTACATTGCCTCAAAGAGTTTGGCAACTTTTGCCATGGACATCTATTTTGTCATTTTTTTATGCACTATTTCTTCTACATGCATGCTTAATATACATAAAATGAATATAATTCTGTTATAATTACTAGTTTCTAAAATAAGATTTGCTGCACAAATAAAATCAGATAATATATTATGAAACTAGATGTATAAAAATATATGACCATTGAGGCAGTTTGTTTGATCAAATCTAAGTTTAACTGCTTGAATGTTTTAAGGTTACCTTTTGTAATTATTATTATTGTAATTTTATTGAATATAGATGAATTTGAAATTTTAGGGAGGATGGGCTTTGCTGCAGAATTGCCATTTAGGTCTAGATTTTATGGATGAATTATTAGATACTTTAGGGGAGGTGCAACAGGTACATGACCAGTTCAGGGTGTGGATAACTACAGAACCTCATCCAGGATTTCCTATCAGTTTACTACAGGTATTTGTTATTGTATGTAATTCTCTATTGAAAATATGAATAAATGAGAAAATATGAGGGTTAATGGTATTTGCTTGTTTTGTTTGTGCATTCAGTTTGAATTCTAACTTCTGCAATTATTTCTTGGGAGAAAAGAAAATATAACATTGGATTTATTGGTGTTCTTCATTTAATCATTTGATAGGTTTTTTTCAACAATTAACTAGAGAGTTCACACCTTACATCAAGATTCAGTCAGTCTCTAGCATCAACTTAAGCTGTACTTTTTTTCATATAATACCCCCACTCACTGAGTAGAAGGTTTACTACAATGCACCTTATCTGTCCCTCATCTTATGGCTTCAACTTAAGCTGTAATTTTGGATATTGTGTTCCCACTAAGCCAGTGGTTGGTATATTGTAATGCCCCTTATATAACTTCTGTTACATATGACTGGATTTGATATATAGTCCGGTACTTTTTAATGTTAAGTTAATATACTTGTTAGCATTATTCAGACCTGCTGGATGTCACTTCCTGTTTGAGGAAATTTTGATTTTTTATCTTGTTAAAATCATCAGCAGTTATATAAGAAGATAGTTGAAATTGACGAATCCTATCAATTTTCTTAGAAGTCACTTTTGATAATGTTTGTTTCAGACTTCTATTAAGTTCACCAATGAACCACCTCAGGGAATTAAAGCAGGTCTAAAGAGGACATATGCTAGTATTACTCAGGATTACCTTGATGTTAGTAACATGCCACAATGGAAAACAGTATTATATGGTGTGTCATTTATGCACACAGTAGTACAGGTAATTTATACACAAGCATGGTTTCCACTATGAAATATAAACGTTTTTTAAAATAAAAGTGTCACATTGCTTTGTGATTTAGAAAAGATTGTATTGCACAGAACAGGATGATTGTCAAACAGAACAATTCAGGTTTGTGTACTATATTAAACAACTATGACCTTCATTAAAAGTTAATATCAAAAATTATTAAATGGAGAAAAGATTATTTTCATGAGGTCAAAAGGACCGAGGGAAAATAAAATTTTCAATATTTAATTATCTCAAATTAAACTTTTGATGGACATAATTTAGTAAATTTGAGTTAATGTACTTTTGTTGCTTGTTTTGTGCCTTTTAGTCTTTCTGTTGTAGAATATTTTTTATGTCTAAATCAGAACTGCAAACTATTCTTAGAAAGAAAAAAAAAACTTAAATGTCTTTCACTTGATTAATGCAAGTCTGATGCATCCATATACCTTCTACCAGAAAATTCTAACTACAATCTGTTTCCAAAGTTTACTGAAGTTTAGTAAGTCTTTTTGTGAGTCTGATACCTACAAGCATAACCTGGACACAATTTCTATATATGTTATACTCTATAACTTAAACTCCAATAATAAAAAAAACTAGGCAATATTTCTTTTTCAAATGTTTGGTTATTTCTCCAATATGCTTTCACTGACATGGTTTAGCAATGTTGCCACTGCCTTAATTAAATTAAGGACTGTTCCATTGAAACATAATTTTATATGGTACCCAGAGACAGTACTTAAACTACACAAAAAGAGGCAATTTTAGAATGTAACTTACTTTTTCAAAGAACAAAAAAAAAAGTTTGACACCAACCAAAGCTACCTTTCCTGGTTCTTATGTATGTTTTAATTGAACAGCCCTAAGCTCCTTTTTGATTTTGACAATTTCGGTTGGTTATTCCAGAGTTATGGGACTTTGATTGTCAAAAACTAGACAATTATTCATGTATGCTTGTACAAATCATTATGAAATTTTTTAAACACTTTTATTTATTCAGTAACATGTATTTAATCTGCATATAACCAATTTGTAGATTAGCCATCAGATACTCCTGGCACAGCTGATAAATTCTTTGGTGGTGACCAGAAAATGTTGATGCATATGTTCAAGCCTTAAGATGTTCAGAAAACAAATTAAAAGATGAAAATTTTAGATAAAAAAAGTATGTAACAGACAGACAAATAAATAATAAGTTATAATTCTTTTACTAGGAAAGGAGGAAGTTTGGTCCACTTGGATGGAATATTCCATATGAATTTAATACTGCAGATTGGGGAGCTAGTTGTCAGTTTGTACAAAACCATTTAGATGATGTTGATCCCAAAAAGGTAAGAAACAGAGAACTACAGCCGTTTTAGGTATAATGATGGCCTGACTGTACTAACAAGAACACAACAGATTTATATGTTGATAAAATCTAGCACTGTAGTTGTAAGAGTTTATATATAGGGCAATTTAACTTGCATAGATTTTTATCCAACTTGACAAAAAACATTTTAGGGTTGCAGAGAGAATTATATATCTATATATATATATTTTTTCTTCTTCTCCCATTTAGTTAATTTAGATACGGAAATTGTTCCATGTTACATTGTGGGACGATTCTTACGGTCTGCATTAGATATAGATATATGTTATCATGTAATATAAGTGTTCTTTCTAAACAGATTAAAATGTTTTGCTTCTGAAAATGGAAACTTGCCTTTCAATATTTTAAGTTAGATCTAAATGCAGCTTCACTTACAAATCTAATTTAGGGTATATCTTGGACAACTGTTAGATATATGCTTGGTGAAGTGCAGTATGGTGGACGAGTTACAGATGATTATGATAAACGCTTACTTAATACCTTTGGAAGGGTAAGATATGATTATTGATTTCAGTCCAGGAATGTCAAAGCATCATTTAAATATGTCTTATAATGAAGAAATTTAGTATTTAGATTTTGATTGGTAATCCTATCACAATATTGTCAAAACTTTTGACTGTTCTTTGTACCATAGACAAAGCTTTATAAAAATCTTGACAAGGCAGTTCTTAAAAATATTTTTAGGATTGTGCTTTTTCTTCTTCTCCACAATATCAGATAACAATGCAAGTAATGTAAGTGCTAAACTTAATTTCATTTGGCTCTCAGAATTGATATTTTAATTCTGTTGGTTCAAAAATTCAGAAATTATTGTATTAATTGGCCTATTGACTTTGAAACACTTTCTTAGCTTTCATGTATTGGTTTGTAATAAGTAAGTTCAAGGGGAGCCATTAGTGTTAAATCAATGATATTTAGTATGCAGTTGTATAAGCATTAAAACACATCTCATTTCTATGGAGATTATTTTGCCACACCCCCTCAGTCATGGTCTATTGACTTTGAAACTTTTGATTAGTTTACATGTATTAGTTTGTGATTAGGTCAGTATTAAGGGGAAATTTTAGTGGTAGGTCAATGATAATTGGTATGCGGATGTATTAACATTGGTACATCTCATTTCCATGGAGATTGATTTGCTCTCCCCCCTTTTTTTCAGTCATGGTTCATTTACTGAATGTTTTGCATTATTTATATGTTAATGTTTGTCATAAGATCAGTTTAAGATGAAAGACTAATGTTAAGTCAATGCTATTGTGTATGCAGTTGTATTGGCATTTGCAAGTCTCATTTTATTGGAGATTATATGGCCCCACCCCCTTGTCATGCTTCATCGACTTTGAAACTTTGACATAGTTTACAAGGTAAAGTTTGTGTTTACGATAGTTTAAAGGGAACCACTTATGATCAGTCAATGGTATTTGGTATGTAGTTTTATAAACATTGGCATTTCACATTTCCATGGAGGTTCTTTTGCCCTGCACCTTCAGTCATGATTCATTGACTTTGAATGATTTGCATAGTTTACAGTGGGAAATCCAGTGACAAAATATTACCTCCCCTGCAAATATTGAAAACTAGATCTTCTCAATGTTTGTCCCATTTTAGCAAGGACGCTGTCAATTATGGATTCACAGGAAAACGTTCTGGTAAATAGTAAAAAATATAAATAAGTCGAAATAAAAACAAAACTTTCATTCAATGTTATTATTTCCCTTCTTAAGTAGCAAATGACGAGTTCAGTAGGCTATAGAAGCTTTATGTAAAAGTGGTTTGAAATGTTGCTATGCGAGAATAAATTCCTGGAGTACCAACTTCAATTTATTTTTCTACTGGCTGTATACCTTTCTGGAACATGCTAATTATCCAAATATATATACAGCTAGATCAGAGAAAGTCAGGGATTAAATTCCAAAGGAATCGATTGATATGCAGCAAAGATTGGCACTTTTGAAATTCAGTTACTAAGCAAATTCAAAGGGCCTTATCTCGAGGTAAACACTGAATGTGAATAGATCAATAAGACCGCAAATACATGTAAAAAAATAGAGACAACCTTTTCTTAAAGTTGTATAAAAAATAGTAGAAAGATACCTACTTTATAAAAATAGTTATGTTTAATTTCTTAACCTGCACATACACCTTCGGTTGTTGTCTGCTCTTTGGTCGGGTTGTTGTCTCTTTGACATATTCCCCATTTCCATTCTCAATTTTATTTTAGACTTTTAAATTTTTATATTCACAAAAAGACAGTACTTCTCTATTGAATGTACATGTGACAAGAGCAGACTGGTGTGCTCGATAACTTAGGTGTGCAAAAATAAGTTTACTTTGGGAACTTGTAACATGCTAAGGACTTTGTGGAACACTCCGAAAATTGGTGAGCTGAAAGATCTTTAGATTTTGTATGTTCATGATTTTTCCCAATTTTTTTTTATCAATATGCAGCAAAGATTGGCAGTTTTTAAATTTCAGTTTCACAAGCTTCTAATGCAATTATCTCGATAAATACTGAACATAAAACAGCATGTATTTGCATGTATATTTCTAATAACACAGTTTAACAATTAATTTATTTAAAATGCACAGTTATTATTTAGAAATAACTTTTGATCAGTATCGTCACCGGCATTGTTTTATTATTGACTTTCTCGACTCTATCATAAGAAGAGTGAATTTTCTTTTGTTTTCGTTCACTGGATATCCCACTGTTTACATGTTTAAATATTGCTATTTTAATTTCAACATTTGCATTATACCATCAAAATTACAAATGCGAGACATATCTCTGTCCACAGTTCATTATTTTGCAATTAGGGGAGTATCGGAATAATAAGAACTCGCATTCTGATATTTGTTACATGGGTATTGAATGCAGATTTTTCTGAAATTGCAATAATTAATCTCACATTTTCTCCATTTTTCAAAAATCACAATAATAAATGCAGGCAATAATTTCTGAATTTACAACTGTATGTGAGCTTGCACACTAAAGGTTATTGAATTCATATCTTTTTGACACCCATTTCCTGTTCCCAGTGTTTGACCTGACATTTTCTTTTCTTTCTTGAAAATAATGGTGATGGCATATCTTGCAACCATGGCACTGCTGTTTGTGATTGTTTTTCATATTTTGCTATTAGAAGGATTTTTGACCTTTTTTGTGATCTTTCTCTCTGATGTTAAACTCTCATCATTTTGTGAGTTAACATTTATTGATGCAAGTTTTTACTCAGTGTTTGGGTATTGGGTAATTCTCTTGTTTACATCTACCTGATTTATTTTTAAAGGTATGGTTTGGCGACTTCATGTTTGCTGATACTTTCCAGTTCTATACTGGGTACAAGATTCCTAAATATAAGACTATGGAAGATGTAATGGGATTTATAGAACAGCTGCGTTTGGTGGATTCTCCAGAAGCTTTTGGTCTTCATCCAAATGCAGATATAACGTAAGTTTATTTGCAACTTGAAACTTTTGGCAAAGTAGATATATATGGTTTCTCTTATGTCATTTCATCAAGTGTGTTTGGACATATAATATACTTTTACCTGAGTAAAATATCAACAGTGTTGGAATTTGAATTTGTTTAAAAGTCCTCTTGAACTTGAAAGTTTCTGCTAAATGGAATTCTTTATATATGAGAAATTCATAACTGGTCAGCTACTACAAAGTAAGTGATTAATTAGTTTTATCTATCCAAATTTAGAATGCTATTTGGATATACTATATCTTTCATTTTCAAACCATTTTTTAAGGTACCAAACCAAGATGTCAACATCAGTTCTGGAGACCATCATGAGTATACAACCTAAAGATAGTGGTGGTGGTAGTGGAGAGACCAGGGAAAGTGTGGTCTACAGACTGGCTGGGGACATGTTGAGTAAACTTCCACCAGATTATATACCACATGAGGTACATACATAACGGTCCTGTATATTCAGAAACTATTGTGGCATTTATATTGCGATTTTTGAAGACTGAACAAAAATGCAAGCTGAAATATTGCGATTTCAGGAAAAGCTTTATATAAACAAATGTATCGAATATTAGAATGCGAGTTCTTATTATTGCAATACTCACCCAGTCGCATTATTTGCATTAATAATAAACCTCACAATAATTTCTAAATTTACAGTTATTTGTAAGCATAGTGTGTATTCCAATTAAGGTTAACTTTTACAGAAACAAAAGAAAGAAAGGCAACTGTTACATTGTACTTTGGCATTGTAGTTTTTTTGAGTTAGCAAATAGAATGTCAATTAGTTTAAGACAGCAACTATAAATGATTTGCGTTCTTGTTGAAGTAATAATTCTTTATTTTATCTTACAGGTAAAAGACAGATTAAGAAAGTATGGACATCTCCAACCATTAAACATTTTCTTAAAGCAAGAGATAGACAGAATGCAGAGGGTAATAGGTGTAGTAAGGACAACTCTAACAGATCTGAAACTTGCTATTGATGGTACCATTATCATGAGTGAGGTAGGACATCATTAAGGGATGAAACCGGTATTGCAGCTGATGGTCATAATACTGAATAGAACTTCATATATATGAAATTTAAATGTACCCACCATGATGGAATTAACCGTTCTTTGAAGAAGCCTTTGATTTTAGTTTGTATTTCTTTATTCTTATATCTGTAACTGAAGTGCTAAATCTTTTTGTTGCACAGAAGATAGGTCACTTAAATATCATTTAACAATATGACTACTATTAAAAGTAGGGATGTCAACAAGTATTCGAGTATCGAATACCTAAATGATGCATCACCTAATTGGTGTCCTTTTATATAACTGTCTTCTTTTTATGAAATTGATCTTTTTGAGAACCTCTTTCGGATTAAAGAGGCATCACTGATTATTCAAATAGTAAATAAAATACATTTTGTTTCGAATGCTTGTGCTAAACTGTCATTTAAAATGCCTCCTACCTTGGGTTATACCTAGGCTTACACTTTAAACTGAACATGTCTTAGCCATTCCGTTACATTGGTACCGTCAGATCAAATATTTATGTCTGAAATACTGTTAGTTACAAAGTTACAAAAACGACTGTACCCAATAATAATTCACAAGAAAATGTTTCCAAAAAAAATAAATTTGTTGCATCCTCTGGTGACCCTCAGTGAATAGTTAAACATCTAATCCTTACGCCTTTGTAAATAAATGTGTTTGCTTAACGTTTATCAAATGATATTGTTTGAAATGAGTTTTCCTTGTTATAATTCTTAAATATGTGTTCATTAAATTATATTGATTAGATTATTGTTTTTTTTACTTAATTACTACTTGTAGGTAATGAGCTATTAATTATGGTGTGTAATTCATTATTTATGTACATCTTTTTTCGTCCGTTGAACAACAAACCACAGAATGTAAAGTATGTATTTTTGTGTTTCCATGTTTTAGATATATTCCCGAGCAAGTACTCAAGTATCGCTCGATAAAACCAATGAGTACTCGATTAGTAATTGTTCACCGAGTTGACATCCCTAATTAAAAGGTTTAAAGTAAACAAGGTTTCTTCCTAAAAATAATATAAATGTGAGTGGTTTTTTACCTACTTTTAATACCAAACTAATAATGTTTAATGCAACTTGCATTATAATTTCAGAACCTAAGAGATGCTTTAGATAATATGTTTGATGCAAGAGTACCAAACCTTTGGAGAAAGATTTCTTGGCAGTCATCAACCCTTGGTTTCTGGTTTACAGAGTTACTAGAGAGAAATGAACAGTTTTACTACTGGGTATTTACTGGTAGACCAGATGTCTTCTGGATGACAGGATTTTTCAATCCTCAAGGTATTTGTCTGCATTTAAATATGCATCATCTATACTTAAAGTATTATTTTGTGGTAGAATAACCCTTGCAATGTTAAAGGTCTAATGTTATCATTGATATCATCCAAAGTTTTGACAAAACATTTACAGTAGTCAGTGGCTGGGACATACAGTTTTACCTGTAGATGCTTGGCTTATTTTTTTACTTTTCACATCTTACTAATAAATGGATTTGTTTTGATTTTATTTTTCAGTCAACTTTTAGGTACAGTTTTAAAAGATTTCAAGACTTTAATTACTGAGTGGTACCTTCATGGAATATTATAAAACTTGGATAGAAACTTCTTAGTAATATGATGACGAGAGCACCCTGAGCTAAATTTTTCTATGTTCTGTATTGTACTGATAAATGGAGTTTTGGGTAGTTAGCATTAAACTTTTACACTGACAACAGAAAATGTTCTATGTACACTTGTTTTTTATATAGGATTCCTAACAGCCATGAGACAAGAAGTGACAAGGGCACATAAAGGCTGGGCATTAGATTCTGTCACTTTACATAATGATGTTATCAAGCAGTTCAAGGAAGAAATAACTTGTGCTCCTCCAGTAAGTGTTTCATGCACTGCTTATATCAAATATATGTGTAGAGATAACGATGATGTACTTGTATTCGACAGCAGAACCTCTGATTCATTTCTGAATTTTTAATTTTGAATATAATTTTGCATGATGAATGGTTTGGCATAAGAAACACTGGCAAATACAAATTTTGCTAAGAAAGGCAAAGAAGGAGGTATGATAAGGGCCTTTATTTGGCCCCTGAAATCGCTAAAATAGTAAATTTTATTGACGTCTTTCAAATCAAGTCCAGAAAGTTCACTTAATTTGTGACATCACTATAAAAATGTAAAGAATTGATCCAAGATGGTTCTTTCAAGAATACTTTTTGATTTTCGAATTCAAGGGGCCAAAAATAGTGGCCTTATACCTTCTCCTTTGTTTTAATTGAGCATAAAAATATGATCCTTCATTTTCTGTAATTGGGTTTCCTGTTCTTTTAGAAAATTATTTTTTAGTGAATTCCAGTGTAAAATATTGGACATTCTATGGTATGACAAGTAATGTCATCGCAAACATTTCTTCAGGCATACATAAGTTTTCTAATAATTTGATGGTGTAAAATTTGTAAAGGAATTATTTTATTTTTGTACATCAGATGAACTTTAAAAAAATTATCACCAAAATGAAAATAAGAAGATGTGGTATGATTGCCAATGAGACAACTTTCCACCAGAGACCAAAAGATTTAGAAGTTAGCAACTATTGGTCACTGTACGGCCTTCAACAATGAGCAAAACCCAAACCTCATACCAGCTATAAATGGCCCGGACATGACACGAAAAATGTGAAACAATTTAAACGCAGCCTGATTTATGTACAAAACGAAGATGATGTGTAGCAACAAATGACAACTACTGAATTATAGGCACCAGACTTGTGACAAGCTCATACAGAATGTGGCTAGATTAATGTATGTTCCTATATTACTGGTACATCCTTAGTGTATGAGAGAATGTTAGAATTTAATTTCTTGTAAGTTCTTCATTTTGCGAAAACAAAAGACTACTTCAATGAAAATTGCTGTAAATCTTCACTTAAAACTGTGTTTATTAACATTTAAATTTTCTATATTGTCAATGGTCTTTTTAAGTTGAAATTTATATGTATTGGAATTACATACTTTTACTATCACCAGTTGAAACAAGGCAATAGTATGTGAATAAGAAAATTAAAACAGAAAATATCTATGTTTTCGGTAGATGGTATAGTATAATTAATATAATGATAAAGTAGTATAATTTCATTTTACAGGAAGGTGTTTATGTTTATGGCTTGTGTTTGGATGGTGCAGGATGGGACAGAAGAAATTGTCGTTTGTGTGAGTCTCCAGCTAAAGTCCTGTTCACACCCATACCTGTAGTTCATATGTTTGCCATTAATTCTACTGCACCAAAAGACCCAAGACTTTATCAGTGTCCCGTCTACAAGAAGCCAAATAGAACAGATTTGACATATATTACTTTTATTGTCTTAAAGACTACTCAGTCACCTGATCATTGGATTCTCAGAGGTGTAGCAGCTCTGTGTGATATCAAGTAGACGTTACATGAATATTGTTATCAACCTGACTAATATCTAGGTATTATGGAATACTGTATTATGTGCAAGGAACTATAAATACCATTATTATAGTATTGTATGGGTATATTTAAACATTGTTTTAGTTTATATTAGTATTGTTGGATTATTTATTTACTTTTACAGAGAATTATATTATTGTTGTGTAATGAGCATGCTAGCCAATTCACGTTATACTCAAATTTTTAATATTTATTGTTGTCTTGTAATTTTTTTATTTTATATATTCTAATAAATATTTTGTTGTGTTATGTCAGTTTGTTTATTATTCATCATTACAAACCATTGGATTCACCCAAATTTCGTTTTGTGTTATCTCTCTTTAATCTTTAATTTTAACATTACTAACATGTTACCTTGTAAATCAAATCATTATACGCCCGTTTATGGGATGTATTATGATATACCGTTGTCCCTTCCGTCTGTCTATCCATCCGTTTGTCCATCCGTTGTCAACATGTCATACACTAACTCAAAAACGCTTTAACCAATTTGCATGAAACTTTGGTGAATTGTTTATATGTATTGACGTGAGCTCCCTTTCGATTTTTATAAATTTTAGATTTTACGTTTCCGAGTTATGGTGTTTTATTCATTAAAAAAGGGGGATTTTCCAGTTTTCGGACAATAACTCAAAAATGCTTTTAGCAGTTTTCATGAAACTTTGGTGAATTGTTAATATCTATTGACATAAGCTCCCTTTTGATTTTTAGAAATTTTAGATTTTACGTTTCTTAGTTATAGGATTTTATTCATAAGAAAGGGGGGATTTTCCAGTTTTAGGACAATAACTCAAAAATGCTTTGAGCAGTTTTAATGAAACTTTGGTGACTGGTTTATATCTATTATAATAACCTTCCTTTAGTTTTTTTATAAATTTCTGATATGACATTGAGGAGTTATGGAACTTTATTCTTTGAAAAAGTGACGGGTGTATCATGCGCTCATGGCGCAGCTCTTTATTTTTGCATCACAAACAAAATGAGGTGTAATAAATATTTTTAACAGACTCACTTTTGGCCAGGTTGGTGAGGTCCAAAATGGCCTTATAGTGTGGGGATGTCTGGTGGGGAAAAGTGGGTATCTTATTTGTGTAATTAACTTTTCCTACAGATTCGACCCAGATCCATGAAACTTCACATGAAGATTGCACATATGTTGGAGTTGTGCACCTGCTATTATGGGATAATTCAATAGATTTTTTTCTCATTTTCTCAGAAATGGGAACTTAATCATTTTCAGCAAACTTCATGAAAGAGGGTAAAAGTTTTCAAATTCTTCTTCTCCTTCATGTAATTACAACTACATTGTTAACATTCTACATTGATTCGTCACAAATTTTGCAACCTGGCTGTTTGAAAATTTGACCCATTTATTTTAAGTCAAATCACATCTGATGTATTGAAATGGTGTCCAATCACACTGTTTAGCCAAGTGATTCTGCATACAGCTTCCCTTGCTCCTAGAAATTGTCAGTTCTTTTACCCAAAAAAGGTTTAAATTTGAGGGTCAAGCTAAACAGTTCATTTTGCGTTCAAAAATGTCTTGGCCATATCTTTTTATATTGCCTGCATGAATCTTATGTGACTTCATACAGAGGTTGCCTTTGTCATGTTATGCTTAACTAAAGGTCATATTTTGAAGGTCTGTGTGAAAATATAAACCTGTTAAAATCAAAGTTGTGCCGCCCTCTTACAAAGTTGAGTTGTTCCATATGATCATGATATTTATATATATATATATTTAGGCGTTTTAATTTTAGCTCATCTGGCCCAAAAGGCCAGTGTGGGCTTTTGCCATCACTTGGCATCTACCCTCTGTTATAGTCCTTTGTCCTCTGTCATAGTCCTTTGTCCTCTGTCTTAGTCCTCTGTCTTAGTCCTCTGTCTTCCTTTAACATTAACAAACATCTCAAACCTACTGGGCCAAATTGAACCAAACTTTACCCCAATCATCTTTGTGGTATCTAGTTAAAACAAAATAGCGTCTTGATAAACCTGTCCATAAACCAACATGGCCTCCGAGGCTAAAAATAGAACATAGGAATAGTATGCAAGTAATGTCTGACTGTGGTAGAAATTTTTGGAAGTTGAGATTTACTTACTGACTTTTTAGTCTCGTACTGACGAAGTCAAAGGGGACTTTAGGTTTGCACTCTGTCGGTCTGTCAGTCCGTCCGTCCGTCTGTCCATCCGTCAGTCCGGCAAATCAGTTTTCCACACTTTTTTTCTTCGTTCTTGAAGATATTGATTTGATATTTGGTATATAGTTTTGCCATGACAAGTTATAGATCAAGTTCGAATTTTGTTCCAGTCTGATGATTTAGTCCAGAGTTTTGGACCATATCTAATGTAAGAGTACTATGTTAAACCATATTTCTGTACAAAGGGAGATAACTCATTTTTAAAAAGACATTCTTTGGTAAATTATTTGAAGAATTTTTTGGCAGGTTTGTTTGTTATTTTGTTTAAACTAATTTTCTGAATGCTATATATATTTAAAAAAAAATTATGAAGTGAAATCCTTTAATTAGATAATCTATTTTTATTAATGTATATATTACATTACATTGTGTAGATAAAAATTGTTGACATTTTATAGATAAGTTACAAATCTATATTAGTTTGTGACAAATAAAAGAAAAAATATTTGGAACTATTAATTATGTTTCATTATAATTTGAAAATAGATATACACTGTATTACATCATGTCTAATTAGAGAACTATTAATCATATCTAATGTTGAAGTGTTTTCCACACTTTTTTCATCATGCTTGAAGATATTGATTGATAATTGGTATATAGTTTTATCATGACAAGTTATACAGATCGAGATTGAAATTTTGTTTCGGTCTGATAATTTTGTGCAGAGTTATGGTCTTTGGACTTGAAAAGTTCACTCATTTAATCAGTTTTCTACACTGTTTTCAGTCATGCTTGAAGATGTTGACTTGATATTTTCTTTTTGTTTACACCATGACAAGTTATAGAACAAGTTAGCTTTTTGTTCCAGTATAATGAATTTTTACCCGGTAGGGGACTATGTATTGCCATGCAATACTCTCAGAATGCTTGTTTACATCAAACTGTGAAATAACTTTTTTATAGAAGTTATTTCCCTTAAATGGCGATTCCCCCCCCTCACTTTTCTCATCACTTGGCGTCCGTGGTCTTCGTCTGTTAACTTTTACAAAAATCTTCTCTGAAACCAATGGGCCAAATTTAACCAAACTTGGCCACAATCATCATTGGGGTATCGAATTTAAATTCAAAGTCTTTATTTTTTGGGGGTTCTAACCTTGTATTACTATTTTGGATATTGGGCCCCATTTTTAAATTGTCTACATTGAGGTTCAAATTTAACTTTGTTTGATTTCATCAAAAACTGAATTATTGCGGCTCTATGATAAGCTGAATCTTATTGTGGATTTAGATTTTTTATTTTGGGTCCTGTTTTCAAATTAGTCCATATTAAGGTTTGAAGGTCTAAAATTAAACTTGTTTGATTTCAACTAAAATTAAATTTTTGGTGTTTTTTTATATGCTGAATCTAACCATGTTGTTAGATTTTGGATATCAGACCATACTTGGTAAATTAAATGTCCCATTTCAAATTTTTAAGATCTTTGACCACATTTATTTTGTATCAGAAACCTATATTATGTCAAAAATTTGATCACAATCCAAATTCAGACAGTATCAAGCTTGAATATTGTGTCCAAACTTGCCCCAACTGTTCAGGGTTCGACCTCTGTGGTCGTATCAGGCTGTGCTTGGCGAAGCATTTAATTACAATTTTTTGGGGTTTTTGCCTTTTATTTAAAAACTATAATAAATAGATAGATAGAAATTTTAAAAAGAAAAAAATTGATCAGCAAGATGAATAGTTCATTATTGGTCAAAATAGCCGAAATTCTAATTTGACTCCTATGAGGAGTTATTGCCCCCTCAGTGATGATTTTAACACTATTTTGCATTTTTGGCAAAAACTATATAAGGTGGAGAGAATTTGTAAATGGTCAAAAAGATCAGCAAGACAAGATCAACAAATTTTGTCACCGAAACAAAAAATAGTCAGTCTACTCTTAAAGGAGTGCTACCCTTAAATGACGATTTATAACCCATTTTGTGGTTTTGACAACAATTATAAAACACATGTAGATATAAACTAAACAGGAAAAATTATCAGCAATACATGATCAACCAAACATTTTAGTCATGATTTGTATTCTAGTATACAATGTTGGAGAGTGGCAAATGTTGAAGATGCATATAAATCAAGGTGAGTGACAGAGGGTCTTTAGAGCCTCCAGTTATTCTCAAACGTTCCGAAACTTTTGGATAAGAAATTATGTGATGAAGGCTTTTCCTGAAGTATGTGACATGGATACTGAAATTGGTGACATATTGTCATACTCTGTACATTATTGAACTGTTACCCGCACCACGTCTAACCACTGACTTAGATTTAAAGGAATATCATGATGCAAAAGTTTGTCCTGATGTTTACTGTAGTTTATATCTAGAAGATTAGAACAATGTGGGATTCACTTAAGCTGTAAATGGTCAGGTAGTTGCATTACTGAGTTATCAGTTCTTTTTTTTTCAAGTTTTATTTAAAAGATGTTTAGTTTGTTACTGAAATAAATAGCTATTCCCATCATTTGATCTGTCTACTTCCTGCTGCAAACCCTTTCAATCTGATGAGCTACTATGGATTACACTTTAAATTTTATCTTTTTGTAGAAGAGTTATGTTATTGTATAAATTTTACTAAAACAAGTTTGGCAGTTCACACATGTAAAAATTGATAAGCAGATAACAAGGGGGTAATAACAAGTCTTGTTAGAATAGACACAATACCATTGCACAAATAGGTTACAAACACAAATCAGTCAAACAAAACGGCAAACTAGAGATTGAGCAACATATCCTGGTATCACAAAACCCCAGGACTAATCATGTCTTAACAAGTAAAAGCCCAATGATTAAAAAGGGAGGGACGGGTGTGGATATGACAAACGGAAGTTATCTGTCTCGTGTATGTATCCTGTTACGTTCAACTAAGTAATGCTGGCATTGTTCAGTAGCTTTCTTATAAGCAGCAAAACACTGTCAAGGAAATCTAAATGGAATATATCATCATACATATACTT